ACTGACCAAAAATCCCTGATAATATGCTGGAAATTAAATTCCTTCTTAGCTCAAATTTTGAAGACATTTTGTTATTGTTTTCAAGAACTGCAGAATGGGCAGCATAACAAGCATTTTATTTGCTCTAAATCATTCATGAACTTACGTCTTCACTTTTAGCGAAGCCTGACTGTAGTCATTGCTGTAGTAATTGCTGCTGGTGCTGCTGTCAGCCTCGGGCTCTGATCTTATTAACGAATTGGTGGCTTTGTTCTTCGCTGAGCACTGACCTCGATTATTAGCTGCACATGCGCAGTACAGTTGCCCCCGATTGTCAATCATGAGGCAAACAAACAAGAGCTCGACTATCATGCTCGACTTAGACCAATGAATAAATGAACAAATGTGTAAGCTTATATTAGAAAACATTTAAATATTGTTCCGGCTTGTTGGCGTGCGTGTGGGTGTGTTTCTGCAACCGGTATCTCCACCTCACCTTATACTTATATATACTCAAGTATATATACATATATACTTGATTCTGCTGACTGTGTGCGAAGGCCAAGAAAAAATAACAATAGGTGACAAACGAGACAACACTCCAAGCCATACGAGTATGTGTGTGTGTGTGTGTGAAGAGCTTGATTTATTTCTTACGCATATTTTTTAACAACAATTATGCGGCAACATGTTTTGAAGAGAGCATTTAATACTGGAATTTTTCTGAACTTTGGAAAATACTCTATTTTTCAGACGCAGCAAAGTTAAATAGGTATATGCATAGCAGTATTTAAAATGACTTTTAAAATAAAAAAAAAAGAATAGTGGGGAACAATTGCTGTTTGAAATAATCTATTTTTCAACCATCAACAAAGTCGTGCCTTTCAAACGATCATTTAATCTGTTCATAGCCTCATTACATAGATGACTTATAACGATCAGTATAAAGACCTATTCGAATGACTTAGAGGGCTTGGATTGAAAGGGTTTCTTCTACCATTTAAACAAAATGGTTCGTTTATGTTGGTACAGGTTTCTTCGAAGCATTTCAGTATTGTTTTGAAATTCAATAAATGCAACAGAAAGTAAACAATTTATTAAAGTCCAAAGTGATGAATGTCTCCTGCACTACAAAATACTTCTTGGCTCAATTATATAATGTCAGCTGCAGTTTCAGTTTTTTGTAGACATTGCAAAAACTGGCTGGCGAATTAAACAGAAACAGAAACAGCTGTCACCTGTTGATGTTGTCCCAAAATGTTGTTGTTTTTGTAGCCCGAGACCAACGGTCGTGCTGAACTTAATGGCAGGGCATTACCCTACAATACCAGTACGAACCGAGAGCTCTTTGACGGCCTTTCGCTGCTCAATTTTTCATTTTCATTCAATTTTGATTGTAACTTTCACAAAATGAAAACGCCTGGAATGCCAATTCTTAGGTAATCCCGAATTTTGAAACTTGCTTATTGTTGTTGCCCTCTCCATTAAACACAATTGGTACTATATGTGCTATATGTGTTTGCGTGGCAGTTTTATGCTTTATTTTGTATCTTTTGTAATCAGTCGACATGGAAAAGTAAAGATAATTTTTTAGGTTGTTTCATGTCGAAACGATAAAATAGACCTATTAATTATTTTGAAAGGGGCTCTTCTAAGGCAGTACTGTTATTAGAAGAAGCACTCTAAAATAAGAGCACCTGTCTATATTTTAGTTTAGAAAACAGCCAGAAAGCTGTTATATTTTGGACGATAAAGGAATGTTTTTTATTAAAAATACAAAAAGGTTTATTTAGAAATGCGAAAAATGACTTTATTTTCCTTTACGGATTACGCAAAAACGCAACAGTTATGCAACTTTACTGAGCTTATGACACGATATTGATTAAATAGGGCCAACTTTTTACAAATCTCTTGCATACCTGAATACTCGTATAAGCAAAATGTGATTCTGCCCAACTGGGGCAACAACAAGATGATGTTGGCCATTGGCCAAAAAATGAAATACTCGTAGATACATTTTCGCCATGTTTACATCTGTTTATGGAAGAGAGTAGAGGGATCAGGGAGGGAGCTATGCGAGAGCTAGCAGTAGCAGCAGCTGTTGGAAGTTTTTCTGTGACACCAGAACAAAAGACCAAGAATGGGCACATGAAAGCAATAAGTTACAGCATTTGTAGGTCAGCAGCGAGAGCTTACAACTGCACCATTCATTGTTAGAATGATGCATTATATTTGAAACTGAATGCCTGCCCAGTCCACGTCCACAAATACACACACATATATATATAACTCACTAACTTCACTGGTCAGGGACAAGTACGGAGCCATGCCATTGCAACTGGTTGCCATGCGAAATGTTTTGCTCCAATTTGGCGCTGGCCTGGCCTGGCCAGGCCTTGCCAATACGGTTCGGGGCTAGCTACAAATGGGTCAGTGCTTGTAGGCTGCTGTAAATCACGTTTAAGCGATGCCCATAAACCGCCACCAACAATGTCGTTAGTTCCAATTAGACGACTACTCCTACCTGTTCATGAACTGGAGATGTGCAGTCTTTTGGCTCATTTCGATGAGCGAAGAACTTGCAATCCACCCCAACAAATGAGCTAGTTCGTTTGTTGTTGCTGTCCTTCGCTCTTGCAAACGAAACCAACCATTTTATACTCTTCATTATTTCATTCGCTCATAGACGATTTATTTGCATCCCTCCTTCAATTAATCAAATATTTACAAGATTGAAATAAATTGATTTTAAATAAAAATGCAAAAATACTAGCTCTGTAGTTCATCCAAAAAAATCATTCCAAAAAATTCTTGTACGAGTGTATACAATGTTTTTGTTAGCTCTTAGTTTTAACAATTATATTATACTAGGGAATGTTGTCCGATCTGGAAATGATCAATTTATTACTCAACCTGGCAACAACTAGACTATGATTAATATTACATTTGTTTATAATTTTCAAGTGGATTTTCTATTTTTTTAAGTGGACAAAGGTTTGTATTGAAAGGTAAAAGGTTTGAATAGTTAAATAAAATAGATTCGTGTAGAGAATAAACCCATGTCAGAAGTGATATTTTATGGAAGACTGGAGTCTTGTTTCTAGTTTAGAGAATGTCGTTTACTTATTGCTTTCTATTCTAAAATTTGTGTTGTCATCCATTGACCGAATATTTGATGAATTGGAAGAGGGTATACAGTCGTTGTTTTTCTTGTAAAGCTTCTGTCACACTACTATTTACAAATATTATATACTAGCAGGTATTGCCCGTCTTAACCCGGCTTAATATAATGCTTCAAATTGTATTTATTTTGTGTGTTCACCTACCCATATATTTTCACCTTATTAATTACCAGTAGGAAGGCATTTAAGGTATTTAAATGAACAGTTTATGTTATTGACAAAAAACTGTTTAGTAGTCCGTTAGATTTTCGTGATGGGCAAATATTTCGTTAACCAAAATTTTTGTAAGCTTTCCCCTCCTTTGGAGCTTGAATTTTCCAAAAGCCTTTCTTCCTAGACTGTGATGGATACTATGAAAGGATACTTGAGTCCAAATTTCAGCTTCCTTTTACCGTTTGGGCTGTGCGTTGATTGCCAATCAGTCAGTCAGTCAGGACAAACTGTTTTATATATATAGAGATTTTTACCGAGATATTCTTTGATCATGCCACCCACTATTTCATCAGCCTTCATCTCGGCTCTACATGCATTTAAGGATATGATCTTAAATGAGCTTTATCTTTAGACGAAAGAAATAATTTCCATATGGATGATTGGGAATAACATCCATACATACCTGTAACTCAACACTAAGCAACTTGCATCTAGAGGGATAACATTTAACAATAATTTTGCTTAAAAGAAAGAAGATTCGATTCTTTCTTGGAGACTTGCGATAAGCAGTCAAATCTTAATCTAATATAGACATTTAATTAATTACAATTAAATGTTTAAATTACGGCCCTAACTGTTGTTATTGCTGGGTGGGGAGGTCTCTTCGCCGGAGTCGTGTATGGCTAGTCTGCCAAGTTAAATTCTGCGCAAGTCTATTTGGATGGTTCCGAAGCTTAAGCTGGTCCTTTGCTTTCACCTTGGCGATTTCATCTTTAACAGATCCCACATTTAAATCTTTCCGAAGCAATAATGTTGGCGCAAAAATTAGACGACAACCTTCGCAGCTAGGAATATTTTAATTATCTCAAAATAGAGAGCTGCATTTCAAATAATACTATATACGTGTATGTATGTATGTATTTCTATTGGTAGGTTTCTATTCCTTTCTATAGCTTTGAAGCAGCTGCTGCTGTACATAGAAGTATTTTCTTTGGCCTGGCCTTACAAATCGATAACCTGGCCACTTGGCCAGCGCGTGAGCAGCGCCGCGTGTGTTTTATATAGATGTGTGGGGGCGTGTTTAAGTGTTGTTGCTCTTTGTGTGGCTCCGCACACAGACAGACACGCACACAAAGCCACAGACATGTGTGTGTGTGTATTAATGATGAAAGGGAAATCGCTTTGGTAATATGAGCGACGGAAGTGGGCTGCATCTCTAGACATCATCTTTGACGTAGTTCAGTAGTTCGTGCCAAGCTTTTGTTACCGTTTCTTTTTTAAGCTTCACATCCATACACACACACACACACACACATACACACAAAGAGAGACACATGGCCGTATATTGTGCACTTTTTAATATGAAACGGCGTCAAGCCAGCAGCACTCACAACATCCTTATTGTGAGCCACCAACAACTGAGGGGCGTCATAAAAATTGCTTCTGTCTGACAACCGCTGTCACCACCGCCTCTCGCAATTATCCTTTCTAAGCTCCCCCCCCTCCCAGCGAGCATGTTGCACTTTCGACGTTGCATGTGCGGCACAATTGGCTTTGTAATCGCTGTCACATTCAAGGAAGTAATTGTCGTCCATCTGCGCATCTGGCTATCATTAAATACCCTGCCCATTTAAAAAAAGAAATATATCATCCATTAATTTATCAATCCTTTCTTTTCCTCTGCAGATTATGCCGCCTATATAGCGACTGATCGGAGCCCCCACTATATACTATTGAAACAGTTAGAAGGCATTGCCTAAATGCAACATTATGTCAGCGAAACGGAACGCTGCACAGCATACCGAACAGTACACAAACCCCTCCTTCGAGCAGGAGCTGGGCCCAGAAGGTACTGCCGAACCAGCAGCAACAACAGCAACAACAACAACAACAACAGCTGCAACAACAGGGAATGCGAGCGACACTGGCACAAGCACAACACATCGCAAAGGTCACAGGTGAGCAACATTTGGCTGCATATTGCACGACATTACTACACAATGGGGTCTACGGGCTAATAAATAAATCCATGGGCCAACTGCCAGCCACTGGGCTTTTAACCGTGTACAAAAATCAGCTGTGATTGATTACATAAGTGCCACTTATTAGTTACTTTTATTGAGCAATTACTACACCCAAAATGTAGGTCTCAAGTGGTTCAATATTAATCTTTAAGTTGAGGGAAATGCCGCTAAATGGCTAACATATTCCTAATTTTTCTGTATTACCAATTCCTTGTTTGCGTGCCTAAATAATTGGCTACAATATCTCAGGGTTCTAAACATTTCAGCCGCGTCTTTATTCAAAACTAGAGAAGAATACCCTTATTTATTATAATATATTATTATTATTTCCTAGTGCTAAGAAATATTTTTATAAATTACCCTCAGACGCTCTTATTTATGTGATTTTAGGTTTATTAAATAAGGTTTTTTTTTTTTTGCGTTACCTTAAAACAAACTTATATTAATTTTATTCCCGTTTTTAATCTTTAATATTTAAAAAATACTCAAGTTCTGTAAATAAATTTTAACAATATTGACTTGAACAATATCACTTTATATAATTCCTACTTATATTGTCTAAGAAAAACTTTCAAATTTAATTTAGAAAACGTATCAATGTGAATCATTCGAAAATACTTTCATTATTGCAAATATTTGATTCTTTTTATCAGCAGAGTGTTTTTATTTAAAACTGTCCATCCATAATGATTGTCCATTAAATTTGTTAAATAAACTCAACGATTAATTATTTCATTTATGAATATTTGAATATGATACAAACATTAGGAAGTTAGAATCCTTCGTAATAGCTTTTGATAATTGCTTGCCAAAATATATAGCACATAGTCTTGCTTAGTTGTTTAGAAAATACAAAACAATGTTATATATAAAGTGAAGACTTCATCCTGAAACTCTAAAGTTCTGCTTCTTAAATATAAACGATTTAATTAATGTTGCGCTTTAAATGCGTTTTAAAATGCAATCAATGTTCAAATCTAAAATTTATATAAGTACCTTCACAATCCTTCGAAGATTTGAGTATTTGAAGCTTTCAAAAACCAAATTTACATTTCTTGAAAAATCAATCTTTTAAAAAATTCATTTAAGCACAAATTTAAAAGAAATTCATTTGAAAACGCGCTTCAAATTGATAAATACTCGTAAAAAAATTACCATTATAGGTAAAACAAAACGCTTGATATGTTAATAAATATAAATAAACTATTATATAATTAGCTACAAGCAATATGTCCTTAAGAGCATGTTCTTTTATGATATAAGCCGTGCAATCAGGACGGGCTGTTTATGAGCGCAAAATATTTATTTTGCTCCATTGTCACAAAGTACAGCAACCTTAGGCATTGTCAAAAAAGAAAGGAAGAATGAAAAAAAAAATCGAAGAATCGAAGTCGACGAAAAGGTAAAATATTTACATAAATTGACACTCGAGGGTCCCCTTAACGTGTTTGTCTAATGTGCGGCGGCAGGCGCTGGGGCAGGGGCAGGGGTAGGGGCAGAGGCGTATTAGACATAAATGAGCAGGCCATGAAAATGGGTGTAATTACTTGGCCTGCTGGCTGATTGGTTGACTTAAGCTTGAGGCAAATCGAAGGCTCGTCTGGTCCTCAATAATTCATCTGCATTCATTCCACACACAATCGATAAACAGTCGATTACGGCAGCGATGGGGACGAGGACGAGGTCTCGGTCGAATTAACAGAGGCCGCGGGGCGCGGCACGCGGATCGCCCACACGAAAAGCGTGACAGCGGCGCTACCACATGGCACATAAACAAGCCGCAGTGTCAAGGGAGTGGGCAGGAGGAGCAGCAGAAAGGCTCCCAGCCAGTTAGTGGCACGTGAGCGCCACAGAGCTTTCATTCAATGGTCGGCAGTAGTTCGGGGTAAGTCGCGCCTGGCAGTGGTAGGAACTTCGCGAAGTTGCCGCTCGTCGCCTGGTCGCTTGAATCGTTGAGGCCCAGTGCCAAAAGGACATCATTTGGCTTTGAATTTCGAGTGCAACTGTGAGTTCTTGTCCTTGACTGTGCAACAATGAAATCTCTAGGCCATACAGAGTCTGAGGCTCGCCAGTGGCGGCAGATGAACATATATAGAAAGGCGCCTTGACTTCTGCGGGCCATTGAAAATGGCAAGGATATGGCTTAGTTTCAACACACAAAATAGTGCTTTCATTCAATGGAGGAAGTGAGAATTCTTAAAGAATATCCAAAAGTGCCTATAAAGAATAGTTACTTCTAAATCTAATCCAATTTCCATAAATAGTCTGCTAATTCGAATTCTAAATTAAATTACAAATTCAAATCCAATGCTACCATAAAATTTAATAATTGTCCTCCTTAGGACAGATCTTAAATAAAGAATAAAGATTTTTAAAAAATTACAAATTCAACTTTGTAAACATAATGTAAGCATAATGCGTTTCTGAACTCGATCAAGTTTGTGAAAATGGCTTTTTCGAATTGTTCCAATAAGTAATAAGTTGCATCCCAAATATATTGTATTACAATTTTGAAAGTCCATTCCCAAGTTTGTTGATCTAGGCGAGAAATTTCAAAATGTAGAACTGCCAGAACTTTCCACCAACCTGCCTGCCACACGCCAGACTCTGTCTTTCGAAATACATCTAGTTGGTTGACATTTAAGAACAAATTGTTGAAGTATTATTTTTTATTTTTTTATAAAATATATTTTTTGGAGTACAAAGAAAATGAACAAAATTATAAGCCGAGTTTTTAGATGAGGTGTTTGTTTAGCAAGAAAAGTCATGACTATTGTCCCACAACTCCAGAAGAGCGCCTTTTGTTTACTCTACATTGTATTTGCAGGCGGCAGGAATCAATGTATCAGATGACTGGCCTGTATTCAGAAGCGAACAGCGGTGACGACAGCAGCATAGATGCTGCCCAGGATGCTTCCAATGCTAGCGAGTTAGCGGCCCCGGCACACCCACACCCACATCCACCACATTCATCGATCATGGGCACAACAACGTCGACAACGGACAACGTTGTCCTTAAGTGCCACAGTCGTCAGCCCTCGGCGGCGGCCAACAATCGAGCCAGTGGTGGTGGTGGTGGTGGTGGTGGCACCGCTGAGCTCGACGATGACGATGATGAGGAACAGTTTCGGTCTCGGGACTGCGGCATATTGTCTTGTCGGCCGTATGGCATCCAAAGATTCGCTAGAATTAAGATATTCGTACTACTATTGTCCGTGCTGGTCATGATGCAGCAGGCATTGAGCTCTGGCTACATCAATTCAGTGATCACCACGATTGAGAAGCGCTTCGAGATACCCTCCAGCTATTCCGGCCTAATAGCCTCCAGCTATGAGATTGGCAATGTGATAACCGTTATATTCGTTAGCTATTTGGGGAGCAGGCGTCACATACCCGTATGGATCGGCATCGGTGCCGTCATCATGGGCATTGGCTCTCTGGTGTTTATGGTGCCGCACTTCACCGGCGAACCCAATCCAGGCATTGCCATTTTGAACAAGTCCAGCGATAACATATGTCGCAGTGCCTTGGTGCGAGATCAGGACATGGATTTGGGCCGGCTATCCAGTGGTCTGTCCAATCAGCCACTCGCACCGCACACCCTGCGCGAGGATAACTGCCTCGAGGGTAAATCCTCAACGACAGGACCTGTGCTCTTATTCGTCTTGGCCCAACTTCTGCTCGGCTGCGGCGGCAGTCCGCTCTTCACCCTCGGCACCACCTATGTGGACGACCATGTGCGCACCGAGAGCTCGTCCATGTACATTGGCTGCATGTACAGCATGGCGGCTTTTGGACCTGTCGTGGGCTTCTTGCTGGGCGCCTATTTGCTCTCCTTTCACATGGACTCGCTGTCTTCCGCCGTCATATCGATAAGTAAGTAAAAACTTTCAATTACAGCTATTACTTCTTGTATTTCTTTGCCTCATTCAATATTTAAGAAGAAAACAATTAAGTTATTACCGACTATTAAAGGAATATAATTAGAACCAAAAGAAAACATTTTATCGAAACATACGTAACAGAATCGGAATTAAATTGTTGTGTGGCTCGTTTCCTCTGTAATATGAATGAATGGGCCAGATATTTATTTAAAAACCTGTATAGACGTTCCCCAGACAGCCAGAGATGGTGCGATGGAAACATAGCCTTAATCCCCAACATAATTATATTCAATCGAAGATTTAGTCCAACTATCAATCGTCTTATCTTTAGGGACATACCAGCTGGGATCCTCACAAGTTCATTCCTAATTTCATGTTTCTTTAAACGAGCTACACATAAATCTATCATTGATGGGGGATAAAGGGATAAAGGTGATCCAAGTAAGGTCAGAATTAGATGGGGTTATCTATTGACTCCCAACTAGATAGATGGCGAGCAACAGACGTTTTAAGGCTGTTCAGTAGAGTTTTAGAAATAAGAGATTTTTTAAAAAAGCTTCAATTACATTTTCCATTTAGATCTTTACCTATAAACTATAAAGGCTTCCTTCTTCTTTATAGCGCCCGGCGATCGTCGCTGGGTGGGCATGTGGTGGGGCGGCTTTCTGCTCTGCGGTGTTGTGCTGCTCTTTGTGGCTGTGCCCTTCTTCTCCTTCCCAAAGGTGCTTACGCGCGAGAAGAAGAAGATTCGGAAGAGCAGTGTAGTACAACCGGCATTGCCGAACAATTCGAGCGCTACGGATGAGCTGGGCAAGGTGAAGAAGGAGATCGTAGCCGTTACCACAAAAGAGGAGGAGCCACAGCCGCGCGTTGACACCGGCTATGGCAAGGACATTAAGGACATACCGCAGTCGATGCTGCGTCTGGTGAAGAATCCTGTCTACATAGTCACATGTCTGGGCGCCTGCATGGAGCTTATGATCGTTTCCGGCTTCGTCGTCTTCCTGCCAAAGTACCTGGAGACTCAGTTCAGCTTGGGCAAGAGCCAGGCGAATATTTTCACGGGTTCGATTGCCGTGCCGGGTGCCTGTATTGGAATCTTCATTGGCGGTTGCATATTGAAGCGCTTCCAGCTGAAACCGAAGGGCGCAGTTCAGTTCGTGCTCATCACCAACGTCATCTGCCTGGCCTGCTATGCGATGCTGTTCTTCCTGGGCTGCGATAATCTGAAAATGGCTGGCACCACGATTCCCTATTATACCAGCTCGAAGCAGGGCACATTGGAGCCGTTTCAGGTCAACCTGACGGCTGCCTGCAACTTTGGCTGCGAGTGCCTCACCAGCGAAGTGGAGCCGGTCTGTGGCAACAACGGACTCACCTACTTCAGTCCCTGTCATGCCGGCTGCACAGCCTTCTCCTCCAGCTCCAATTATACCAACTGTGCATGTAAGTAGCCGTTCATAGCCCTTCATGTAACACCCAATGATGCCTGATTGCTTGCTTGTTTTCAGGTGTTCACGCCAATATTTCGAGCACCATTTATCGTGGAGCCGGTGGTAGTCAGGCTCAGGCGTTCACTGATAGCGATACCTTTGCCGAGGTCACTGTAGTGCCTGTGGCGACGGCTGGACCCTGCGCCACACCCTGTCGAACCATATACCCGTTCCTCATTCTGCTCTTCTTCATGACCTTCATAGTGGCCTCCACCCAGATGCCGCTGCTCATGATTGTGCTGCGTTCGGTGTCCGAGGAGGAGCGTTCCTTTGCACTGGGCATGCAATTTGTAATCTTCAGATTGTTTGGCTATATACCAGCGCCTATACTCTTTGGCAATCTCATTGACTCGACATGTTTGCTGTGGAAATCATCGTGTGGCGAGAAAGGCGGCCGCTGCCTCATCTATGACATTGAAAAGTTTCGATACAAGTGAGTGCAGTCGAAGCCTTCTATTTACAGAATTTCACTGATGAAGCTTCTCTTCTATACAGATATGTGGGACTGTGCGCCTCCGTCAAGCTGGTGGCGCTCTTTATCTTCATTGTGGATTGGTGGCTTGTGCGTCGACGCAAGCAGCTTGAGAAAATGAAGCCCCTGAATGCCAGTGATCCCATTATTGGCTCAATCATAAGTCTAGATAAACGTAAGCAATAAACAGTGCTAGCATAATAATAGAATGAATGTCTTTTAAATAGGCCTTAAGACTAACTAGGAAAACTAGACTAGACCAGCTAGAAAGAGCTTGAGATAAGAGAACAGGCTCTAATCTTTTTAAGCGATTGCTAAGCTCGTTTACATTCGAATTTAGATGTTAAGCTTAGTGTCATGAGCATACATACTGACTCCTTTTCCATACTTACAGTGTTTGAGGAGAAACTCACAGGACATGGCGAGCCGAATGCAAATCGTTTGAGTGGTGGCGAACTAATTATTCCCAATGATGTAATGCGTCACTCGCGCAACGATTCGCGCACCATGCAACAGGATTACGGGTAAGTCTATCGAATAGGATTTGTGGTTGCCATCGAGTCGTTTATCTATAGTTTCTTTCGTTTCCCCCACAGCTACGATAAATGCGGACACGTGATACCAGCTGCCAATACCTGCAATCTGCCACAAATGAAATCGAAGAAACATTTCCGCAGTGCCTCGTGCGATGTGAAAATGATCAAGAGTTTTGCCAAGGATCACAATACGCCCGAAACAGCCGCGGATGGGGCGGGCGATAAGTATAAGAATCTCAAGAAGCTGCAGACGCACACCCGCAACCACTCCACAGACCTAAATCCGCACGATCTGCGCCACAAATTGGCGCGTGACGATCCCACACTCCCAATTCGCTACATACAGAACCAGTTGCGACCGCAGGATTGCGCCGAGGAGGACGACGACGATGAGCTGACCACGGGTTGCGGCCACTTCGTGAAGAAGCATTCGCGGAATCACTCCTACGATCAGATATATATGCCAAACAACATACGTTTCGATGCCGATTTCCTGCGCCATCCGCATCACCACAGCAATGCCAAAAAGAATGTGAATGTCCTCAAGAATGTGATGGCGGAATCGAAGCTCAAGAACTCCAACGAAATGGAAGGAAATACTGGGCTGGGCTCGCGTGGTCATTCGCGCAACAACTCCAAGGATCTGAACATTAAGGCGGCCGTCGTTGGAGGTCCTAGCCAAACGTCAAGCAGCAGCGAATCAGCCGGCCTGAACATACTGCGGCACCGTCGCACCAATTCCAAAGATCTGAACTACACCATGCTGCCGTGCAGCTCGGAGACAGTGGTGCCTAATCTGCCAGAGGTTGCCACAGCCTCAACCACAGCCACATCCGCAACAACAACCACAACCACCGCCCCGCCGCACATTCGTCCGCCACACCCACACACCCGCAATGCCTCGCACCATAAAATTCAAATCGATGATGATCGCAATGAGCTTATCAACGATGACAACGACGAGATGGACGAATCCGGATCGATGCGCTTGTAGTTGTTGCCATAGCGGTGGCGTCCTGTCCTTCGTGCAACATGTTCCTGTGCTTAATGTAGCAGCCTAGAAAAAGAAAAACAAAAGAAAAAGAAGGGGGAAATGTAACTTTCACATTCTCACTTAGCTGTTTAAGTAGATTTTCTCTATGCCACAAAGGCCGCCTACCCCCACACATTCCAGGGTCTCTTTTAGGCAATATACAGATTAATATAGAAACTACAACAACAAAATGCTATTCACGTTATTATTCCTGACTAAGAAAAACAAAACAGAACCAGCAGCTTTTGTACTTACACAAACAAACAAAGAAGTGTTCAACTTTTCAACAACAACAACAAACAACAACAACAAATTTACTTTGCTCTTTTATAATATCGATGACCGTTCAAATCTGGATTTAGTTTGGAGTGTTGCAATAATACTATATACGTACACGTACCGTGTCCTAGGAAACCTAATTTATTGTCTAAACATTATGAAGCGGTGTATTTTAGCTGTAGCCCCTTGTGATAAGCATAACTTGTATTGTAATGAAAGAAGAAAAAAACGTAAAAAAAACAAATATAAAATAGCTAAGAAAACAAACTATGGTTTAGCTATAATTTTGTTCTAGACTACAATTAAATCTGCAATTTATATGTTTAGTTCCAAGCCCATTCTTCAACTTGTTGGAGAATCAATTATTAGCATATGTATGTATAATAAATGCTCTTCATTCATTGGCACTTTGTGCAGTTTCGGTTTCGCACTAACAAAAATAAGTCTAGCATTGGAATTATGTGGAAAATTTATTTAGCAACTGAGATGTTGATAATATTGAATGCAAACAATTGTCAATGGAAATTGTGCTGTGAAATGATGTGTGAGTCAATAATAAATGAAACGTATGTAGGAAATGAGAAGAATTCATAAAGATAAGTAGAGCAAACTGAATGATAGATACTATATACATACATACATACATGAATAAGTATAACAAAAATATAGCATAGAGATAGATATGTATGTACACGCGGCCCATATCGATGGAAAATGTACGGGTTGTCGCATGTAGGCAGAATTTTAAGCCTAAATCAAATTTTAATTTCTTAATTTTTATCTTTTGAGCAGACAACTAATGTTCAAGGTCTGTGCGGCCGAAATGAGTGTTAGATTTAACACAGAACGACGTACTTTAAATGCGATAATGCCTTAAATATCTCAATTAAGTATATATATATGTATACATATAAGTACGCATCTACATGCGTACGTGGTCATATAGTTAGTTAGTATCTGTTAGATACTATCATATGCAACTTAGTTATTCCAATTGGTAATTTGCACTTTCTCTACGAAATTTTCATTATTTACGTTTCGTTATGCATTATGTATTATGAATATGTATGGCAGATTAGTACATAAGTGATGCATTCTACATATACATATATGTGGACTGGATTGCAGAAACCACACTAAAGGATAAATCAAGAAAAGAATAAGAGTGTGTGTGTACGCTATATACATAGTTATACAAATATACACCGCAACACAATTACAAATGATTCGGGATTGTATTGCAATACAATATCGTATATGAATACATATACACATATAGACACATACATATATTTAAAAGCGATTTTAATACAGTTTAGCTGCGTATTTCATAGGTGCAAGTAAATAACTATTTTTAAGAAACAGAATGAAATATTTTTATTTAGTGAAAATATTCAATGAGTAATTATTATTGTAAAATGAAAACATGAGACTCCTGACAACAAAATAAATGATACCTAAACTAGAAAATAGACAAAAATAAAAATGACTTTTTATTGAGAGACTGAGAGAGGATTCCACTAACGAATTTTAAATGGAGGGCGAACAAGATGTATCGTTGAAGCACTGTAGCAGCCATAACGAACAAATTATAAATTATAACAAATAAACATATACTTCCACTGGTCCAACTTCGTATCCCTAGGATGCGCCGAATTGCAGTGCATATACTCGACTATTTCAAATAATCACTCAAATAAATAAAAATATAATTATTTGAAAATAAATTCAAACGGCTGCTCTCCTCTGCGCTTCTCATACGAGGTACCTAAGCAAAGCCACTTCAGCACCAAAAGCCCAGTAAATTAAATAAATAAATAACTAATTATTTTTGGAAATTAAATTCAAAAGACTGCCCTCCTCTGCGCTTCTCATACTAGGTACCTAAGCAAAGCCACTTCAGCACCAAAAGCCCAGTAAATTAAATAAATAAATAACTAATTATTTTTGGAAATTAAATTCAAACGGCTGCCCTCCTCTGCGCTTCTCATACGAGACACCTAAGCAAAGCCACCTCAGCATCAACAGCCCAGTAAATTAAATAAATAAATAACTAATTATTTTTGGAAATTAAATTCAAACGGCTGCCCTCCTCTGCGCTTCTCATACGAGACACCTAAGCAAAGCCACCTCAGCATCAACAGCCCAGTAAATTAAATAAATAAATAAATTATTATTTTTGGAAATTAAATTCAAACGGCTGCCTTCCTCTGCGCTTCTCATACTAGGTACCTAAGCAAGGCCACGTCAGCACCAAAAGCCAAGAAAATCAAATAAATAAATAATAATAATTATTTTAAATTACATTCAAATGACTGCCCTCCTCTGCGCTTCTCATACTAGGTACCTAAGCAAGGCCACGTCAGCACCAAAAGCCCAATAAATTAAATAAATAAATAAATTATTATTTTTGGAAATTAAATTCAAACGGCTGCCTTCCTCTGCGCTTCTCATACTAGGTACCTAAGCAAGGCCACGTCAGCACCAAAAGCCAAGAAAATCAAATAAATAAATAATAATAATTATTTTAAATTAAATTCAAACGACTGCCCTCCTCTGCGCTTCTCATACGAGACACCTAAGCAAGGCCACGTCAGCACCAAAAGCCAAAAAAATCAAATAAATAAACAATAACAATTATTTTAAATTAAATTCAAACGACTGCCCTCCTCTGCGCTTCTCATACTAGGTACCTAAGCAAAGCCACTTCAGCACCAAAAGCCAAGAAAATCAATTAAATAAATAAATAATTATTATTTCAAATTAAATTCAAACGACTGCCCTCCTCTGCGCTTCTCATACTAGGTACCTAAGCAAAGCCACTTCAGCACCAAAAGCCAAGAAAATCAATTAAATAAATAAATAAATAATTATTTTTGGAAATTAAATTCAAACGGCTGCCCTCCTCTGCGCTTCTCATACTAGGTACCTAAGCAAGGCCACGTCAGCACCAAAAGCCAAGAAAATCAAATAAATAAATAATAATAATTATTTTAAATTAAATTCAAACGACTGCCCTCCTCTGCGCTTCTCATACTAGGTACCTAAGCAAGGCCACTTCAGCACCAAAAGCCAAGAAAATCAATTAAATAAATAAATAATAATTATTTCAAATTAAATTCAAACGACTGCTCTCCTCTGCGCTTCTCATACTAGGTACCTAAGCAAAGCCACCTCAGCATCAACAGCCCAGTAAATTAAATAAATAAATAAATTATTATTTTTGGAAATTAAATTCAAACGACTGCCCTCCTCTGCGCTTCTCATACTAGGTACCTAAGCAAGGCCACCTCAGCATCAAAAGCCAGGAAGATCAAATAAAAAAATAATAATTATTATTCTAAATTAAATTCAAACGACTTCCCTCCTCTTCGCTTCTCATACTAGGTACCTAAGCAAAGCCACTTCAGCATCAAAAGCCAGGAAAATCAATTAAATAAATAAATAATAATTATTTCAAATTAAATTCAAACGGCTGCCCTCCTCTGCGCTTCTCATACTAGGTACCTAAGCAAAGCCACTTCAGCACCAAAAGCCAAGAAAATCAATTAAATAAATAAATAATAATTATTTCAAATTAAATTCAAACGGCTGCCCTCCTCTGCGCTTCTCATACTAGGTACCTAAGCAAAGCCATTTCAGCACCAAAAGCCAAGAAAATCAAATAAATAAATAATAATAATTATTTTAAATTGAATTCAAACGACTGCCCTCCTCTGCGCTTCTCATACTAGGTACCTAAGCAAGGCCACGTCAGCACCAAAAGCCCAGAAAATTAAATAAATAAATAAATTATTATTTTTGGAAATTAAATTCAAACGGCTGCCCTCCTCTGCGCTTCTCATACTAGGTACCTAAGCAAGGCCACGTCAGCATCAAAAGCCAGGAAAATCAAATAAAAAAATAATAATTATTATTTTAAATTAAATTCAAACGACTGCCCACCTCTTCGCTTCTCATACTAGGTACCTAAGCAAAGCCACGTCAGCACCAAGAGCCAAGAAAATCAAATAAATAAATAATAATTATTATTTTAAATTAAATTCAAACCACTGCCCTCCTCTTCGCTTTTCATACTAGGTACGTAAGCAAAGCCACTTCAGCATCAAAAGCCCATAAAATGAAATAAATAAAAGTTATCATTTTTTTATAAACGTAAAGCAGAGAAGCGACCAGCAAAAACAAAAATATGTATAATTAAAAGGAATACTTAAGCTAACAACCAACCGGTCATTGTAGCGAGTGGAATGGCGGTTCATTTGTTTTCCAGGGTTTCCAGAATCAGGTCTTCCCATCCAGTGACAATTCGTAAGTCTGATGCATCTGATTTGTTGTTTTTTGATCTGTTAAACGGTTTTCATTACTGATAGCAGTTTACATTCATATTCGAAACGAAAAAAGAAAACCATATTCACGTTCAAATAAATATTCGGCATGGAACAATGTTGGCAAACACACCAAAGTGTTTGCCAAAGCTTCTTCTCTTAAGAGAGTCAAGTTAACAACCACAGCAGAGTTTGAAAGCTTTGCCACTTTTCAAAGCTTGTTGATAAAAAACTGCTCAATAACTGTACAAATGGGATGAAGAATTGAATATATAAATATTAAATAAATAAACTACTTGTACTTCATTTGTGTTTGATGATATTTTTCGACCTTAGCTTTATTACTGAACACGGATAGAAACAAACAACAAAATTTATAGTTAAGTTCAAGTTTTCGTGGTACGGCAACTACTGATTGATAACTTATCTGGTTATAACTGTTGTAATATAAGTGTCAATAAACCAGGTGCAAAAAGTACAAACGAAAAGATAACATTTAGTTTAACAAATGGAGCGTTCTTCGGGCTTAAATATGTTACAAGCTGAATTGGTCGCTGGTGCGTATACTAAATATAAAATATTAATTTCGATTCATCAACTGTGAAATGCGTTCGCAGCCAAGGCACAAATCGTGCGATTGGAGGAGGAGAATGTCTTACTGCGTCATCGACTAAATCGCATATCCAGCGATCAAAGCACAAACGCCACCATAAACGTGGAGGCCAAGATCAAGGCATTTCAGTTGGAGGGCGAACGCGATTCCTTGCTAGAAGCATTGCAACAGCACAAGAAGAAATACAATAGGCTCCATGAGGCCTACTTGGATAAGGTGAAGCGCTGCAAAGCGCTGGAGGAGATGTTCAAGCGACAGAAGACGCTGACTGGCTTGGTCATGAAATCGGCCTTGGATCAAAGGCATACAGGTTAGCGAGATTGCTGGTTGGTAATCAATTCCACTCACACTATCAATTGCAGAGCAACAAATAGTGCAGGAGAAGCGCCACTCGGCGCAAAATCAACGCACTCAAGTGGAGCAATTGCAATCGAAGATAGTTAAGTTACAGGTGGCCCTGGATGAGTCCTATGATATCATCGATGAGATGGACTTTGAGTTGGAGAGCGTGAGTAATCGAATACAATTCTTGAGTAATATTTAGTAACATTATTGGCGAAAGAGAAATAAGAATAAAATATAACAAAGTCATTTAATAGCCTCTACATGTTTACAGAAGATTTCATTCTTCTTGATAGTAAAAACTTAATTTAATTCCAGATCGACTTTCTTGAGATGGAAAATCAAAGATTACGCGAGGAATTGGCCGCCATTAAAGCGGAGAGAACAGCAACCAATAGTGCAAGTGCTGAGAACAAGGAAATGCCGGAAGATAAACCTATCGAACCACCGCCACCTTATGAAGACCTTGATTCATCGGCACGTCGCCGCTATAGACAGGAGGTGGCCTCTTCTGAGTGCCAATCTTGCTTGGTGCCTGGTGATGCCGATCCCTCGACGCTGGAGCGTGTAGCTCTAACGCATAGCGTAGGTTTTGAACATTAATCTGATGTAGATAAGTAAAGTTACTAAAAAGATTTAAACCTTACAGTTACTGCAAACAATCGAGACGGAGAGCAATGCCCTTAGACGAGAACTCTTGCGTTCCCGTTGGCAACAAACCGTGCGCAAAAAGGGGGAGCAAGAAAAACAATAATGCAGAGGAATGGAAATAAATGGAATTTATGTATAGTTTATGTACAATCTGTATTTAACAGCTTTAAGATAATTCACATCTTAAGGATAAACCCTAGACTAGAAACTTCAGAACAGCATGCTTGATTGAGTTCTTTAAGTGCGTATATCATTCGTTAAACAAAGATCTTTATTTTGTCTGTAAGTTGAATATGAGAAGTCTTAAATTCTAAAATGAATTGTGAACGAATTTATAAATGGATCATAAAGCTCTAGCTCCCTAGCCTTCATCGTGACTTCTTGAATAGAGAATGAATGCATTGGGAATTTAAAACCAACCCATACTATATATCAAGATTCGGCATGGGCAACATGGAGCGATTAGTGCCGCGGGGCAAAATCTTATCCAGGTGATCCAACATTATCATGTAGATGGTGTTTACTGTAGTCAATGCGACTCCGGCTACACGGGCTATATGTCCGGCCTCGCGATGGTACTCCGGAGCAGCAGTGTGGGTGGCCATATAGATAGCAGCCGAGGCAATGGACAAGGGTGAGCGGCCAGTTAGTTCATAAATCTCCATGGAATTTGAAGCAATTTGCATGGCAACAGTTTCCATAGAGACGGGAACATCTGCAAGAATTGGAAAGTTTGGGAATCAACACCAGAAGAATACGGAATTATTTCATTGCTAAAACTATTTCGAAATTAATTTCGAGCATCATTTAAAATCATCTTGACAATTTGAGGTCGTTAATTCTTTTCATTTACTACATGTATATAGTAAATATTATTACATTTACTAAATTTCTAATTTGATTGCCTGGCCGATTAGCGATTGTTCTGTCTATCTAGAATTATGTGCTTTATTATATATTATGTGAATTATTTATTTCTGTACTTCTTTCTAATATTTAAATCTTTTCCTAAAAGTTGCTGTTTAGATGCTCTCACTTGTTCCAACTGATTTATTGTATATCGAATATCCTTCTTCCTTTGAAAAGCCTTCCAAACTGACATTCCATCTGAAGTCCGAGCGGTACATAAAGATCTAACGTTTCTGCAAGGTGTTTGGCTTTTCGTCTGTGTTCACTTTTTAATTGTCCCCCAAGACGAGACGGACGGCTAAATTCACTTTTCAAAACCCTACTAATCCTATCCTTAGTTAGTACATGAGGCCAGCTAGCTGTCAGATGTTGCGAGCACATAAGACTTAGATAAGGTTCTTCACATCTATTCATGAAAGCAACGTACCCAAGGTGGAGCAGAAACGCGTCATAAAATCCTTGCTGCCAACCAAATCCAGGTCCAACTTAAGAGCAGTCATCAGCTGCTTGTAGGTGCGTCCGATTTCCTTTTTGCTGGAATTGCAAATGGCGCACACCTCCTTGAAGCTGCGCGGAATGTTCTCCTGACGACAGGCAATGTAAATGCAAGCCGCACATTTGGCATCCGTGCTGCGTGTCCGGATCAGCTTCGAATCGTAGATCTACGGGTCGATAACACAATATAGATATGATACCATAATGTGTCCGTTTCTACGCACCTGCTTGTACAATGCCTTGGCCCGATCCCTGACCTGTTCGTTTGTGTTTAGGCGCTTAACCATAACCGCAATGACGTCGAAACCACGCTTTATGGCATTATTTGTGCCCAACAAGACGCGACGTTTTATGTAAGTCGGCAACTGGTAGTTGCCATCCCGGCTCATGGGCATCGGCCCGATGACAGTCGACATGTCCTCGCCATTTAGCAGGGGATCACAAATGGCGCCCACGCGACACGGATCTGTACCTGTGGGCTCAAGGAAGCGCCACTCAGCCGACACATTGATAGCGTGCTCCATAACCACCAAACCGCATTCGGGACAAATCAAATCTCCCGCGCGAAAGTCCTCAATTAGATCTTCCTGTGGATGGTCTGGGCAATGCGGCCGAAACTTGGTCATGTAACCTGGATTCATGGTGAAACCAAAAAACGTATTACTTTTTTGAATAGAAAGCACAAATCTATCTCGAAATTATTTTAGTCGTAAGAACTCCAAATGAATTAATTTTAATGGCAATAACAATGCCTACTGGAAATTCTCTACATTAGGTCCAGACTCCCAGAAATACACAATTTCAACGCGCACTTCTTTAAATACATATTTTTTAAACTAAATTTTATTTAATTAATATTTTTTTAGCAAGCGCACATACAAATAAATGGGTATTCCCACAAATTGTAATAAATACAAATGTTTGAGAGTAGCAAGCACAATAAACACCAAAAGAAGAAACAAGAAACAACAAAAAAAAGCCGACACTACTACAAAACTATTTAATAGAAATTATTTTTAGGGATGAGAATAATTTGTGAAGACAATAATTTAGTTAAAACATGAATTTTCAACTTTCTTTAGATCAATGCAAAATTTCAAGCAAACAAAATTGTTGTTTTAAAACTACATACACATATGAATTTACTTTATGAATTATTTAATTCTACTTCAAGTATTTAAAACAACATAAATAACACTTGAACAATAATCTAACTATAAGTGAAACTAGGACTTTAGTCTTATTTTTATTTGTATTATTTATAGAAATCTCTTGGCAAGGTCGACGGATGTGTTCTCCTTAGCTGATCCTAGCTATCCATCCTCCTTTCTCGCGTCGCTTCAAAACCCGTTGCGTTTCTTTTAATTAATTTTTTTCGCATTGCATACTTTTGGGGGAAATTTTCACAACCAGTTCACGCAGGTCTTGCATGGTGTGCTAGTCTAAAAGCGAAGCCAAGCTCTCCTGGCATAGCAACGGTTCCTCTGGATTATATCTTGGCCATTGTAATGTACATGCTGATTCAGTTCTTATTTATTTATTTGAAAATTTATAGCACATCAGATATCTTAATAGATGTCAATCTAAAAACCAAAGGGCATTTTGTAGTTCGAAAAATCACATCTAAGTGGATCAAAATCGAATTAACCCCACAAAAATGGCAGACTTTTTGAACGGACCGATTGTAATTCTGCTTTGAGGAAGACTCCCTGCGTCATTTTCTTGTATTTCACGGAGGCGAGGCAAAGAAAAGCGTACCTTGGCATCTCCGTGTCCATTTACATTTTTCTATAGGTAGCGCCCACCTCTCGTCTGGGCAGGGCTGGGCTCAGATGCCTAGCCACTAATGTGTTAAGCTTCAAATGGTTCGAGTATGCAAATTATGCTTTGATTTTGTGCTCAAGTGTAACCTAGTTTTGTGGCATGTTGCATTCAACAAGTACGCATACCAGATATTGTTGAGTTGAATTAAAATTAAAATATTCGTTAATGGCAACAAACTAGTTGCGGTAATCAGAAGAGCCGTTGCCGCTATGATATGTTGCAGACGATCTGAGTAATTGCTCGATATTCGGACATACCCACAAGTGTGAAAAGATTTAACAGTTATCGTGTTGTTTGTTGGTCGATATTCAAGATTTGTTGATTACCTGTGCATGTGCGTGTTTTCCTTAATGAGAAAATTATTGTTCACATAAAACTTGTTCAGTGTGCAGAAGCGTTTTATACCGTTCATACTTAAAACTTTAATTATTTCTACGATTTTTATGTATTGTGAAAATTCATCACAAAAAAGTTCTTTAAAGTGGTTTTGAAACTTACGTAAAACATAAAGTCAGCAACAGACTATCTTTTCCTATTTTCCTATTTGCAACTTTTTAATATTGAACAACGACCTAAATAATTAATTAATGCTTTTGATTTTTAAATTGATTCAACCACCTGTAAATTTAGCATTTTAGCTGTGCGATGTTTCATTTTTAAATTCAAAGAAACGAATTTCCTTAATTTATCCAGAATTTGAAGATAAATGAAGATGAAGAAGGGTTGAACATTTTCTTATATGTATCAGAGTCTAAATGGATGAAACAGAAATAAGGAAGCAGGGCTGACTGAGACCATATGAACCACATACAAGTATACTAGCCACATTATTTTTTATAGCCCCAATTTTTAATAATGTCCGGTATTATTCTCAAAATTCATCAACATCGGCGCAGAATATCATAACTATCTTAGAAACGAATGATACAATAATGTTTATTCCAGAGAGCGGAAGAAGAGGAACGGGTACAGGGTATACAAGAGTTGGGCGACATTTTAATTTGGATTCATTGATCATCTACTTATACAAATTTCGAACACCCCATAGTCATTTGAAAAGCTTGCAGCGAACCAAAAAGTTCAGCTGACCAGTTTCGGAGCACTTTGCAAGATTTCTTGCCTAATTATCATTATTATTGGTAGACATTTAATGAACGCGTGCCACAGCACTTCAATATCGACTCAAGATTGCCACATCGAAGCCGTTGGCGGCTGCTAATGAGAAGCATATAAAAACACCGAGGACTCCACCGATTAATTACTTTGAATTTGGTCTTGGTCGCATGCATATGCGAGCGTTCTGGACTTGGACCGAGTAGACTGACTAGAGACTAGACGCACCGAACAATGGAAAAGGTATGTTTGTTCCAGGAAGATATTCACAACTCTAAATAACTCGTGCAAGGGTCTTTCGCATACAGCTCTTCGTTATACTCTCCATTGGCCTGTTTGGCATGGCTTGCGCCATCGAACTGCAGCCAGAGCTCGACTACGGACCAGTGGCCTATGAGTTCCATTGGGCCGTCCATGATGAGCACACGGGTGATATCAAGAGCCAAAAGGAATCGCGCAAGGATGACAAGGTCGAGGGCATCTATGAGCTAATCGATCCGGATGGCTATCGTCGTATTGTCCAATACAAGGCGGATGACCACAACGGCTTCGAGGCCATTGTGCAGCGTGAGCCGACGGATATTAAGATACCCTTACCAGAACCGAAAAAACTGATCGCTGCGAAGGTTTTGGCACCGATCGCACCAATAACCCCACTCGTGCATTATGCACCCAAGCCGCTGCTAAAACAGGAATCTCTCCCTGAGGGCAATTATGTTTCGGTTTCAAGGCCCACATCGCAAATCAAGTACTGATTGGTTTAAAAGATTTTATAAACTGACTTCCAAGCTCTTCCATTGCAAGACTCGGCACATATACATACATATGTACATACATACATGAATGCATAAATACACACACACGCACTCATACACTTACCAACAGGCATAGCCAGCATTATTGCATTCTTCACATTTAAGTTATATACATATACGCCATTTCTTATGTTCAGCAACCATTATGGAATCATATCATATCATAAAATAATATCCCAGAATAAAGATGAATTTGTTCGAAAAACGAACACAAAAATGATGAAGCTGTTAAGTATTACATTGCATAACCCTAGGACCCACGCAAGCCATTCGTCAAAATTCTAGAAAAGTGTGCATTCTTCACGTAAAAGCGTTATACCGGAAATGTTGAACGGTGTACCCCAACGCTGAATTGACAAAAGAAAAAGCTGTCGGCGAGCAAGCCCAACAGTGTGTCCAAATAAATAAAAAGAAACAAAAAATAAGAAGAAGAGGGAACCCGCTCCTGCAGTTTGTGGGCGTAGTATTGGAGTAACATTGTTTCGTTACTAACTTTTCGTAAAATTGACCAATTTGAATGAAATTTATAAAAAGTAGAGATTTTTAAATTATTAAATTTGTAATTAAAAGTTATTATATTTTCATATCAGGCAAGAGCACTACATTTAACAGTCCACTTTTTTTTTCCTGAGTTCCTATTCAATTGAATGCGATTGTATTGGAGGTCGAGGAGCGTGAATTAGCGTTTGGTAATACGAGTATGATCGTCTGGGGCTCCAGTTACAAAGTCAATTAAGTTTTGCAGCTGTTTTCTGTAGAAATATGTTTCTTGCGATTTGCATTAACGGCGTATATGAATTTCAGCTGCATTTCAAATCGGAACAGTTGGTGTTCAGATCGCTTTGAGTCCACATTCATCGGACTTGGATATGAAGGCGCTTTTCGCGCTTCTCCTATTGCTGCAATGGATGGCCTTCGGTCTCTGCGAGGTTGATTGCACCGAGAATGGCACCAATGTGGGCTGTGGAGGAGCCTGTCCAGAGACATGCATGGTGAAGACCGTCCTTTGCACCCTTGAGTGCGGTGCGCCGTGCGTTTGTAACCCAGGATATATTATCGATGAGTCAAAGCCTGCCTGTGTCTTGCGAAAGGATTGTCCACCTATTAGCTATAAAGCAAGAAAAATTAATTATTCTGTGCGAACGTTCAAGAACTTTGGTGGTGGGTGAAAAATACACACAAAATGCTATTTGTTTTTAAATAAATACAAATAAATAAACTTATCATATCCAATTGGATAGAAGAGCAGCAAACAGTTCAACGAAAAGTTTCATGTGAAGAAATGAGGAATCTTTAACCATCAAACCAAATCCAAGTATTTTAAATTAAAGGAGTTTTTCGGAACCGTGATCATACGACTTTGCTGCGTCTTCCCAGACATACCAAAGTTTTCTTGTCGTCGCTCCAATACATCGGATGATATACAATTTGTGTTCCTTACCTATTTTTTCGAGCGCATACTGAGAAAATACTTTCCAAATTGTTTCGATTAAAGAAAGTCTCCCGGGCCAGGTCAGCTTTCGCGCTTACACGGCCTGATTCGCACAAGTTCTGCAATAATCCATCAGCTTCTATACTCAGCCTTGACTTGCAATAAATAAATTATTTCTTATACTTTTTTTTTAGATTCATTCACACTCTTTGATTGCTTCTCGTAGCGAATCCACAATAACAAACTTAATAGCGAACAATAAATAAATAATTATAAATAATTGATAAGCTTTACAACTAATAACAAAACGACGAATCAGGGTCAGTAATTCGCATAAGGACCGATTACATTGTTGCCGATCGCATTATTGCCATAGCCATAGTCCTTCAGATAGTTGTCGATGGCCATGTCGAAGGTAGTACCGGGCTTGGTTTGTAAGGAGCTGGACTCAGGGGGCGGAGCGTAGGCCTTCGATTCCGCCACGGGCTGCGGCATGGGATACGATTCTGTCTCGCTGGGCGGCAGGGAATAGGATTTTGGTTCACTTGGGGGAAGGTTGTAGGATTTGGATTCACTTGGGGGCAGGGAATACGGTTTTGGCTCGATTGCTGGTGGGGGTGGTGGTGGTGGGGGTGCAATGGGGTATGGTGAGGATGACTCATAGGCGGGTGGTGGTGCCGATGTTACTACGTGCTCCTCCGTCACATACGGAGTCTTGATCTGGGTCTTAACAATACCGCCATTGGCAACGGCACTGGCGGACACCTTATAATTGGCGACATGCTTGGCCTTGGACACCACGGGCGAGTAATAGACGGGATGTTGTGGCTGTGGTTGTGGCTCCGGCTCTGGCTGTGGCTGCGGACTGGGCGGATAGCCCTTCCTATTGCCGTAGGCGTTGCTTAGCAAATGTGCGAGCTCCTCCAACGTATAGTTGGGTGCATTGATGTTGTTGCCCACAGAAGATGAAGGCGCTGGTGCCTCATGATATGTGAGGGGGTAAGGCACTGCGGCTGCAGGAGCTGCCTCTTCGCGATGGTAGCTCGGCAGAGATGGTGCATATTTAGGGAAATATTTGCGTTGGTGCACATGCGAGTATTCGATCTGTCCACCTGGCGCATAGTCCCGCACGGCGGATATCTGGGTCAGCTGCTGCTTGGGCCCGGAAATGGCAATCTTACGGCAGAAGTCCTTGCAGCCAAGCTTGCAGTCGCAGTAGCACTTCTTGAAGGCGGGCAAAGAGGCGATGCCATCGTAGGGTAGATTTACCGGAGGCGCAATGGTGCTCGAATAATAGACCTGTGTGGTGGCTTCGGGCGGCGGAGTAGCCGTTGTTCCCGGCCCTACGGTAGTAGGTGGTGTTACAGGTGGACTGATCGTGCTCGTTGTTGTTATTACGCTGGGCACTGTTGTTGTTGGCACATCTCTGCAGGGCACCTGCTCCCAAATTTCTTGCTCACACTCTGCACAATATTCGGGAAAATGCGCTTGGGTGAGCGCGACGGCCAGCAACAATAAACCGTATATCTCAGATCGCACAATCATCTAAAATAAAAAATAAGGTAAATATATATTAATAATAGCAGTAATGAGAACGGGTCAGCGACATACAATTCCAATTGCCCAGCTCCAATCGGTTCGATCGCCACAGTTTGTACAGTAGAAATAGCTTAAGAGGAATATCTCATTAAGTAGTTAGCTAAGTTTACTTCCACTGGAATTCCTTCAACAATTTAAATAGGTATGGGTTTTGAGATTATTGTATGTTCACGAATAGTGAATAGAGAAGCTATGAACAATATTAGACACACTCATAAAAGATATGATAGTTCTTTAGAGTTCTCTAGAAGACATTTCAACTATGGTTCCTCATAGAAAAGCCTGACAAATCTCCACGAACAATCTGACAATTCTTTAACGGAACCTAACAGTTCTCTTTATAATACCTGACATATCTCAATAGAGAGCCTGACACTTGTTCATAGAAATAATGACATTTCTCCAGAAATAGTCAGCAACTTCTCTATCACGAACTTTAGAAATTTTTAGGTTGCCTAACTTCACACTGTATTAGATATTATTTTTTTCTACGCACTCTGCAGGTTTCTGTTAATGGATCCCTACTGTGATCTTTGGTTTATGCTTACCTTTCAGCACTATATTTAGTTGTTCCTCCGTTGTGTGCCGCGTGCAAATTCTTCCATTCAATATTGCTGAATAGCTCTTAAATACAATTTTTGCTGTACGCCAGTTTGTTGGCATTGCGAACTATTTGCAATATACGAGTATGTACATACATATATTACAAGCGCATATGGGTCGACGGCGGCGTCAGCGTCGCAGTTGCAGGCGCAGTCGACGTCGACATCGACGTCTTGTTGTTGTCGCTGGCAACGTTGCGGAAATGAATCTTGAAAGCACGTTCTAAATGCGTTGGTTGGCTTCAACTGGTGCCACAATCGCCAGTTTCAATATTTTACAGATATGCCCATCCATATATCGAGGGCATTCACATACCCACACACACACTTGCTGGGATCCATAAGAATGTCAACAGAATAGTAATAGCAATCAAAAACTGCTTTCCACATCTCTTGGTATCCAAAAGCTAATGGAAGCAACAAATTAACCATATATGTATGGTCCATTAACTGGTCCAGTCTCCAATTTCTCTGCCGATTCTAGGCTGTGCTCATGCTGAACATTTTTTTGGGTCTGAAGCGGCGGTGGGCGCTCGACTAGTTTATAAATTTTCAACTTGCTACGCCGGCCGCAATGGCCCTGCATTTTTTGTAAATTTTATAGATAGTTTCGATTAGCTTATCAATTGCATTAAGAGGAAATAATTTCGTACAGCTTTGTTCGCACACGTACTGCACTCTGATAAGCAATATTTTGAGCCACCAATACGATATCGTCTTTGGTACATGCGTACACTGTCTAAGCTTACTAAACCCATAATACGCCGGTGCCAGGCCTCCGAAAACACCAATTCCCCTTAGATTAGTCTCAAAAAGTATCCTAACTGCTAGACCAGTACAAAGGTCAACATTACAACTTTTTGAGGCTTAATATATAAAGGAAATTTATCTATTTTGGTATATCAGGCTTTCCACATGCCATATAGACACTCAGCAATTAAACCGGCCGGCATTTATTTATTATGAAAATGATTTATTTTGCATGAATCAGCAAGCCGTTGGATTTGAGGTGAATGACTTCAGATTCAAAACTAGACAAAACTAGTTTACTGTGCCAGTGGTGCTTAAATGATGTAACATTTTAATGGTTTTTGATGATCTCATTTATATTTTGTTGTATTATTTAATACAAACATATATCAATTATATTCATATTTGAATGCAGTAGAGTGATAGAAATAAATATTAAAACTAGGTATACAAGTATAGCGCTATATAATACGCATTCCCCCGCTGAATAAAAGATTTTCTATATTTATTTTTTTCCGCTGCATGAAAGATTTTCTATATTTTTTTATTTATTTATTTTTCTTATTCTTCTTTACTCTTAGCTCATTTAAGTTCTCTTTCTCATTGTCAAATTGTTATAATTAATAATTAGTACACTCCTATTTAACTCTGATAAGTCCGGTAGACCGCCATTGGCAGCCCCACATAGACACAAGCTGGTTCTTTCTATTGCAAGATGGTGGAGATTGGCTTGGAGAAGGATTTAATTTAATAACATCCTGCTGTGCATCCTGCCTGAAAACGCCGACAGTGAGGGCGGAGAACATTCCGGGGCAAGCCTGTGCGTATTCAGATACTTTACTCTAAATGACAGAGTAGCTGTTCCAGAATTTGGATCGCTTATAGGTCCTCTCATTGGCTGCATCTGTCGTCTGTTGAGCTTCTTGGCATAGACGACAATAAAGCAATGACCTATGAGTAGGCTTCTTTTAGATTCTGAACTCCTTACTTTGGCGTTGCAGAAGAAATCAGGTGAGTCTTTTATCTCTACCTTTGCATTTAAATTCTTTTAAAATTTGCTAAAAGTTCAACCCAAAAGTCTGTGATATTCAAAGCATTGCCTATCTATCCATTTGTTAAATTTATTTGGCATCCAATAATATAATTGTTATCGAACCTACTGCGAATTTGCTTTAAGTCGTTCCCAGAACTCACCTAAAATGTAATCTATAAAATGCTTCTTTCCTAGGGTGTGATCAAAACACAAGTAATGCAAGAATTAGAATAGATTTATTTTTTTTCACATTTAGCATTAGAAAGAAATTTTCGCTAAGAAAATAAAATCAATACCAAATGAGAAATTGAAATTTTTCAACCGCCAGGCTGTCACTTAAATGCTTTGTTTTATGCTAATTAAAAGTAATCAATACAATGCACAATTGTCAGCTTAAATTATGAATAACTTTCTGAAAGGGTCTGGCCCCGCCAAAAACATTTATTTCATGTGCACTACTCCTGGGAGTTGTTGGATCATCCTCGATCTCAACGAAACTGTGCTCAGTATGGGGCTTATCTTCATTTATTTTTTGAACGTTTATCCTGGGAGTTGTTCCCATTTCAACGAAACTCTGCTTGGTATTGGTGTTTTCTTCAATTGCAGGATTGTTGAGCTGCCTTTGCTGCTCCATATGCTGCAGTTTTTCGTAGATATGCTTTTTGAGATCTCGCTCCATATTTTGCAGCTTCGTATAGGTTTTCTTTTCGTTTACATTTTCTTTTTTAGAAAAGCCGTTTTCATCACCAACACTGACAAGGTTGAGTCTTGGTTGCGCCTCATGTTGCATCTTTTCGGAATTTCGGTCTGTGAATGCCACCTCCTGAGCTTCAAAAACTCCTCGCCTGTTGATCGCCCTCCCCGGCATTTCTTCATAATTGCTCTCCTTATGAATTTTATCTTTTTCCCCATCATCTTCGGAAGCAGGCCTACCGGACTCATTAGCCTGTTTAACATTGTGCTGCTTGAGAGCATTCCCTTTTCCATCAGCAGTTTCCTTTTCGCTTTGATCCCATTTGGATGCGGGTAGGTGGGGTTTGCTCATATCGATCACAGTGCTGGCACTGTTATTTGCGGTCAATCGTTTGAGCATTTCCTGATATTGAGGCTGATCTTCAGTTATAAACTCCGGCTCGTCTTCCGGGTTCAGAATTTGATAGTTGGGCGTGCCGAGCTCAAACGTTGTCACATCCCCGTGCTCCATTTTGTTCTTCAGATGGTTCTCGTTCCATCCATACTGTTGCAACGGCTTCATCCATGACGCATCGGGTTGACCCTCGCCGTTGCCTTCAGCCTCTGCCTCCCCACTTGCTGCAACTAAAGCTTCGGCTTCGGTGCCGTCTGATCCCGGAACTACGGCATTGGTAGGTGGCAAGGAGCTGCGATAGGCAAGCACATGACTTAGTGTTAGCACCAGAATTAGAGCTATTCGTGTTAGCACTGACCCTTCCATTTTGGTACTGATCGCTGAAAGCTGCCGGCATGCTCATCGATAGTTGATTTGGTCAAGAGAAGAGCAATACTTTGTATTCAATGGAAGTTCTTTCGGTCTTAGCTGCACGTAGGCCATCTGTAATTTGACGACCGCAGTGCGACTTCCAACCTGCTACGTGCGATTAAAGAGTTCGTCTGAAGATATCGAATTAGTTATCAGTGTTTGCCTCAATTCTGCGGCAATACTCAATTTTATCTAATGATGACACATGACCAATTCAAGCCGCAAAAGCCAACAGTTGCGTTGGCATTCCGTTTAAATGAGGCAAGCTTTTTACTTGACACAATTCTTAACCTTGAATTATCAACCTTTTGATAAGCCAAGCGTACTGCCGGCCAAAACAAAGCCGTTGCTTCCCTTTAAAGCCAATGGATTATATAAAGCCCTACTTAGCAACAAAGAATTTGCTCTTCTTATTGTACTTGTCAGTTTTAAACGCTTTTCCTTTTACATTCGGAGTTTGTGAAATTTATTTGTTTTTAGCCAGTTAAAGCTTTAATAATGTGGGTTATTTAGAAAAAATCAATATTCGTATTATTTCAAAATGTTCCTAGCTATATTTGTCTTTTACAAAATGATTTACAAGGAATGTATGAATAAATATTTGCTTCATAAGTCAGTAAATGTGATTTTAATTATGCTATTTGTACCTGAAATGAGTTTAAAAATATGCAGAAATTATAGAGATTTGCACTTAAACTAAAGCTGAACTGTGACCAAAAAAAGTGTAATTTTGACAAATTCAATAAAAATAGAAAGGTACTAATGCTTCTTCCTTCAGAAAATTATATCATTATAACTTATTCGTTGTTTCTAAAACAACCAACTTAGCAAACCAGTCCAATCGGCAACTATTATCCTTGAACTTCTTGAGCTAATCTTTCAGCTTTGCTAAAATACATATCGCTAAAGCTTAAATTTCCATATAAATAACACCAAATGGAAACATTTTGTTGAAGACATTGAAGATTACAATATTCATTAATTTTTGTTTTAATCCTAAAATTGCTTTCATTTATTTCTTTCATATTATACTATGTACAAATTAAATTACTCTATTTATAGTACGTAGTATACATATTCTACTAAAAAGTCTATGTCTTCATATTTCGATTGTATTAGATGTTTAATACTGTCCAAGTTTTTTGAATTCAGAGCACTTAAAGGATCGCTTTATGCGCAAATGCCAATCGTGATGGAAACAAACATAAGCATGTTTAGTGTCGCTGTCAAAAGTTGACCCTGCATGTCGATTTTCAGCCGAAAATGACTTTTAAGCGGCTCTTAAGAACGTGTATTTGAACCTGTCGCGGCGGACAACAATCAGACATTTCCTAACACTCTTCAGAAGTAGTTCTCCATGGCCACTTTAAGAGCTAAGCCTGCGTTAAGTGCGTGTGTCTGCCACAGTGGAGGCAACGGCAACAGAATTTATTATTTATGGAGACTACTTAAATGTATATGTCTTGCTGATTGGGTTGGGCGACAGCAAGCGACAGCGGGCGTGCCGCCATCGCCAATAGGTGGCTTGAATGAAAAAAAAGCGAAATAAATAAAAAATTGGCAATGCCAGCGACACGCACTTGCCGCACTCGCAATGGAACCGTAATCTTGTTCTAAATTAATGTGGCGCAAGATACGCACCGGGCTGCTTATTACTTCACATCGAATTTGCCTACGTGTTTTTGATTGCATTTGCCTCAGTCTCTTTGCCAAATTTATTTATGTATTTATTTTTTTCCTTTTCTGGCGATTGATTTGTGTGCGGCGCGTGCGTGAAAGGTAGCGGCAAATAAAAAGAGGGAAAAACATCGAACGGCTGAAAATCTGGTCCACACTAAGCGCAGAGGCGGATGTTGCAATTTGCATATTTTAGTAAATTAATTAAGTGGAAAAGCGGCCAACTTAGCAGCGGCATTTCTAAGTTCACATCACGCCACCACTGACAGTCGATGCCTGTCTGAATGTCAACGCGCAATTTGTTTGATCTGACGGCGATAGTGCGTCCAAATGGCCACCTAGCGGCACCTTCGAGAGGTGCAACAAATATTGCAATACCTACTAAGCATGTGTCAGCAAATTGGCTCAAATAGGCGCTTGGTGTGTTTTACAAATTTATGCGAGTATGTACATGTACAATAAATTAGTTGCTGCTCTTGCGGCGTTTTGGAAAAACTAATGTGCAACTGAAATAAAATGAGAGGCAAGTAGTAACTACAATTTAAAAATCCTTTGTTTCCCCGCTTTATGCTTTATCATACGAAAAGAAAGTTTTCGTAGAAGATACTGACTTTGTCATGAAATAAAATCTTTTAAAATAATAATGTTAGTTGCAGAACTGAAAAATCTCTTTAGTCGCTTCAACAAAATATAGTTTAACATAATATTAACATTTGAGTGAAATTTCTTATTACTATTCTATTTTTTTCCAATGAATATGATGAAAACATTGCTAAATAAAATCGGATTTTTTTATGAGCGCGAGTGTATGTTTCTGAATTTGAAAAATGCCTATTTATTAAATTATGATGTAAATAATATAGACACTGCTATTTATTGCTGCCGAGAAACGAGCTTATTTCTTAATATCTTGTACCACAACAAATTATAATCGTCTATTTTTTTTTAATTTTTTGGAAAAGCATTAATTAACTTTGGTTTTATATACAAAATACAACTACAATTATAGACATTCAAACCAAAAGACTATAGAATTCAATTAGTGCAGGCCTTCGCTAATATTACAGTTAAATATTTAGCTTATAGAATAACTAAACCAGCTTTTATACATATGTACTATTTACTTACTTTTAAAAAAATGTTTCATGCATTTCAATTATTAATTATGTTAAACAATTCACAACATAAATTTATTTTACTGGCATTAGTGCAACTGTATTATAATGTCTTAATAAAGTTGATCCATGCTAGTGTTGTTATCTTTGAACTTTCACTTGACTTTGGCTCACCATTTTGAAAGTCGTGCCGATAGTTGACAATTGTAAATGATATTGACAGCATTGTCAACTAAATTATTAATAAAACAAATTGGGTTATGTATGTATATACTTTGTAGATACAAGTGTGTAGGATTAAATGTTAAACAGAGAAACAAAAAGCAAAGCTTTGGGCTTTTTTTTTTATTGCGTTTCAATTGCAGACAAGAGAGCGTGTTTTTATTTTGTTTCTCGAATATAAGACAAGAAACGTATACCGAAATCAAAACATTTTTGGCAAGCAAAAGTACACAAACAAACGAAACCAACACACACAGACATATTAACTGCATTCCGGTTCGGGTTTATGGTTATCCACGCACCGTGGAGGTGGGGCCCCAAACACCTCAATGTGGAGCTGGGGCCTCGGCTTTGATATAAAAGTTGCGTGCGCGACATTCGGCGGCATAGTCTAATACAGGAGTCTCAAGTGGAAGTGAAACCAAGCCAAGCGTCAAAAACATAGATTGTGAAAATGTTCTCAGTAAGTGAAGCAAGGAATATTTTATACTATAAGGAAAGAGACTAACTGTGCTCCTTTTACAGCTGCTGGGTCTGTTTATTATTGGAGTGGGTGCTGCGGCGGCAATTGAGCTGCCGCTGAGTCCCATCTACCATTCACCAGCGGCCATTGTGAAGCCCCTGCTGAAGACTGTGGAGGTGGAGGCGCCAGCACACTACGACTTCTCCTATTCGGTACGCGATGATCACACCGGCGACATTAAGAGCCAGACCGAGTCACGAAAGGGCGACCAGGTACAGGGTCAGTACACGCTGATCGACGCCGATGGCTATCTCCGCACCGTCGACTACACCTCCGATGCCCACAATGGCTTCAACGCCATCGTCCGTCGCGATCCTCTGGGACAAAAGGTGGTCAAGCAGATCGCTCCCATCAAGGTTGTCCAGCCTCTGGCCCTTGGGGTACCCAAATTGCTTGCGCCTGCCAAACTGCCTCTGCCCCTGGGCTTGTATCACTAGGAACGCATGCAGCGACCCACCAAGAGAGACGCCGAAAGAGAGCGAGAGAGAGAAAGCAAAACACTGATTTCATCGCATTGACGACGACTCATCTCAACTATAATAACCTTAACTCTACTCCACTCTAAAGGGTATTAGTCAGACTCTTAATTCTTCACTGCATTCTTCTGAATTCTTTTTCATTTCCCACTCTTCGGTCACACTTCACAACAATCTTTCATTCTTCTTTCCTACACTTTTCATTCCCCGACTTCACCTTTCATTGACTAAGACTCTATAGATCTTCAACGCATCAACGATCTTCGATATCTTAATGTCCACGTATGTGTGCTTACGAATTTCCTATGTCATTACATGCTACTTATATATGTTATGTGTAGAACGCAATAAATGCATTTTTATAAAACCCTGCATTTTCATAAATTATGTCTGGATATTGCTTAATTTATTTATTATATTTATGTAATAAGTTCTCAAGTATAGGCTGTCATAGCTAGATGAACAAATACTCAGTTTACCTTTAAAACTTATAAGCTAAAACAAAACCAAATAGGAGAAGTGTCAACAAATTACAATAATATCTAATAATCCGACAATCCTTGTCGCAATTCACAGCTACGTTAACAGACAAAACTTAAATTATAAAAAAACTACCAACTAAAGAAGTGAATAAAAGTGAACTTAATACGAATTAATTGGTAATAAATTAGCTTAAGAAATACAAAAATACTCCGACCATTGGGTGAAGATTTGTCAGCCAGTTCAGCAAGCTATAACCCAAGTCATAGTCACACTTGTGGTCAAGAAAATAAGCCCGAATATGGATAATAAGTGAAAAGAAATTTGTATTTAGAATAGAAGAGCTTGCAATGAATTAACCCAATTCCAAGGCAAATACCATTCCCATGTGTTCTATAATAATAACGATGAAATAATCCTTATTTAATTATTATATTAATTTAATTATTGTTACAAAGCAAATCGAGTGGAATTTCGTGTGTACTGCATTTTCCTTCAACTACCTTTCAATGCAAATTCGATTACAATTTAATGGGAAGGTAAAACTAAAACACAACTGAATCATATGTTATTCAAGAGAACCATGACGCTCCAATTGCTATAACAAGCTTGGTCAGTAACCGGATATTCTAATCCAATTAGTGATGTATTTAGAGTATTTTCTTTTCTTTTAAAAAAGACATAGGCTAGACGACATTACAAGAATTTATTTGGATTGGATTTATTCTGTACTGAGAAGATTGCAGTTCATTTATTGCTAACTACATTCGTTTTAGCATACGATCTATGTACCATGGCTTCCACTAATGATGTGTAATAATCGAAATGGGCTCCCGTCGCACCTGCGCTATAAAGCCCAGCAATGGATCCGAGCTGTAGTCCACGATGCGGCGCAGACCATCGGCATCTATGAGCGAGTAACGGCCAGTCACATATTCTCCACGACGATGCTCAAACTGATCCTTCACATCGCCAGTGTGGCTGTCATGCACGGAATACTGGAACTCATACTGGGGAGAACTCACGATCAGCTCATCGGGATGACTGGCAATCAGGCCAGCCTGAGAAACAGATCCGCAAACGATCACACAAAGAACCGCACTGAGATACTAAAGCGAACCACATACAGTTGATATGATCGGTACAAATATTTGTGGATATATGTGTCAAGTATACTTGTACAGTGCCCTTACCATGGTATGCATTGTGGCTATTCCTGCTATTCTTGTTGGTCTATGCTCAATGGACATGAAGGAACTAGCAGACCTGCAACAACTCTCTGGTGATATACGTATCCAGTGACTGACTGATGACTGTTGTCTGGCGAGACTGCTTTTATACATAAATAACATGCCCTATTGTCGCAGTGGCCAAGTTATTGAAGTAACAGTGACCGGTTCAGATTTGAAATCTAATCCCGCCGCCACTTCTTATGCAATGCAAAGTTAGTCTCAGGCCCATTGCGATTGCGAGCGAAATCCAATCGCATCTGTTCAGTCAGAGGCATGGAGGAAGTGATATTTAATGCATTAGGCTTGCAAAACAAAAAGCCCATCCCAAAACTACTCAAGCTCAGATTGACATGACCATATTGACTCGTCTAATATGATACTAATCCAGAGGGGTCTGCTGCGCCTCCTTTGGCGCGTAATAGATACTTACATGATGTATTTTCTATGACAAAAGCAATTCCATTTGACGAACTTTTATGTTAGCTTTAATCGTAAACTTATAGTGAACTTTAACATTTATATTTTTAGCTTACTTTATCACAGCTTTAATATTAGTTATTTAAAATAAACAATACAAAATTACTGCATACTCGTAAATCCTACAATCAAGGAATGGCTACATATTCCCGCATAATGGTAGAGTTGAGCAAATCAGAGATATGTGATTTCCAAACGATCATTTTATGGGGTTTCAGGTACGATGGCTTACGCATTCATTTCCATGTTGTCTAAAATTTCTTTTCCAACAACGATCCTAGGCAATTATAAAACGTTAGGCCTAAGTCAGATAAACTATTAAGTACATATCTAAATATACAAGTAGTTTCTAACCATACTATTCTACGCAGATTACACCGACTATGCTACACTACGATTCCGTATTGCAGGGTGCACCCAATTCGTTTCACTAGCACTAATCGGGTGAGATCGGTGAATACAATTTACTTTGAGTACTATATCGTATTTGTTCAATTCTAAAGCTATAGATTGTGAACTCAAGATACGTGCTTTAGTCGCTAGGCTTGCTGATTAGCTAAATTCAAGTTACCGTTCTCGGCAACCATCCATGCCGTTAGCTTCTCATCTTCCGTCTTGTTGCTCTCATCCCAAGGAAATACAGCGGGCTTTTCCCTCTGTGTCGGCTTTACTCTGTAAACATTGAGATGAAGTTATTCCACTTCTTAAAATCATGCACCCATTATGTTTAACATTTAACTACTTGCATTTTTTTATGATTGAATGTGAATCGATTTCGAGCGCATGAATATTTTAAAAGTTGCATTAAGGTATTAAAAGGGTGGACTGAATAGTAGTCGATCTAGGCGGGAGTACAACATTTTATTCACTTTAACTTTATTTAATCCCCAAAAATTAAGAAAAAAAAAAACACCAAAGAATAATTCATATCAGTTATCCTTTTTTTAATAAATATTTTTTTCCGAAATTAAAACCGCCATCACCTTTTCAGCAGCCAGAACTATCTTGGCAGTCTTTAAGATATTCGATAATCTGCCATCCCAACTAGATCGATTGCCTTTCAGCTCACTTGAGAAATAATTATATAAAATAATAAAACTCAAATTTTGACTTCCCTATCCATTAAACAATAAAACCAATAATGCTTATAATTGAGCAACGCAAAAACGCCACTTAGTTGATTACAAGAGTATGATAATGATAATCATAAGACAAATACACTAAGAAACTACGAACTAAGTACACTATGTTTTCAACCATGCAATTATTTGTATACTATTGTTGTATTTACAAGTTGCTACCAGCATATTTGTTACCTTATGGGCCAAAAGCGACATTCGTCATCGTTTGAGGAGGAGTCGTTTTGGTTTTCCCTGTCGCACACAATGTTCAATGACAAGCAAATCAAAAGTCATAAATAGATGTAGGGCATAAAAATATGGGAGATTGTAGACAGGAATACATATATGTAGAGTACAAAATACGATAAGTTCACAGTTACAACAGACAGGATGAGCATTCAAAACAAGCACTGATGACCATTGAACCAAAAACCCTATGATAATTACAAGAACATGCCAAAAATCGTGCATTCCTACACTTACGAATTGGTATTGAACGAATCGGTACGACTGCCATTATTGGCCTCCATGCTGCTCTGTGTAGCCTTCTTCTGGGGCCTCAGGAACTGATCATTGAAGTAGTCGCGTCCATTCTGCGAGCTTGTCGTTGTGTGTCCACTCTTGGCCTGCTGGGTGGGCGGCACTGTGTGTGGATATTTCCCATCGCTGTCCGAGTCCATGGATAGGTGTCCAAAGAGATCTTCTAATAACATATTGGCCTTCGCATTGCGCTGACGTTTGGCGGAGTTTTTCAATTTAGAGCTGAGTTCATAATAAAACATGAGTAGTATTTAATAGACTTGGGACTCCAACTAATAATTACCCCAATATTGTGTCGAGGTCATCAACCTTTAGTGCACTCGGCTGTGGAATTTTCACGGCAGGCTCTCGCTTAAATATGGATCGGGCTGATAGGCTAATGGCCCCATTATTCAACACCCCAGAATTTAAAATGGACGTGGGTTCGTAGACTGGCTGCCGCACGATGACATTCGCCGGCGCCTGCGTTGCACTGACCTTCGAAAAGAGATTATAGACCTTGGTTTCTGGTTGCACCACCAGAGAGGCACGCGAGGGCATATAGTAGCCGCCGCCCTGCTTCCCCGAATTCCTGGCATTCCTGCTGGCCGTATCATAGCTCAGTTGACTGCCATTCACATAGATAGCGCCGCCATTCCGCAACGTGGTATTGCTAAAGGAAACATTTGGATGATAAGGTTGCTGCTGCTGCTGCTGTTGTTGTTGTTGTTGTTGTGCTGGCAGGCCAAAGAACTGGGAGATATTGCGATTCAAATAAATGTCGTTGACGGACTCGCTGCCAGGCGCTGCATTCTCATTGGCTTGGACGTAGCCCAACTTATTGAGGCTCGTGCTGCTCAGATATATGTTTTGGGTCGGAACTGAAGCTTGAACGGCTGCATTGCTGGTCCCTGTCGCGGCACTGCCAGCCATCTCGGCGTTGGACAGAAAGCTGTACTTGGGCTGATATTTGCGGGGCAAGCTCACGTTTTTTATTTGGTGACCATTTAGGCTGGAGTTGGAGTTTCCATTGGTGTTGATGTTGCCGTTGCCGTTGCCGTTGGTGTGGTGGTTGATATTGTTGTTATTGCTCTGTTGGATTAGTTCAGTCACCGCCTGCAGTTTCTCCTGCACCGGAAGCACATTATTTGACACAGTCTGAGGTAGCACATGGGCTTGAGCCTGAGAAGCGCCACCATATTTGGCATTGAGTTTAACATTGGCCTTGGTGGCCGCCGTTGGGGAAATGCGCTTCAGCGCATGGAAATAGGGATATTTGAGGCTCTGTTGGGCCGTTGGTCGTTTATCAGGATCATAGGCCAGCATATCCTCTAGCAGATCGAGGCCCGTTTGGCTGCAACGACTCACAACGCTGTTCAATGGCACTTTGATGCAGTCGGGATAACGAAAATGGATCATGGCCGCCAAACGGTAGCCGTCGGGCCAATCATTCTACAAAAAAATACTTAAGAGTATGGAGCTGTTGATAATATAAATTCCGAACCCATACCTTATCCGGAGTTCCTAAAACGGAACATATTTTGTACAGCTGATCCACTTCACTGCTGCCCGGAAAAAGGGGTCGAAAGGTATACAGCTCGGCCATAATGCAGCCCATGGCCCACAGATCAATTGTGCTGCCATATGTTGTGGAATGTAGAAGAACTTCAGGGGCACGGTACCAGCGGGTCGACACATAGTCCGTAAATGGTGGCCTAGAACGTATCTCACGTGCCAGGCCGAAATCTGCGATTTTTATAAGCTCCGGCCCCGAGCACAACAGATTCTCGGGCTTGAGGTCGCGATGAAAGAAGCCATGCCGATGCATAAAAGCCAGACCCGTCAGCACCTACAAATCATATATAACCTATGGAGTAGTCTTCTTCTCGATCTCTAACTCTTCCACTCACCTGAAATAGAATGCTCTTTAGCGTGGGCTCCGGCAAGTGCGTATCGCGATCTTTTATCATTTGATATAAATTCTCCTTCATGTATTCAAACACAAAATACAGCGTATCGTTCTCCCTGATGACTTCCTTTAGCTTCACAATATTGGGATGCGATAGTTTCTTCAGAGACTGCAAATGGATTTTGTTGATTATGCTCGGCAGGATCGTGGATTTTCTGTCACAAACAACAAACCTTAACTTCTCGCAAATTCATAGCCTCCTCCCAAGAGTAGTATTTTCTTTTCATGCGTTTTATTGCTACCTTTTCGCCGGTATCCTTGCGCTGCCCCAGGACAACAGTGCCATATGTTCCATCACCCAGCTGAGTCAGTGTAATATAGCGGTTCATGTTTGCGGCAATGTAATGCAAACAGTATTTACATATTTCCTTAGTGGCACGCAAGCTGAAAATTCAAAGGGGAGCCAGAAACACAATTAAATCACGAATTTCACGCACCACCCGGTGTAGTAGTCTAGTACATACGAATATATTAAATGAGAGAAAGAGAAATCAATTCAGCGGCCATACCCGGATCACGAAACACGAAACGGCATACAACGAATGCATGTAATGAGGAAAAGGAGGCGTGCCAGACACCATGTTATAGGTGCACACATACATGATCAGCAGGCCAACACGATTTCATATATGCAGGTCCGTCAGTCTGTCCGTTTGTCCATCTGTCTGTCCGTCTACATGAACACAGGGAAGCCATAAGAACTATGGACATTATATTTGAAAAACTGCAGACATTACGCTCACACAAAAAGTTAAAACAAAATCACCTCAGGAACATATTTGAACATTTATATACAAGTATTCTAGGTTGCTGGAAAGACCGTTTTCCTTGCAGTTAATTATTTAATATTTAATCACTTTCTTGGCATTCAATATGCAACAACAGGAGTACGTTTGCGGGCTTTGTTTTTAAAGATATATTCATATATAATGTAAAGTCTATACCAATACATACATATGTATATGTGAACTTTATTTGACACAATTACTTTTGCTTTTAAATTATATATGAGACCTGGATCTAGACACTGGTAAAGTGGTTTGCATTTTGAACAACAGCAGACAGTTTAACTGATTTGAATGAGACTTCAGTTTATAGTAGGGTATATTAAATTTTGTACTAAGCGTAGTAAGATTTGTAGATTTGTAGTCAACTTAGTCAGATGTTTTTAGCAATTGCAGTTCAAAAGTGTTCTGTTCTATTTCGAATTGTGTCATCATGCTGTTCAACTATTAACCTATAATTTAGGATAAGCCAGCTCTCACCTTTCAAAAGTTCGCGATGTAAATGTTATTCCATTTGAAGTCAAGTTAATAATCGAAAATTAATAAATCTTTCAACGACTCAGCGATTAAAAGCGATTCACGTACACAGCTGGATGTGGTTAATGAATCTCCCACCACGTAAGTGTCACCTTTCACAACAACCATTAAAACAAATGACAAGCATTTACAAACAAATCAAATCAAATTGTACACTGGCCTATATCTTTGACCGCAAGCCAAGTCCATTTGTGGGTCTCTATTTTCGGATGCCACCAATATTTCGTATGAATCAATATATTGATTTCTATCCAAGCCAATGCATTAGCGACTTAAATCATTGAAGAGTTTGTCCAATCCTTGTTGGTCTGTCATTGCTTTGTTTGGAAACACAATTATATCAAGGTCGTCATTACTTTTCCTGATGTGTTCATAATTACACAAAGTCCGACACGAAACCATTAAATTGGGGCGCGTAGTAAACTTGGAAATGTGGCGATGAAGAGTTAGTGTCTTCTTGAAATAATAAAACACTTTAAAAACAGTCGTTAGGATTAAGTGTTCTTTAACGTTCTGGTAGAAAAATGCACCACTATTTTATAGTAGTAGCTTAAAATGAATTTTCGACTCAATAAGCGAGAATTCTTATTTGGTTGCTCTTTAATTTTTGTTTTTTTTTTTTTGTGATGTACTCCTTAAGCTCTTTAAGTTTGTACGAACGGTATTTCGTGTTTACTTTAATGGAGATTAGCTTTAAGGACTGCGGGTTATGGCTGATTTACATATGCCAAGCACTTCTTAACCTTTACACATGCTATATGTAAATGTTATGTTAGGTAAACTTTATATAGTATTCACTACATACTATATACTTGTATTTGTGCACTTTGTTGTTGTTATGAGCAGGCGACTTGAGTCAGCATTTGGCACAGGATTTGTTTTGGCTTTGGCTCTTTGAAACCGTTTGCATATCCTTGAAGCACATACGAGTATTAATCTTTTCATGCATGACATACTACATGTATTTCGGAAACACTCTGTTCTTACAATTATTATATTTGTTCACCATTTTATTTGTGCTCTGCCGTAAGTGGTAACTTTTTCATATTTTCACTATTTTCCTTTATCGATTAAATTTAATTAAGACTTAGCTAGCCATGAATGTTCAATACATGCTAGAAGATATGTTGGCTATATACCTGTAACACATACGAAACAACGTTCAAACTGTGCAAAATACTTAACAAAATTATTATTATTATTCAATTATACACTGTAAACACTGTACACTTTATTGTGAAAATTAGAAAACTATACGCGATAGTGCCGAACGCTTATCTTCATATCTTTTGCGCATACAAGTTGATTTTTTAAGGGAACATTAACAACTGCCATCGCCATTGCTATCGCTGATATCCACAACAACCGCAACCCTAACTAGAACATTAGCGCGTTGCTAATAGACACGCGGCTAGAGGAGGAGCGCGGGAGTGGGACGAGTGGGACGCACGAAAGGGCAGAAATCGGAGGACTTGCTCTGCACCTGTCTCAGAATACGCGCAGCTCCGTGGGGTGCTTTCGAATCGGACAGTTTTCGGCAGGTAAGTCAACACGCGTAGACGTCGAAATCGACAAAGAACTTGAGAACCCCTCACGGGTTACGAGTATTATTTGGAGTGCTCGGCATACGAGAAAATGTATTTGTTGTTACTTTGTTAAGTGTTTCCGTAGCAACGCTTAATGTCAACTTGGTTTTGGTTGGTTTTCGTTGCAGGGCTATAGAGAGCTCTAACAAACTCCAGCAGCAACATGAAGGACGACGATGGCGCTGAGAAAAAGGATGATGAAAACACCAAACCATTTTTGGAGGAAATTATATATCCGGATATTGAACCGGGCATCATTAGCCGAGCCATGATAGAGAACTCCTACCTAGAGGAAGGTCATCACGGCGAAGCATTGCGCCTGCACCAATTGGAGCCAGTTGTTTTGGAGAATATCAAGACTATGCGCCTGGAGTTTAAAAGTGAGCCTCATTTTTGCAATGTATTTTAAGAATTCTTAAATATTTCACTATTCGCACTATTTCAGACATTCTCCGCATCGATCACTTGTGGATATTGCCCAATTTGACGAAGCTTTGCCTTAATTGCAACAAAATTGAAGTAATCGAACATCTTGAAATGCTAACGGCGTTAAAAGAATTAAATTTAAGTTTCAATTACATTGAGAAAATTGCGAATCTTGAGACGCTCGTTAATTTGGAGACTCTGTCGCTTTTCAGCAATCGCATTACAAAAATTGAGAATTTGGAAATGCTGGAGAAACTAGTCATCTTGAGTATCGGCAATAATCTAATTGAATCCGTAGAAGGGGTAAGTACGAATAATAAATTCCTTTGAAATATTTATAAATTTAAGAAAATTTAGAATACAAAAAAAAAACGAATAAAAAATGTAAATCTAAATTAAGCAGCACTGGCGTCAGTCGAACAACTGTTTTCTTGGCGCGAGCGTTCCAAAATTTCTCAACACTAATCCAATTTAGTTAGCTATCAGCAATCCTGTAGATTGTAGTGGTACTCCCCATGTTTTATAGTGTCTTTTTGTTTTTATAGATCGACAGTTTTCGGTTTTTGGACAATTTAAAAGTACTTAACCTGGAGGGTAATCCTATAGCCACAAAACCAGACTTTTCACTTTCACAATATTGTATTGCTATATTACCGAAATTAAACTACTATGAATATGTTTTTATCAAGGACGAAGTGCGCGAGGAGGCGAAGGAGCGATACTAGTAAGATGTAGTGTTTATTGTAGTAAACTTAATACAAATTTTAAACTGACATCTAGTCGAGAGGTGCGCGAAATCGAGGACAAGCAGGAGAAGGACATTCAAGCACGAGAACTACAAGCTCGGGAAAAGGCTGAAGCCGAGCGCTTATCTTCCAGTTTCGTTGAACACTTGGATGGACATCAGCTATACGAATCTCTTTGGAAGGGAGACGAGGATGGGCGTGTTTTAATGCTAGTGGGCTCACAAGCACATGAATTGGCCGAGGAGTACGATAAGGATATGTTTGAGTTGACACAGGAAATTTATAAATTGGGACTCGACAGTTTCGGTGAACGTGACGAAGAGGTGCGGGACTTTATGGCCAACCTAAAAGATGGACAAGCGGAGTTACAGGTCATGGGTCAAAAGGTAATTGAAGGATTTTTGGCATACAAAGAGAACGTATTCGAAGAAGCACGCATAACGTTACGCCAATTGGAATCAAATATGTTGGAGGGTGAAGACGAGGACTCCCCCGAAAACGTAAAATTGTCCGAAACTATGGAGAAAATAAATTTCCACTTTGACGAAACTATGAATACAATGTGGCAAACATTAATGGAACAAGAATTGCATTTGCACGAGGCAGTAGAGGTAAGAAAACTTCCATTGACTTCCATCGTCAGGTCATCTTATATTCTTATATTCACCCAACAGGAGTCCACCACCAATTTTCATCGCAAAATGACCGAACTAATGTCAAAGTTCGTAGAACAGGCCCAATCATATTTCGTGCAGTTGCGAGAAATTTCAGTTCATTTTTCAGAAAACCTTTCCGAAATTGTATCACGCTATATTGCCACTAAGTTAGCGATGCAGGATTTTGATGACGTGCCACAGGAACTGCACGTTTGCATGGATGATCGCGATGCCATACTGAATTTAATTGCAGGCATGAAAGATACCCACACGCTACGCATTGATGAGCGTGAGGATCGCATGGCAACGCGCAGTAAAGAATTCATTGATGACATGATCGAAAAGTTGAACAAGTGAGTTGAAATATAAAAGAAATTTGTTTATTTAAAATTAACATTATGCATTAAAGCGAGGAAATCGAACGACATCGTGCTAAAATATTGGAAATTAACTCATTTATTGAGATGATGACGGACGCCCTGGCAGCACTGCCCCATGAGATACGAGAACAGTTGATAGCTGAGGAATATTTCTGAAGACTTAAGGAAGTAAAAGACCCCAAAAGTATGCAACAATTCGTTGTGTTAATCATCAGCCTTTCCGGAAATTTAATTAAAAATGTATATGTTGCGAGAGCACATTATTAAAAGCATTACAACGACCTTAAAACCCATCATTATAAACAAAATATCCTGGTGCATTGCTTCTAATATTAAGATTATTTTTCACAGGTTCTCAGTTACAAAACAACGTCCTTCACACTGCCAATTGACACAACTTATTGGTAATAACATTTCTGTAATACATTCAAATAAGACATTTTCAAATTAGACTTCATTCCTCTACTTAGAAGCTTTACGTTGCCAGAGTTTCTTTGAATACAATATTACTTATACAACAACCACCTGTTGCGCAGCTGTCGATATACGGAGACTACTATCGATTGTACAAAAGCCGTAATGTAGTCGCCGAAGTGACACTAAAAATACGGTCACACTTTACTTGACGTGTCATTGCTTCGGCTGTCATTTTGCCGACCATCATTGCATTCGTGTAACGCTTCTCATCGCTGTTTGACTGCGTTTGGGCGACTTTCACTTAGGTTTTCTCCCTTTTATTAAATAAAACACAAAAATGGGCTCTGGAAAGCAACAAAAAGTGCAATCATCCGGCTTCACCAAGGAGGAAGAGTTGCTGCTGCAGGACTTCAGTCGCAATGTGAGCACAAAATCGTCGGCGCTCTTCTTCGGCAATGCCTTCATTGTCTCGGCGGTGCCTATTTGTAAGTAGTGACACGTTGTTGATTTTTGTTTGCATGCCTGATGAAAGCGTTGGGTTTTAGGGCTTTTCTGGCGCATACACAACATGGACTTATGGCCCAGCTCCATACTGTTTTTGCTTGTGACTGCTGCTAGTACTTACTTGATGGCCACCGCATACAAGAACATCAAGTTCCAGCTAAAGCACAAGATTGCTATGCGTCGCGAGGAGGCAGTGACGCGGGAGGTGAACCGTCAGCTAGGTGACGACAAGAAGATCACTCGCAAGGAGAAAGATGAGCGTATCTTGTGGAAGAAGAACGAAGTGGCCGACTACGAGGCGACCACGTACTCTATTTTCTATAACAATGCCCTCTACTTGGCCATCATCATCTTCATCAGTTTCTTCTTGCTGAAGAACTCAACGCCTTTTGTGAACTACATTTTTTCCGTTGGAGTGGCAAGCGGTGCCTTGGCGTTGTTCTCCACCAGCGCCCAAACGAACTGAGCCCAGGCCACAATAATCTTTCCATTTAATGTTAGATCCCTTAAGAGATTTTAAATTCGAGCAAAACTTTCGTTCATCTTGTTTGACAAAGTTCATAGAGCGATACATAATGCAGAGTGCCCCGTGAACTTAGAATGCATTTCCGCAATGTGAACAAATATGAAACTTGTATTTGTAATTGTCTTTCTTGTAGAAAGCTAATAAACTTCCATTAAAAATGCTCTAATAGTACAAGAAGCAATAAATGCTTTCGTTTTACGTTTAGTACATACATATTGGAATATAAAAACAATTGCAGTCAGTCAATAATTTTTTTTATTTTGCATATCGAAATCGAACTAAATGCTTAAGCTAACTATAAATGCAGGAAAGTGAGTGAAGCATTTCAAAAGTAGATTAAACGGACTCCACCAGCAAAGCGATACCCTGACCGCCACCAATGCAAGCAGATCCAATGGCATACTTCAGTGTCTTGCGCCTGTAATACAATACAAATGAGTAGATTGTTTAATATTTCTTTATGTTAAAAACATGGCAGACACTTACTGCAACTCGTGAACAAGGTGGCCAGTTATGCGCGATCCACTGGCTCCCAGGGGATGACCCAAGGCAATGGCTCCTCCATTTACATTCAACTTGGATGGGTCCAATTTCAGAGCATCGGCACAGGCAAGGGTCTGGGCAGCAAAGGCTTCATTGATCTACAATGTAATTATAAATGTAAGCACTCTATTGGAAACTTGCAAGCGGGTTGACTATCATACCTCAATCAGATCAATGTCCTCCAGCTTCTTTCCGGATACTTTTAAAACATTTTGAATGGCAGGCACGGGGCCAATGCCCATAATCTCGGGGTTCACGCCCACAAACGAGAACGCAACCAGGCGCGCCAAGGGCTTCAGATTATACTCCTTGACTGCTTCTTCCGAAGCGATGACCACAGCAGCGGCACCATCGCAAATGCCAGAAGCTGTACCGGCAGTAACGACGCCGTTTTTCTTGAATAGAGATGGTAGCTTGGCGAGACCCTCGAGTGTAGTCTTGGGACGTGGATGCTCATCAATGACAAAATCAACTTCCTTGCCCTTGACCTTCAATTTAATTGGCGTTATCTCCGCATTGAATGCACCCTCTTTCTGGCCCTTTTCCCAGTTCCTTTGTGAATTCAATGAGAATTCATCCACACGCTCGCGTGAAATTTTATACTGATCCGCCAAATTCTCAGCTGTTAAAGCCATAGGTAGCTTGCAGTACGTATCGGTTAAGCCAGCCCACAATCCATCTTCCAAGTTGTAGGGTGCGCCAAGAGTGGTTCCAAAGCGCACGTTGCGAACAATAAAAGGACTCTGCGACATGTTCTCCACGCCGCCAGTGAGCGCTACCTTAGCACCACCCACCAAAATGTCCTGGGCGCCATTTACAATTGATTGAAAACCAGAGCCGCACAGACGATTGATGCCCAGTGCTGGTTTCTCTATTGGCACGCCACAATTGAGACCCACATGGCGAGGCACATAAATTCCATCCGAGGAGGTTGACTTGAAAAATAAAACGAATACACACGTAAGCACAAAACACAAATACATATAAGCAGCTCTCTGCGTCTTAAGTAGATGTCCTTGCCAACCCAAGTATATATTTACTAAAGCGCTCCTTTCCTAAATAAAATCCCTGAAGGCCTTCCGATTTAAGTCTTCAACAAAGTAACTAATAGATCCTACTAACTTACTAAATATCATTTTGTGAAAATTAAAATGCATTAAACATATGTAGATAAGTATGCAGTTTAACTACATATGTATGTATGTATGTACTTCTATAACTTTAGCATATGGTTAAACATTTTAAAACATTTATCTACAAAGCTTGGCTACGATAACGGGATAAACATAATAGTAATATCGCTTTTCGCACCGTTTAATTGATCAGCGTATAGATAAGACAGATATATCCAGAGCTTACCCTTTCCTAACGACTTTTACAATTTTAAAACTATAAAATACTTAAACTTACCGCGTTGACATTACCCACGATGACGGTGTCTACCTGTTCGCCCTTCAATCCTGCAGCATCCAGAGCCGCTTTCGCCGCGGTAGTTTGCAATTGAGTCTGGTTAATGTTCTTCAAGGATCCACCAAAAGTGCCAAAAGCTGTGCGCTTTGCAGCGACAATGTAAATACCTAAATGTGTACATATACATTTATGTATCATATAAATAAATTGTTTTAATTTTTGCCTATCATGCTTATTTAAATTAGCCTTTGGGACGCATCTTGTTTTTCATTCAACAGGTCCAAAGTGCAAAGTACGAGCATCAGCTGCACACTGACAACTTTTACTCTTTAGCCGGTATGTATGTACATAGTATATATAAATATGTACATACATACATACATATGTTTTCGTGTAGGTGGCGGGGCAAACAGATAAGACAGCCAAGTCCAAAGTTCACGGGCACTACTTTTCAGCAGTGGTAAGACGAAATTTTGTATTTTATTCTATTACCTTTTGTTACTGCAGACATAATTAAAGATTAAATGTGTTTTTTATGAACTGAATACGCAATGTATATAATATAAATAGAAACAAAGACTTTTGATTTTTAAATTGATGTGCGATAGCGACTGTAGGCAGCGACAACTCGAAAGCGACTTAGTTTGCGGCACCAGCGTCGACATTTTTAGAGCGTGAAAGCTTTAGAAGACCGGCCTCTCACATACCCGAAGCTCCGCAGATGCAGCAGGCCAGCCCTCTTGAAGCAGCTGTTTTATACACCGAACGAAAAGCACTGCGGTTCCGACTCTTATTTATTAAAAAAGCCATTTTAACTAGGGGCCTTAAAGTTAAAAATCTTTCTTTCTATACATCGAAATAAAAGTATGAACATTTTTACCTTTAATTTAATAATATATTCATGCTTTAAATGTATGCAAAAACATAAATGTTATCGAAGGTATTTTGGGATATTGGCATTCCATTGAATAAGCCACTTGAATTGTGAGCCTTAAAGTTAGTTTTCATATGATATTTGCTTTAGACAAACAAACAGGATGATTTTTAAATCTGCAAATGACTTTATACTTTAAACTAATTGAATTGAATAAAATTGAGGAATACAATTCTTAGAGGTGTCACATATGGGAAACTAGACAATTCTTTGTATTTTTTATAGCAAATAGAGCTTATTAATTTATGCATTATTATAGAACGCTAAAATAAGTTTCGCATTTATGGTGAATTGGATATATCCATGTTGTCCGACTTTTCAACACTGACCGATTTGCGTGACTTGGAATCGGCGCTGGATCGCGAGCTTTTCACTTCCACATCCTCCGAAATAGATTTCAATTTGCGGATATCTGGCGAACGCGGACGACGTGAGGACGAGGTGACATCTTTGCTGCGACTGGAACGAGATTTGCTGTGCATCTGTGGTGGCGATGGCGAACTTCTTTTACTGCGTGAGCGTGGCGATCTGGACAAGTGTTTCTCGTCACGAGTGCGATGCGACTTCTTACTGCTGCGCTCGCGAGATCTGGAGCGCCTCGAACGCGAGCTGCTGCGGCGATGGCGTGACCTGGAGCGTTTGCTGCGTGATCGCGATGAGTGTTTCCCTCGCGATCTCGAGCGCCTTGAACGCGAGCTGCTGCGACGATGGCGCGATCTTGAGCGCTTGCTGCGTGATCGAGATGAGTGTTTTCCACGGGATCTGGAGCGCCTGGAACGCGAGATGCTGCGCCTTTCGCGAGACCCAGAACGCCGTGAACGCCGGCTGGAGCGATGGGAAGGTGAGCGGCTCGTTCGGCGATCACGCGAACGGGAGCGAGAACGAGAACGGCGACGCTTGTCCTTGGCCAGCATGCCAATGACGGGGTCAATAGCGGCAGATATCATGCTTTGGGCCTCCTTAACAATGGTCATGGCTTCTTCAATTTCTGCCTGTGCTGCCTCGTTCGACTTGGCCTCCGGTTTGGTTATAGAGTACGTAGAGTGATAAACACTTAAATAGCCACCCTTAAACTCTTGACCCTGCAGACGCAACGCATGAATAACACTTGATTGTTCGCAAAATTCAATCATGCAGTAGGTCTTGTTGTCCTTCTCGGCCCAACGTGCGTACTTCACTTCCCCGGCACGTTGAAAGCAGTCCATCAAATCGTCTAGACGCCACTCGTTTTTTACATCGCACACAATAATAGTTCGGCGAATTTCCTCGATTTTGCGGGCATCGTAAAAGGACGGCAGTGCCGGATACTCGGGCAAATTGAACTCGATCAGCTTGGGATCGTATGTCTTGATGACTTGTTGCGGTAGCTGCCCCTCAATCCGGTTTATAACCTCGGGCGGAAGCTTCGAGTCCGGCTTCTGCAGCCCTGGCACAATGGTACCGTTCTTTAACATTTCCAGTGCACGGTACTCCTCCGGTATGGCCAGTACGGGAATTACAATGAGCGCTCGGTCAATAAAGACAGTGTTTGTCAAATGTTGCGCCACCGGTACACTGCCCGCCTCCGCATACTTTACATAGCAGATTCGAGACTGTACCGGGCAGGAAACATCGCGCACCGTGGGATACAGACGGATCTCTTCAATTTTACCAATATTGCCGAAAAGAGTTTGCATTTGATCCTTAGTGGCCTGCGGCGCAATGTTGGTCACCTGAATGACACGCGGTGTGATGCCGCCAGCCATGTTTGTGTGTCTTTCTTGTAGCGAACACAATTAAAATCCTTTTTTTTCTGGTTGCAATTACAATTTTAGCAAATAACCTACAAGCGAAAAAATAAACGAGGGTTGCACTCAATCTTGCATCTCGACGCTTCGATAGCGCAGCGTTGCTGCACGTATATAGGCATGTATATCGCTATTATCAGATGGCTATCGCTATCGACTTGTGTGCAACTCCAGTCAATACTCACGAAACAAAATTTGCTGGATGCTGCTGCTTGGCGATTGTTAATTAATTACAAAAATTAAACCCAAATAAAAAGACATTTGTACGCCCAACACCTCGCGCAGACATGTCGGAAGCCCAAGCGCCATCAGTATCGAAATCTAGCCTAAGCGATTTGCGGCAGTTTCGTATAAATAAAAGTCCCGCCGCAGCCAGTCCCAGTGGAAAAACAGGTAGCCTTTGATTATTGTGTTTTGCGTGCAAATTTTGACGATTGACGCGTCATATGTACATGTATACTTTTGTACATTACAGAGCGGGTGCCTGGCAAGAAGCGCATCCAGGTGATGGCAGACAGCGACAGTGACAGTGCGGATTGCCAAACGCCCAAAAAGCAAAAGACCGAATTATCTGTAAAAGAGAAGGAGGAACGCTACATGGTAGCCGCAAAACTGGCACATCAGTACGATACAATGGTAAGTTAATGTTTGTGCGTATGTGTGCGGTATTATTTGTGTGTATGTGATAGCTTGAGAATGTGTATGTTTAGAGTTTTGGCGCGGGGGTCGGGTTGTCACATGTGTTCCGAACATGGCGATGCTCGGCCGGCTTGACAATCAGCTGTTGATGCATAGTCGTCGAAAAGGGGGTGGAATTTTTGCAGGATAATATTGAGATTTACTTGCCTTCATTTTTTAAGTACAAACTTGTACGCGTCAATTTAATTATTTTATTTAATGATTGTTCTGACCAAATACCATAACACAGGATATTCAGGACTCGCTCTCGAGGACAAACTGGGATGTATCTGCTGCTATGCGTCATTTAAGAGAGCATTGTAAGCCGAAAATGCAAAATGGCCCTCTTAGTAAACCCAAACTACAACCTGTATCAAATGGCAACGCAAAACCAAGTGCAAAGACAAGTGGCAATTATTCCGACTATGAAGATCACTCAGACGATGATGTGCGGCAATCTAAAGATCAGGTATACGACAGTGATGACAGCGATACTGAGATGTCCAACAAAATGACGGGTCAACGCAAAAAAGTGTTTCAATTTATGAACACTGCCAGCCTTATTGAACTGCAATCGGTAAAAACACTATCTGAGAAAAAGGCATCCGTGCTCATTGAATTGCGACCGTTCAATGATTGGGTAGAGCTCCGTCAGAAGTTGGAATCAAACAGACTTTCCGGTGATTTGTTAAACTATGCACAAGATCTAATTAATAAGCAGAACACGGTTGCCACCATTTTAAGCAAATGCAATGACATGGTTAAACGATTAGAGACTGCTATTGCCAACAGTCCCGGAATTGTGGAGCAGCCGAAACTATTGAATAGCAGGTAAATGCACAATGCTAATTATCTTATCACACAAATATACTTACCGAATTTTGAATTTATTGTTAACAGCATGCAGTTGGCTGACTATCAAATGATTGGTCTGAACTGGTTAACTGTTATGCATAAGCAGGAAATGAATGGAATATTGGCCGATGAAATGGGCCTGGGTAAAACTATTCAAGTCATTGCATTTTTGGCCTATCTCAAGGAACATGGGTTAAGCAAGGCTGCTCACTTGATTGTAGTTCCTTCCTCAACATTAGACAACTGGGAAGCAGAGATTGCCAAGTGGTGTCCAAATTTGGTGGTAGAAAAGTACCATGGCTCACAGGACGAGCGTCGACGCATGCGCGTTCGATTCGCCAAAGACGGCTTCACTGGCTTTGATGTGCTGCTTACCACGTAAGTCATTATAAGTTATAAATGTACAACATAAATCATAAAGAATTATTATTATATTCCATAGGTATCATATAGTTGGCTCTACACCTGAGGAGCGCAAGATGTTTCGCGTTTGCAAGCTTCACTATGTTATATTTGATGAGGCACACATGCTGAAGAATATGACGACACAGCGCTATGCCAATCTAATAACAATCAATGCCGAAATGCGAATACTGCTCACGGGAACCCCCTTACAAAATAATTTGTTAGAACTAATTTCACTGCTGTGCTTTGTTATGCCGAAATTCTTTGCTAAGAGCGTTGAGGACATCAAGACACTTTTTGTGAAGGTAGGTCACAAAAAATGCTGAAAATGTAATCACTTAATATGCACATAAATTTCGCAGAAAGGCAAATCTGAAGGTGACAAAGAGGATGTGTCACAGTTCCAAGAAACGCAAATTAATCGTGCGAAGCGCATTATGAAACCATTTGTGCTAAGGCGCCTGAAGAAGGATGTGCTCAACAATCTGCCTAAAAAATATAGCTATGTTGTAAGTTGTACAAACAGATAATTCTCTTTTCGGTTTTCTTCACTCAATTCCTTCACTTCCTTTGTACGCAGGAAAAAGTACCCATGACCACCTCACAGAAACAATATTACACGGAGCTGATAGATTATTACTCAAACAACAAGGGCGAAATTTGCAGCAGCGAGCGTTCCGGCATTGCAATCATGATGGAAATGCGTCGAATTGCCAATCATCCACTGCTGATGCGTCATTATTTTACTGATGAGCAGCTGCGAACATTCGCTCGAAGGTTGGCCAGTGCGAGCACTTATAAAAAGACCAATGAACAATATATATTTGAGGATCTGGCAGTTATGTCCGACTTTCAAGTGTATCAGCTTTGTCACAAGCATGAGCTATACGATGTCAAGATACCCGCCAATTTAATATGCGATTCTGGCAAATTCAAGTTCCTGGACACGCTACTGCCCAAACTCAAAAGCGAAGGTCATCGTGTGCTGCTCTTCAGCCAGTTTACCATGATGCTGGACATTGTGGAAGAGTATTTGAGGATACGAGATTTTGGCTTCTGTCGTCTTGATGGTGGCACGGCAGTCAAGGAGCGACAGGACTTAATCACAGACTTCAATGTCGATGATAACATATTCATATTTCTGCTATCAACACGTGCCGGTGGCGTGGGCATTAATTTAACAGCGGCCGACACATGCATAATCCACGATATTGATTTTAATCCATACAATGACAAACAGGCTGAGGATCGTTGTCACCGCATGGGTCAGAGTCGTCCAGTTAGTATTTATCGTCTTATAACGGACGGCACTATAGAGGAGGGTATTATGATGGCTGCCGAAGAGAAGCTAAAGCTAGAACAGGATATAACTTCCAACGAGAAGGGCGAGGTGCATGAGACACGGTGTGTGGTGAAGCTTTTAACTATGGCATTGGGTCTGGACAAGGACCAGGAAGAGCAGTTAAATAATTCGTTGAATAACTCAACTGGAACGCCCACAAAGTAGTTTTTATGAGTGCTATGTCACAAAAACACTTTCCATATACATACATACTACGATACTTAAGCACACAATATTTACAGTGTTTAGATTTCGCTTTCAATTTTGTATGCCCATATTTTAATAACATTTTTTGTAAAATTAAGTACAATCTTGTTATAATTTTATTGTTAGGTAAAAATTATGCACACATTAATATTTATCGCTAAACCCCATTTTAAAGCTAATTGTAATTATTTGCAAATACAAATTGTTTTTCATTTTTTGACAGCTGTAAACTTTAAAAGCTTGTCCAATTTATAAAAAATTAGCGACCACCCAAATAAATTCCAATTTTTGTTATTTTTGTGTCATTCGCCGTATCAGAGACTCGATCATAGAAAATAAAAATGTCTTCACTTCAACTAAGTAGTATTAGCTTATCATTTCGAGGTTTATTTTCTTGTATGTGTAAGCAATTGAGGTTCAGCTCAGTCGACTAAAGACTACGCTATATCAACTGCTTCAATAAATATTTCAAAATATCACTTCTATAAATCCCGGTCCGACTATTTTTATAAAATATGAACTAAGGAAGAAAATATTTGCCACATTTCAACAAATTTTAGTGAAATTGGAATTCGATTGGCAACAAAATAAATACCGCAAACTAATTAACTTTAAAGTAATGGTGATATAATATCATTTGAGCAGAGACTTCAATATATACAAATGTAATACAATTTCAACTAATATTCTTCTAAACTGTATTTTGTTTTTATGTACATATGTATATGGTAACGAATTTGTATAAACTAATCAACAAACACACATGCATACATCGAATTTGAATAAGTGTCGCAAATCGGGGAACCCTTCACTACTTCCTGCAAACAAATTACAATTTAAATCGGCATTCGAATGAATTTTGTTTTTTAAAAAAACAGTGTAAGTGATCGGAAATTGTCAATTACATTCAGGAATACCACTACGGTTAGCTTGTTGCATCGTTATTATTATTATTTGTGAAATGGAGAGCCATGTGAAGCTTTTGAAAAGCTCCGATAATGTATGTGTGTATATAATTTCACAAGCATTAGACGAGTAAGCGCCGCATTAGTTGGAAACAGCTGTGGCCTAAAGTGTTTAATTCGCCGTATTTTTGAGCAAAAGGCTGCGGAACTGCTTTAACGATGGCAGACAGAGAAAGGATGGCATTCGATTTACTAAACGACGACTGTTTGCTCGATGTCATAAAAAGGCTGGAATTCCCCGATCAACTGTCACTGCTGTCTTTAACGCCAGCATTGACTGAAAATGTGCGCTACGAATGGCGTAACTACACAAAATATGTTCTAGATGCCCCCGAACTTATAAAGCTGCAACGAAATCCGGAGCATTTACTGCAACTGTCGGAGATTATCAACTCTACGGTGCAGGAGCTGGTCATAGACTATGGAAAAGTGGAACATTTACAACCATGGAAGAAACATAGCTTTTCCAGCATCCGCACGCTGAAATGCTCGCTGGACGACGAGGTAGATCCAGCAGAGGGTATTAGGCTACTGGTGGAACTGTTTCCGGCACTGACCTCGCTCAAATTGGAAGGTCCCATCAGCGGAATAGATATGTGGCATTGGACAGAGCTACAAGATTTAGATTTGAGTGGTTGTTATGATTTGGAGCCGCAATACTTTAAGCAAATCTTCGGTACATTGAAATTGGAAAAACTGAACTTTGCGGTAGGACAGCGTCAGTCGTATCTGGAAGAGGCGTTAAGTATAGCCAGCTGCAGAACACTGCAAGAACTTCAAATCGATGATTTCTATGTTACGGAAGTTTTCATCGCACATTTGAATATGCTACCCAACTTCCGGAGGCTGACTATGCGAACCACTGGTAATCCCAAAATAGAAGCAATTGTTAACTTGATGTCATATCGAATTACGCAGGCACAGTTCAACGATGCCATTTGGACATGTCCTGCTCACGTGCTGCAAAAGCTCACTTCATTGGAATTATTGGCCATTATCGAGGATGACATAGAGTCAAGTGACATCACTTTGCTAGTCTCTAATCTGCCGAGCCTGAAACAATTACATTTGATTAACACGCAAATTTGGCGTGTCGCCGCAGACTTGTGGAATATGGTTAACTTATGTCCTTCATTGGAGCTGATTAATTTGACAGGCATGCAAATGTATGAAGACTTTTTTGATGTAATAGGGGAAAAAATGGAGTTGTCCCTGCGAAACCGCGAAAAGCCCTTGATCGTAAATTTGCACAATACCGGAGACCAAGAACACCTGGTAAGTAATTGCTCCCTTTCTGTCGAAGTCCTTCCAGATATTAATAAATATAGTCACACAATTTTTCTGTTTTCTTCAGATTATTAAATACTTCAAACATCCAAATTTAAAGATTTCATTCGAGCCACTGGAAATGGATTTTATTGAGGCTTCTTTCATACAACTTGATTTCAATTCCAAATAGATAATTGTAAATACACATTTTTAGTTTATTAAGTTAGGATCATAATTTAAATTTTAGTATTGACCAAAAACCATGTATAAGAAAATAAAGCTCTTTTGTGGAAGTGTTGATACAACTAAATTGACTGCTTAAAATTACAATTGTTTTGGAGAATAATATATAAAATCTTTATGTTAATCCAGACCTACATTGATGATTGATAAGGGCAAATTAAATTATCACACCCCTTAATTGTTAAATTATTTAAAATAGTCTCGGAAAACTCGACAACTCTTTAATAAATACAGCGGCGGCGGTTTTCGCTCTCCTGTGCCATGTCTTGATCGAAACGCCCTCTCTCATATTCTCTCTCGGTCTGTATCAAAACAAAATATTCAAGAGCTTTTGCTTATGGCTGCGATTCATCAACAATTTAGTCTACAACTGATCGCCCGCGCCGATGATTTAATTTTTAAGTTTAAACGCAGCTCTTACGTGTGTGGCATCAACACAAGCGATATTAAACGCGTACTCGCATAAAATATTTGCGAGAAAAATTAAATATATAACTATTAAATCGACAATTTTAACGGAACAAGATATTTAAAACGAACCAAGTACGCACACATTAAACGAAATAACTTAAATCTATATACATATACCTACCTAAATATATACGTATGTACATACATATGTACATATATATATGCATGCTTGCATGAGCTCACAACTGGTAAATCTATTTTACTCTAACGACTCGTTGCTATTATGTGATTCATTTTGGGTACATAAGAATTATTTTTAAAAATAGACAAGAGCGCTGGCAAAACGGAAATCATATTGAAATAATAAATAAATTCAATAGGGAAAAAGTTTAGGACTGCCGCTAACGTCATCCTCGTCCGACGTCATCCCAACGGTTTGACCAACGGAAACGGAAGAAATCGGTCTCGCGAAGGCATATACAGCACATATACTTGCATACATAATTCTATAACCGATTTCCGCAGCCCATAGATACATACATACATACATAGATACAAATGTACATATTTATGAATATACATACATACATACAAACTTACATACATACATAGATATCTAACACATCATATATTAAAACTATTCGTAACATTTAGAGATAAATGTGTGTTACCGCACATGTGAATTCTTAGCGAAATAAAACGCAAAACAGCGAAGAAAAATAATATAAATAAAAACGCGTGCAAGAAAAAACATAAAAATAAATTTATACGCGTACGTACCCCCGACTACGACTTTTTCAAAGGCGACCGTTTTTGTATGCATATGTATGTACATACATACATGCATACGCATGTATGTACATACATTTGTACGTACATATTTGTGAACAATATTTAAATGTGAGCGAGCAACAGAACGCAGCGATCTACTCAACGAACGAAAAGAAAAATTACGCGAACAAAAACAAAATAAAAAATTATAACAATTGACAAAAAGAATATTAGTGAAAAGCAACAAACCAAAAATAGATGATCGAGCGGCGGGTAAAAAAGTCCGACGCCAACTCAACTACCAGACCACCACCCCCCAATTGAGTCATCAACAGCTGCCACTGTACAATACCAACAAAAACCAAAACAACAACAACAACGATTATCAATTGTTGCTGTAGCTGAATACATACTAGTGATCAGTGGCTGAGTGTGCATGTGTGTGCGATGAGTGTGCGTGTTCGCGCAAATCCAAACTACACAGAATTATATACTTGCATATAGATATTTTACTATACATACATACATACATATATCTATTCTTCTTTATGTTTGTATGTGTGGCATATGTACGATCGGATCGCTTTAAAGGCTACAGCGACGTTAATTAAAATTTGTTTTGGAATTATTATTTTTATTAATATTGTTGGCGTATGTGCCGAGCATAATTAAACGATACACGAGAGTGGTCTCTATCAGCTAGATACATATACGAAAGATATCCATACGAACAACAAAAGCAACAATAAGAAGCCACAACAACAACGACGATACTACGAAAATCATAACGACAAATTTTTAGAGCCGTAAAAAAGATACAGCGAAAGAGAAGGGGAGAGAAAGAGTGAGAAGGAAGCCCAAGCACATAAACAAAAGCTCAACGAAAGGCAAAGAACCCAAATATCGGAAGAATTTTGCATTAAAAGGTGAGTGCTATGTACATACATATATAAACACCTTCATTCATACCTATTATCAATGGCAACGTATGTTAGACCGTAGAATTCTTTTAGCACATGTTTGTGCTCCACGATCTGTGCTATGCAGACATGTACATACATACATACATATGTATATCACCATCGAGGTCCATGTAGTGGCGAAAGCACCAGTACACCCCGCAGTAGTGTTATGAGATTGATATGTCAATCGAAAAGTGTGAAAACTCATTTCAGAATTGTTATTCCGATTTAAAATATGCTGACCGTAGCGACATTTTACTCGTTTTGAATGCCTATTTTTTTATCCTCGTAATATTTCTGCAATCCCGTGGCAATGATGTTGTAATTTTGATTTGTTTGTTTTATTCGAAAGTATAACGAAATCAAAGATAGTAGTATGCTGGGACCTTTATCATTATTCAAATGCTATAGCCAGGGGAAGCGTTCAAAGTAAAACGATAATCGATCACATACAAAATTGACGTAAGTAAGTATATCTCTTTGAAATGCTTTTTGTCTAGAATATATAAACATTGCAAGAAGAGTTAAAATTAAACTTTTCTCATCCGATTGCTAGATTCGTAGTTATTTTGTGAGGTTCAGTCGCACCTTCGCCACTAACTTTCACACCTCATTAAAAGATTTTTTATATTGATAAACATACATACTTGTATGTATGTACATATGAGTATAAAAACAGAAGTTTACTGAGTGAGATAAGTACGCAGAACCGCCAATTCTGAAAGCAAGAAAAAAACCAAATATTTTCCGTTATAACTTAACTTACAAAATAAATGACAAAAGATCTACACTTTAGTTTCCTAAAAGCCACAAATATATTGCATTTTCTTTACATTTTATTATTTCTTTTGATACAAAGTACATCATTAATCACTAGTGCAATTTATTTATAGCTCTTATTCGTGTTTTATAGAATCGTGGAATATGCCGCATTTTGTTTTATTTAGTTTGTCATTATTGTCACTTACACTGCTTTTATTTACTTTGTCAGCAGTCTCTGGCGGAGATGGAGCATTTTCTTCAAAATTAAAAAAGTTTTAATAGCGATCGATTAACTTTAATCTCTTTGCGATCCTTCTAATAAATAGGCATCCTTCGCAAGTTTGACCTTATCTTAACTGAACCTTTTCTATGTATAGAAAACTTGAACATCATTTTTGTACTTAACACTTCTGTACTTTGAAGTACGCGAACAGCGAAAATCGTTAAACATGAACCAACAACATCGCTATCTGCTGATGTCATTCCCACGGACTAGCCCGCCAGCTCGAAACCAGATGCACTCCTACGCGCAGTCGCGGAGCCGGTTGTCAGTTGCTGGACTGCTTGACGAAGAGTGCAAATAGTTGTATATATTTTGGTCGATTTCAGTTGGAGCGCTCTCGTCTACTTCGATGTGGGCCGTAAATGTACTGCCATGGAGCTAATACTTATTTACCATTTATTTATTTGCAATCATGTTGTCGAACTTATGTATGTGTTGCGTACTAAGTACGTCTTGGTTCCTAACAACTTGATGATTGGTTCAACGAATTGCCATTGAACAGTGGAAGAAGTTGTTGTTTTTACAGAAATTGAAACTTTGAAAAACAAGGTCCTTAAAGTTTTAGAAAATAGAAACCAATTGTTAGCCAAGTTTTAATAAGCTATTCCAAGTGTGCTTTTTAGCTATGCAAGTTTGCAATAGAAATCTTTATAATCGTATTATTTTATTTACTTTCAGACCACGCTAAAATATCAAACTCTGCAAATAGAGGAGCACTTTTTCTTTTTGTATATAATACTACGAAGAAGAAAGTGTCAAGGCTAAGAATTGTATTAAAAAGCAAAAACTAAATAATTGTGATATGTACAAATTTACTCAAATACTGAAAAACCATATATAAGAGTCTATTCCAAGAATTCACAACGCCAGAAAGGGCAGCGAATAAGCAACGTTTAGAAATTAAATAAAAACCAAAGATTAGGTTTTTCACACATTTAACAAAAATGGCGGAAAAGGTAGAACAACCACAAGCCATATTGAATAATCAACAAAATGATGCTCGAAAGGTGCGCAAGTCCCCCGATTTTCAGCCCATTATGCCAGGTGTTATGGCCAGAGAACGCAGCTTTGTACGCACCTCCAATCAACAGGTATCGCTTTCATTGAATTAAATTCTTCTAAAAATTCTGACACTTCATCTGTTCATTTCATTCTACAGAATATCAATAAAAGGCGCAGTCTGGCATTTAACAATGTTTCGGGGAATCAAACTGGTCAAATGCGTGGCGGCAAGCCCGCTATGGATATATATAGACCACCCAGTAAGTTGAATAGAAAATATATGCATGTACTATATTGTTTTTACTTTCATGACCAATTTACTTTGTATTGTAATGTGTTTTGGTTGACTGGTTAAATGTGCGCTAGTAGCTTTGAATAAACTTGAATAATCACCTTAAATTAAGCTTCTCTGTATAAATTAACCGTGTATAGTTAATTTCGCTGTCCTGTAATATATCTTTCCTTCCTTTTATCTTTCTGGTTTCAAATAAATATGGGGAATTTCAAATTTACTTGATGAATTAACTTAATTAGAATACATTCGACTTAATAATCATTTAAATAAATAAGCCTAGATCCGTATAAATTCTTCAACTGTGAATTCGGATATTTTCACATCTTGTTTTGGAAATAATATAAATATCCTGTATACATCAGGTCCGTTATCGAGGCATTTGTGAAAAGTCTTCTTCAATAATATTATTGATGTTAAAAAAGGCTTAGAGTTTTGAAAGGCAAACAAATATTTTTTGAACTGTCAGAATAGTAGAAATAGAAATGATTAGTTCTAAAACTATTCAGGAACGTACCGAAAACACTGCTTCAAATTCATTAGCTTATCATATTTGTAGAAAACAAAAGTAACTCTGGTTTGCATTCAGATGAGTTAAAAATAACAAAAAGTGTCATTTTATAAAGGTCGGGTTAGAAAATAAGGGAGAAGGGAGAGTTTTTTATATCTCTTGCTGCTTTGCATTTTCTAATGCCAAATTTTGAAAATAATACTTATGTTGAATTTGTTTTAATTTCTTCTTCTTCTTTTCATATCCATTTCATATGTATTTGTGAAAATCCAAAACAAAAACAAAACAACACACAATTCTTCTCTGAACACCCCCAAAAAATCATCACATTCTGACTTGTGTACTCACATGTGTACTCGTAACATTAAATTGACTTTGTGACCTTACTTCCACCTAAGATGTGCGCGGCGAGAATTCTGCTGGTGGGGGAGGTGTTGGTGGTGGAGCTGGTGGTTGTGGTGGTGTTGGTGGTGGTGTCACGAACAAACTGAACGTTAATGCACAGGAGTTCACAATGACGACCAACTCACGTGCGACGCCACCGGCAGAGGCACTGAGCACCAGCAATCGGTAATGCATTCCCATTTTAATGCCAATTTCTACCCGTCTTTGCCCGTCTCCTTGCAGAGCTAAACTACAATCTACAACATTCTTCCAGTTCATCACTAATATTTCCTCTGGCCGCCGCCGGACCGGGTCTGATGTCGCCCCAGCAACAACAGCAATATGTGGCAGCCTCCAATGCGGCGATTTTGAATAGAAGACAGGCGGGTCTATCGCTGGGCAGCATGCCTCTAAATAATCTCAATGCCAAGTCCGGGCATCATCGCTCTATATTGGTCAACACGCCAATGCCGCTCATGAATTCACCCTCCAGTGGGAACATATTGCATGTAAGTGCTTGGAGTCGGGATTATTCCGATCTACTTGTATTTAGTTATTTCTTATTTTGTAATTTGGGCCAAAGTTTTTGTATAGCAGAACTGTGTTTGTGATTCCTTAATTCACTAGCTTCAGTGATAAATCATAAAAAAGCAAACTAAGCTTAAGTATTGCATCAAAACTTAAGAAAGTAAATTAATATAGAACAAGAGAGAACGCTACAGTCGAGCAAGCCCGACAGTGTAATACCCTGTACCCAGGTAAACTTCCGTCACTGAGTTATATGCGCCCATAGCAGCAGCAAAAAGAGTAAGAAGAAGAGCGAACTTGTTGCTGCAGTTTGGGGGGGTTGTACTGGGGAGAATTTGTTTTAACTTAACTTTAACTTAGAATTGACCGAATTGAATAAAATTTTATACAACAGTAGACAATTATATATTAATTATGTGTGCAAAGTTTGGTTTAGGTAGCATTTTTAATGTGGACGCTATTGACGAAATTCTGTAGCGGGGAAAGGGGGGGGAAAATTAAAAAAAAAACATAAACTCGTCCTTACTCGGACCTAGGAGAATCTGGATGCCAACTTTGGTTATTCTAGCTTTTATAGTTTCTGAGATCCTCGCGTTCATCCAGACGGACGGACAGACGGACGGACAGACGGACGGACATGTCTAGATCGATTTCTCTCGTCATGCTGATCAAGAATATATATACTTTATGGGGTCGGAGATGCTTCCTTCTGTATGTTACATACTTTGCACAAACCTAATATACCCTTTTTACCCTACGGGTACAGGGTATAAAAACACAGACAAACACAATAGACCTTTACTGATTGTGGGAAATCGGAATATCAATATTGAATTTTCAATAATTTTTAATAATGTTTCGACCATTGCAGACAACGAATCGTGTAAAGTTCGCGCCCGAGCCCAGGACACACAAAATGGCGCAAAACCAGTTCAGTGGCAGCAACAATCCTTACCTACAACAGCAATATCAAGGAAATCAGCTTAATGGCACCGATCCTTATATGAATGGCAATGGACTGCAACGCTCTAAGTCGCTTTCGTCGGCTGATGCGTTGACCCGCGGCATGGCGGGACTGGGTCTGGGTCTCGGTAACGAGGTGGCAGACATTGGACAATTTACACCAGAGATTCAGACGCTGATTGACACTGCGCTTGAAGATCCCAACAAATTGAATTCCCGTTGCCTCATGGAACTGACTTCCCAGTTTATAAAGCGTGCTGTGGAAAGTCGTCGCTTCGCTTTGCCCATTTCACGTCTATGCCTCAATATCATAGCAAAGGAACAGAAAGAAACCTTTTTGGAGGCGCTATTGAACACATGCCGCCAATGGTATCAAGAACGCGAAAAGGTAATGAGACGCATCTATCTCCCAGAGATGGCCAAACACCAACTAATAATTATACTTTACGTACTTCCAGCTGCTTTTTGCCATACAAGGCATGAAATCGCCATCCCGTGTGCGCTTCACGGCCTTCATGGCATTTCTAACGGAAATGTTTTGTCAACTGAAAAGCCGCCAGTTGCAGTTGCGCACCAAAAGCGAGGGCACCCCACCGCCCCTAGTGCTGCTCAGTCTGCTCTCGAAGTGCTGTGAGGATTGTGTGCGACCCCCTGTGCGATCCCTATCAGAGGTAAGACCCGCTAGAAATTGACAGATTCCAAGTCCAACAATCGAGCTATGAATGAACCCATTAGAGTTTCACATTTTTGTGTGAGAGGAGGGTATATATTGGGAGTGATGGAGGTGCTGGTTTCAATTGATTTGCTAGAAATTGATTAGTAATGCCATATTTAAAATGCTTGCCTTTGATTGCAGATTGACTGCCTGTTCTTTGTATTGACTTGCATTGGACAGGATGTGGAGCAACAGCTCCCCCAGCAACTGGAGCTTCTCATGGCTCTGGTGCGCGATGCGTTCCTCAATGCTGGCGATGCAGCTGCTCCCATTCGTCGCACCCTGCTGCAGTTAATCGAGCTGAAGGCCTCCCACTGGCAACTACCGGGCAATACGGTGCTGTATTACACCCATAATAACAACTAGGCGACGGATTGACTATCGGGGATTGCTCAGGCGCACAGCAATTTGTTGCAATGGCAAGACATTTTAAATTGCTCGCGAATTGCATTTAGGCCTGTACGCATCCCTATGCAAACACTACTACACTACACTACACATATATTTACATACACACCCATATATATATATTTACACATACAGACAATAACATGCATAATTTTAAGTACTATTTATTTTGATGGTGATCCATCAACTAACCCAAGCAATTATGATGTATACAGTATGATGATCATTTGCGCGAATGCAATAATCCATAAATTAAATACTGGCTACGAGTCAGGTTGAATCATACTCCAGATTCTAACAACGTAAGGCTCAATTTTTTGTGAATCCGTCATATATTATATGTATTTGATAAATATTAAAATAAACTGCTAGTCAAACCTGAACATGAGTAGTTTCTACATTTTGTCAAACATATATTTGAAATATAAACATTTAAGTAGGGCATGCAAAATGTTAAGACAATTCTACTTACCAATTCGTTGTGGTTAAGAAATTCCTGATCATGCCTTCAACTCGGTTTCTACGGAGTCTCCCCTCCCCTCACGCTACACCCTTAAATCAATTATGGAGTGTCTGGAGATCGGTAGCGATCCCCATTGATTGTGCTGTTAATGCCATTTTCTATAATCTCTAAGAAATTCTCTTGGAGGTTCAGCCCAAAGGTCAACCACCTTTCGAAATATTGTTGCATTTAAGTAATGACATTTTACATTACTTCGTGGAACACTGATAACGCTTAAATGTGGCCACCAAGATTTATGTTCATGCATATCCATTATCAAAATGAAAGGTACAAATGACTAAAAAATAAATAAACATGTTTGCTACACATTAAGAGCAACATTTCTTTAAATAGAGCCGCATATGTAATGAATAATATCAGTGCGATTCGAAACTTCATCATGGTTAGTAGCATTTAAGTTGTCATAAAATACCAATACTATAAGTATAAATACTTTCCTATGGAAAAATATGTACATTCACAGTACCTTTTGTCGTTGCCGCTCATGTTTGCTGTTTTGCTGTTTGGAAGTGCCCAGAGTATTCCTCGTAATTTACACACCAATGGTTTCCCTATTGCCATTGAGCAGCAGCCCATAGAAGCAGGGAAAGCTTTCATAAAATATCCCATAGTGGTTAGAAAATACCAAAAGGTACCTGCAAGTACAACAGAACCCACGACAGTTACCATTCAAACCTCAATTGAACCGGATTGTGTATCATCTCCCCAAATGCCTGAATGCCAAACTACTACAAATCCGACGACAAGAACATCATTTACGCTGCTTGATGAGAATATAGAGGAGATATCCAGCCTATCTAATCATCAGAGCGAGCAAAATCAAAATCAAGCCTTAAGCCCTTTTTATTCTGGCTCTGCATTCCCTCCCATGCTTGCTTATCTACCGCTCCAGCAATCACTGTTCCCAATCCCAAATCGCTTTGGACAAGGTTTTATATATGCAGCACCACCACCGACACTATTCAGAAGAGATTATATGGGGACGAATTCTTTTCATATGTATCCTGCCTTCAACCTTCGCAATGCTGTACCCAAATCTATATTAAGCATCTGATATACCAACATTTCTTAAAAGGAATATTTTTGCCTTTTCGAATTTCAAAATTATTTTATTTTCATAAATGATTAACAACATTCCTTCTACAAGTGCTACATTGTTACAATAACTAAACTTAAGATACACAAACAAATGATCCAAATTTTAGTTCTTAAATACCTTACATTTGGAACTTGCTTTCCACAGTCTACTAGCTGTCTGGGATTTAAATAGAGCGTCACTTCATTTGCAACTTCAGTGCATTTCAAAGTTTCATAATGGTAGGTAACATTAAAAACAATTCTATGTACAATAGTCATATTTAAGTTATATTTTTGTAGCATTCATTGGCGTATCTGTTTATTGTGGCTGCTCTTCTGTGCGTTGGACAATTTGCAAGGACTCAGGACGTAAATGTTCAACTCAATCACAATATTCACTTAAACAAAAATGCTATTGATTCAGAAAGGACTTTCCATCTTATTTATAATAAGCCCCAATTATATAGAAAGCCAGGGTGGCCATTAACAGCATATCAGACATCAATGACACCCAGCACTGCACGACCTATCAGCTCAACAAATTCAAACTCTGCGACGAATTCACCGACAACTTCTTTAACGAATACGCTATTCACTTCAACAACGAGTAATGGGCCAACTCCTTCAACTAATGTCCCAACTATATCAGCAACTAATACAACGCCAACATACACACCTTCCACGACGCCAACTCCTCCAACCAATACACCTTCCACAACGCCAACTCCTCCAACCAATACACCTTCTACAACGCCAACTACTTCAACCAGTACACCTACGACAACAACTCCTTCAACTGATATACCACCGATAGTCACAGAGGTAACAAGATTGGTGAAAACGGACCAAACAAACTTGGAAAACCATCCTATCCAAACGCAATCACAAAGTTTGTTTTCTTTTCCATTCATACCTTTTGATTTTCAACAAATTCAGCCTCAAACACTTCAGTTTCCGCTTCCTCCATTACTACAACTCCCACCACTTCAATTTCCACCTTTTCAATTGCCACCATTTCAATTTCCACCATTTCAACTGCCTCCATTTCAATTTCCATCTTTTCCATCCATTCAATTTCCACCGCCACTTTGGTAGTGAAATTAATTTTGTTTATTGAATAAATTTGTCATCAAATTATTGTGTTAATATTTTATTTTTGTATTAACAATCGTAATTCAGACCAAAAAATCTACTTGGCACGTGGGAATATGAAAAATAAAAATAAAATAAGAAATATTTATAAGCATGGTGATACTTTTAACAGTTGATTTAAGGACACCACATTTTTAAAGCCTTCTGCACAGTGTAATTTTTTCTGCAAGCAATTGGGGAACAAGTAAAAATACAATGATAAATCTCAAGGAGACTGTATGGAATATAATTTTCTTTGTTTGATTTTAAATAAAACTTCTGAAATTTGCCTAAATTATGGGCGCTGCCAGATTTTCTTAAGTCATTAGGTGGCAAAATGTTTCATCTTAATATCGAATATCGATATTTCTATGAGCAACTGTGGTTGGACCACGCTGTCAAAAGGGCTCGACCAGACAGCGAGTAGAAGCGCTCGTTCATTTGGTTTTTGTCTTTCACTTTATAAAGTTGAGCAACTACAGGTACGCATTCAATTAATTATAATTTTTTTTTTTTTTTTTAATTATCTAATGTTAATATATGTATATTAACACATCTAAAACATTTGTAAAGACGTGGGTTATGGATATGTTTAAATTTGCATTGCTTAAAAAAACAATTTAAATTTTAACTAGATTCTATAAACCACGTGTTTCAAAATGGCCGCCGCCGAGGCATAGCCAAGAAAAATCAATATACGTATGTATGTATAAAGTGCCTTAACATGATGAATACCTTAAATACCTTTTGCGGTTTCCACCAGAAAGCTACATTTCACAGTGTTAGCTTAAGGATGGTCTTAGGCGTCTGATTTAATGCACTTTTACAATAGACCATAAAAACCATGCAAGTGTCTGTGTATGTATATTAAGGTTTTACTTTTTTTCCAGAATGGCGGACGCAGCTCCAGCCCGTAGTGGATTCCGAGGTGGTTTTGGTTCTCGCGGTGGTCGAGGTGGACGCGGTCGTGGTCGTGGACGCGGCGCACGTGGCCGTGGTGGCAAGGAGGACTCCAAGGAGTGGGTGCCAGTCACCAAACTCGGTCGTTTAGTGCGCGAGGGCAAGATCAAGTCGCTGGAGGAGATCTACCTATACTCGTTGCCCATCAAAGAGTTTGAGATCATTGATTTCTTCCTTGGCTCTTCGCTGCGCGATGAGGTTTTGAAGATCATGCCTGTGCAGAAGCAGACGCGTGCTGGTCAGCGCACACGTTTCAAGGCCTTCGTTGCTATTGGTGACAACAACGGCCACATTGGCTTGGGCGTTAAGTGCAGCAAGGAAGTGGCCACAGCCATTCGTGGCGCCATCATCCTGGCCAAGCTCTCTGTGGTTCCTGTACGCCGTGGATACTGGGGCAACAAGATCGGCAAACCCCATACAGTGCCCTGCAAAGTGACTGGCAAGTGCGGTTCTGTCTCTGTACGTCTCATTCCGGCTCCCCGTGGTACTGGCATTGTGTCAGCTCCCGTTCCTAAGAAGCTGTTGATGATGGCTGGTATTGAGGATTGCTACACGTCGGCTCGTGGCTCCACTGGTACTCTGGGTAACTTCGCCAAGGCTACCTATGCTGCCATCGCCAAGACCTATGCTTATCTGACGCCTGATTTGTGGAAGGAGATGCCTTTGGGTGCCACACCCTATCAGGCTTACTCCGACTTCTTGTCTAAGCCCACAGCCCGTCTGCACGCTGATGCTTAAGCGAACCAGTTTTTTTAAATAAAAAACATCTGCACTCATTTCATTCTGATTATTTTTCTTTTAATTGTGGGGCTATTTATGGAAACGTGCTGAAAACTAAAGTCTGTTGAATATGAACTATATGTACAGTTGCCATTCCAATGTTAAAAAAAAAAATACATGCCGGCAAACCGGGAGGCGTGTATTTATGTAAGGCCTAGGCAATGGAACCGTGACTAGCCCAGCTGCAAGAGAAAATCTCCACCGCAGGCCAACTATGAATTCGTCGGCATTCATCAACAAATATGCAGTCACCCTTCAAGCATAATATAGTTTCTTAATGTGCCAAATCACTACTGAAAATTCCGTATGTACACATACATAAGTACCCGAAATGAGGTTACTAGAGGTATTGCTGTACATTCGTAGGAAATGAAACATTTGAAATCATTTAAGTAAAGCGCTTATGCTTTTCTTTATTCTGTTTTTGTACAAATGCAGTTTAGCATACATATTTATGCAGACGGGCATTTCCATAAATTGTGATTTCTGCAGCCCGTTCTTCATCATCCCGAACAGTGTATGAAGGCAGCCATTGGGAGCTGAAATAAAAACCATATAAAATTTCTATCATTAACAACAGGAATTTGAGTATAAAATAAATCATATAAAATAAGTTTTGATCAGTTTACAGTTTTCTACATGAGTCTTATCAGTACAGGTCTGTGTAAAAATTCATCACAATGTTTTCCGATTCTTAGCTATTTCATAATCATGTGCTTACCTTCATTTTTACATCGGCGTCTCAGGAGCTAGGTTATGCGTACAAGATACCTTCTACCGTGCATCATACATGCACAGATATGCATATCTGCGTATTATAGTTGCAAATTTCCATCCATTTTGGAAAACGATTCTTATATTCAACCCTGCAATGTAATATATAAATTTATAATTAGGATCTTCTTTATAGAAAGTGTAAAGTTAATTAACAATGCATGCTGACTTCATATGTGCGATCAGATTGCCGATTCATCTTAAAGAAACATTTATGATTCGAAATAACGCTGAAAAATACAGCTTAGGTCGAAGAAATGTTCTTTCAGTCTCGTCATCAGTTTCATCACATTTTACCACATATGTATAGCAATAAAAAAAAAATTTGTTCGAATTCGACTTACCATTGCAGATTGACTTGTTCACATGCACGTGGCTACCAAACAGAAAATGAATAAGTGGCTCAGAGCGGAAGTCGAATGCCGTGTAGAAGGACAGAGTCGCTTCTGAGACTTGATTACAATGAAATTATATCGATGTAAAAGAGTTGTGGCGAGAAGCACTATCGATGTTTTCCTCGATATCGGAACGACGCAAAACAAAAGTTAAGTTTAAATAATTTCGCCTCTTCGTTCCTTTTCAAGTTTGTTGATCGTAGAGCCAGGATTATGGACATCAGATCATTAACTCTTTACATACCAGCACCAAATAGGAATTTTAGCATTTGATGTTTGGATTTTATTGGGAGTGTGTATTAATAAAAAAAATTGAGTGGAGATTACGCATTGAAAAAGTAATTTTTTTTTGTCTGGTTCACGTTTGTGAAACTTCACTTAATTTTGCATTCATATTCCACAAATTCATCTGTTGCGCTTTTATTTTTGCAGTTCCGATTCGCCCTATGGTCAGAACAGCTGCATTATGAATGAGTTACCCTGTGAAATGAGACGCGCCGGTTTGATTAAATCGCTGCTGCTCACGAATAACAACAAATACCGGCTTTCGGCTAAAAAATATGCAACAAGTATTGAATCAAGCGAGTCAGAATGCAATTTTGACCCCAAAGAATATATTGACTTTAAAAAACAGTTACGTTTGCAAAATGTACAGCACAAAGACGGGTACACGTGCCTCCAATTGGAATGCCGGCTGTGCGTACGTAACAAAGATACGATAGCAACAACAACGACGACGTCGCAACAACAACAACGCACAGGCGCCCAGCAGGCTTATATAAACAAACGAACGGGTAATTTTAATACTTTTATGAATGTTATTAAAGAGATCACTATTGATTGAGTTTATATGCAGGTGTCTTCGTTTGTCCCCATTGTGATGTGAAATCCTCGCTCTCAAATGCATTGGCAGCTTATCAGACGCCCACGCCATCGGGTTATCAATTCCAAAAGCAGCGGCACGTCATTTATGACTCACAGTTTCCCAATCTGATTAGTGTGACCCAAGAGGCATGTGATCATGTGGGGCTAAAAGGTCTGAAGAGTTCACAATTGGATGCTATTGGCGCGCTTTTTGAGCCGGAGCAGAATCTTTTGCATTTCAGTCTGCGCAATGCAGCGCAACAAATTGTGGGCGAGAAAGTGCTGTATTTGAACGATCGACGAGAGCAGACATTCCAAGGAGGAAGCAGCTCGGGAATCTTGATACATGGCAATATCAATAAACATAAGGCAGTGCTGGTCAGCAATCTTCTAGATTTCATTGTGCTTGCCACACAGAATATTGAATCGCGTAAGACACAAGTGACAATCTTGAATCATGATTTTAATGCATACCTTTTTAATCTTAATGTTATTCGATTTACAGATTGCGTTGTATGTCTGCCATATGCCTTGCAAATGCTGCCGCAGGAATGCTTGCCGGCGTTAGAGCGTTTTAAGGAGCTGGTCTTCTGGTTAAACTACGATGCAACGCCCACTTGGGATGCAGCGCGTTCGTTTGCACACAAAATGGATGAGAAGCGTTGTTTGCTCATAAGACCCACTGAGACGGAACCGGCGCCGCACGTTGCATTTAAGAGACGTTTAAATTTACGGCTCATATTGGCCAAGGCAACACCTGTAAGACACAAAGCTATCACCACTTTTAATGCGCTGCGAAATGATATCTTAAGCGAGTTACAAAACATTGAGAAAGTGAATGGCGTGAAATGGAAACGGTTTCCGGTGTTAAACAAATTGCTGAAGGGACATCGCAAGGGGGAGTTGACGATACTGACAGGCCCCACAGGCAGCGGCAAGACAACGTTTATGAGCGAATATTCGTTGGATTTGGCCCAACAGGGCGTGAGCACATTGTGGGGTTCCTTTGAGATACGAAATACGAGATTGGCGGCCACACTGCTTCGTCAATTTGTTGGTTACCCTCTGGATGATAAGCTGCACGAGTTTGCACATTGGGCCGGGGAATTCGAGCGCATGCCGATATATTTTATGACCTTTCATGGTCAACAGCCGCTCAAACCGGTCTTGGAGGCTATTGAGCATGCACAATATGTTCACGACATCAACCATGTTATCATTGACAATCTTCAGTTTATGATGGGTGTCTCTTCATATCGTGGTGATAAGTTTTGGGAGCAGGATTCTATTATTGCGGCATTTCGCGGCTTCGCCACTAAGCATAATGTGCACGTAACGCTCGTGATGCATCCACGCAAAGAGCGGCAGGAAGATGAGTTGACCACAAGCTCCGTTTTTGGCACAGCAAAGGCTACCCAGGAGGCGGACAATGTGTTGATCATTCAGGACAAACGACTTACTTCGGTACGTGGTAAAAAATACTTACAAATAGCCAAAAATCGTTATAGTGGCGACTTGGGCATTATGCCACTTGAGTTTGACCGCGACGCACTCAGCTACTCTACCATTGCGAACACAGCGAAAAGGCGGCGAGAAAAGGAAAAGACGATCACTTAAAACTGAATATTCTATATATTAAAAACGGTGTTTTTATATCTACATTAAGATTAATCCATTTGTTATTGATATTTTCAATAGAGCTGCGCTATGTTGAGCTTTGTTTGTAGTTCTTTGTATTGAGCATTTTTTTGCCGCACATTGCGCAAATAGCCTTTTTGTAGGCGCAAGCCTGGCAGTAATGGGCTCCCATTTGATGCACTTTCTGTCTGCAAATACTGCGAAAGAGAATTATGATCTGAAGTTGGGGTGGTCTTTTTAAATTGCTCTTACCGACAGGGAGCCAAACTCTTGCCCATTGGGCTGTAACGCTCTCTGGCAGACGACAATGCTTTGTTTTCATTTACTTTCCGTCCACCTGCAGTCGCATTACTGGTTTTCCAAGGATTTGGCGCAGAGACTTTTGTTAACTTAGACTCGCACTTTTCACAAACCATTTTGATTGCTACAGTTATATTAATTTCAGGGAATCAAGTTGCTTTGGTTTTGAAAACAAGGTAATTTGTTTACTGTCCTAGGAATGGATGTTGATAGCTCAGCGCAAAGTTATCGATTAATTAATTGACTTTTGTCCCACCACTAACAATAAAGTCAACAATTGTTTTCCTACGGTTAAATAAAACATGTCTTTGAAATGACTACTCCAACCAACGGAGGTTTGCGGTAATGATCTTAATTAGTTTTCCTGTTACTTTATAATAAAACAATGCGGTTTCCGTAGCGATCAGCTGATAGCCGCAGTGCTAAAGAAACGCGCTGCCATTGCCAGAGCGCAACAAATCGTGGTGTCACTTCTGGAACCCGGCATAAGCGATGAGACGTTTCTGGATGTGGTCAGTATGAGTTGACTGTTGTGGTCATTTACTGAAAACATTTTTTCTGTGTGTTTAGCTTTCGGAGATCGGACCGCACAATTACGCAGACGTTATAGATGAACGGCACGTTTATAAGCTCTGCGGCTATCCGCTTTGTTCAACAGTTTTGGAAAAGTAAGCGTAACTCAAACGTGAAACAACGGATTCCACATTCCCCCTTCTATTCCCAGAATACCTGCCCAAAAGTACCAGATCTGCGCAATTCGCAATAAAGTGTACGACCTGACGGAACGCAAAAAGTATTGCTCTGGCTACTGCTTCAGGGCATCCGAATATATTAAGACTCAGATACCCAGCACTCCGCTGTGGCTACGAGACGAGGAGCCAAAGCCGAATTTTAAGCTGCTGCCGCTCGACAAAAAATAATTAGCTTTACATTCATGTATATTCCAATGCCAAAATTAAGTTATATAAATGGAGCATCCGTTTGTGTTTTTACAATGCATTACAATTTTGTTTCGAATTCATTGTGGGAATAAGAAAGCCAATAATATAAATGGCTTTTTAAGTAGAAACTAAGCGTGTTGTATAATTGTAAAAATCCTATTCCGTTTAGATCATTATTATGTTATCGCGTTCCAGCGTCAAGTCCGCTTCACGTTTTGCATCCTCCTCGGACCACTCGCCGCATTTGGAGAGCACATCCGTGTCACGTGGTGGTTCGGGCTGGACATTACAAGAGGCAAGCAAATGAATTAATTAATAAGTAGCAGCTTGCGTTTATACCTCTTTGTCGCCGGCCGCCAATTTGGTAAACATATTCGCATATAGCTTCTTCTCTTTGTCCTTTGTTTCTTTGATCTTCTGCTTGCAGATAACCACCTGATTAGCAGCGGCTTTGTTGCTAGGCTCTAGTTGTATTACCTATGTGTATAAAAGAAAATTAGTAATTCGAGTCAATTTTATGAGTTTGCAAATCCTTGCTAACTTTCTGAAAATCTTCCAAGGCATCTTCTAGTTCATTGATTGTCAAATTGCATTGACCGCGTCGATAGAGCGCCTTCACATTGTTTGAATCCAAGGCGAGCACTTCGTTGCACTATTTTGAGATAATAATAAGGTGAGAAGTAATAAAAATTTATTTCCTTGTTGCAGCGTGTATCTCATTATAGCTACCTCCTGTTTTGCCTCGAAATGATCATTATTCTTCTGATGGCACAACGCGATGTTGCTATGGGTAGCCACTTTTAACTTCTTCGCCTCATCATCGGTATCTGTGGTATTGGGCAACAAGTTCTTGCATTTGTTATACATTTTAATAGCTAATGCCCAGTTCTCCTTCTTAAAGTAGTTGGTGCCCTTTTCCTTATAGACTTTGGCCTCAGCAATGCGTTCGCTATCGTTAAGTTTCCATTCCTCTAGACCCTTGCCGCAATCAATTAACTTGATGACATATTCAACGGTTGCATTTGGCGGTATCTTAAATTCTTCATTACCTTTGGCGCCAAAAGCATATTTTGGTTGAATTTTTATTCTAAAAAAGAGAGAGTATTAGATTGGAGGAAAATTTAGTTAAATTAGCTATTTACTTGGAAGTTTCACCAATGCTTATTTTTTCAAGAGCAATCTCGACGCCTTCGACAATACCAATAGCACTGCCCTCTCCGTAATCAAATTCTACGTTGCGTTCATCAAATACACGTCCATCGAAAGTTCCAGAAATGTGTGCTGGAAATATGGATAAGATCGTTATAACCGCAACCGCATATATGATAAACGGAATTTACCCTTGACAAACGCTCCATCGCTGGGAGTGCGTTTCTTATCGCTCGACTCAAGAATCGTACGCTCAATACTGCCATCCTGATTTGGGCTTAGATCCTCGCCCTTCCATCCCAACATCTCCAACTGCCGGCGTAAAAATACGGCATATTATAAGATTTTCCGTAGAACTATCCAATGGCTAAGTATTGTTTCTTGTTTCTTACCTCAAATATAAGTGTTGAGTCTGGAGGTATGCTCGGAGGACTGCCTGCAGCGCCGTAAGCATAATTCGGAGCACATGTAAGGAAGCAGCGCTCGCCCAACTTCATGGTGGCAACACCCATGTCGAAGGCCTTGATAACACGACCTACGGCAGACGCGCATAAATATATAAAACAAACCTATAATAATTACTTTGTCTCATCGAAACTGCTAGAACACGCACCTTTGCCGAGCTCAAACTCGAAGGGCTCATTGCGGCCGACGCTTGAATCGAATTCAGTGCCATCGACCAGTCTGCCGGTGTAATGCAAAGAAACTTTGCAGCCGTTATTTGGTGTCTCGGTGCCGGTACCCTCTTTCAGAATTTCCTTTAGGACACCGCCGTCACCGGACAGATCGATTTTCTTCACTTCATCAGACATTTTTCTGTTAGAATTCCAATATTCCGACTGACACTAATTCTCTGCCCTTCTCGTTTTCGACTTAATTGTTAGCGTGCAAGGCATCGATTGCTTGATATTTTTTCGCTACAAAAAGTATCGATATGAAAACGCCGCACCAGGGCTGCTAGCTAGCGGGCGTTTCAGAAGGAATACCTCACAATTAATAAATATGGTCTATAAATAACGTAACCACAATTAACAACATAAAAATTCAGAAATTTTGACCACTATTTAAAAACAAATATAACGGGTTGACAACTCTATTTGTGTTTTTTAAATAATATATTCGCGAAAAGCGTGAAGCAAAAGCTTTTCTTGATCGTAGCGTCGATTCAGCTTGAAGTGAGTTAGTGAGAGTAACGGTCACTCAGTCGAAATCTGTTGCTTGCGCCGAACGTAATGTCGGGAGCGGTGTGCGAGCACGCTTGTGTTTCATACTCGGCACTTTTCTGTTAATTTAATTGACGGCCGCTTGTTGTTTGCGGCAGCCGTTGGTGTGTGTTTTCATTTATTCATTTCCATTTCAACTTTTGTTTATAAATTATAATTAACGACTGTGATGTGAAGTAGCAGCAAAAGGCGAAAAAAGTAAGGTTTAAGCTTAGCGACCATTGCCAGAGTGTGCGTGTGAGGGCGCGCGTTGGAAAGATGTGGCAAAAACACGTTCCACAACAAATTACAAAAATAACAACAAAAATCATTGCAGCAACGGACTAATATGAAAACAATATTATACACACATATATACATATCCATACTTATGATAAAAGGCAAAACAGCAAGATAATAAAAACAAAACGACATAAATTGTATTTAAATAAATAAATACAAGTATGTATGTATGTGTGTTGCTTGCAATTCTATTTCGCATGTGCGTATAGGCAGGTGTGCGCCTGCGCTCTGCATAAGTGTGTGTGCGTGCGTGTGTGTGTGTGCGTAAATATGAAAGTTTAATTTGCAACCAAAATCTTAGGCTTTGCTTTCGGATTCGTTGTCGTCGGCCACTGCCTGGCTTGCTTGCCGATCGTTTTATCGTGTTGTTGTCTCATTTCCCGCATATAATTTTCGCACAGTTACAGTTTCAATATTTATTGTCGGCGTGTTCTCTTTATAATTGCAAAAAAAAGGGGCGAAACAACTCAAATAGAGTAAAGCCATTTCTTGCACAAGCGCAGCCGCAACTCAAATAAAAGCAAATGTAAACGATAATATTGCGTGTGATAAAAGCAAAGTAGCTCAATGGATAGCCTCACATATCTACATACATATAGTACATACATACGCAAATAATGCAAATACAAAGGCATTTGCTTTCGCTATCCAGCAGCATTTGCATGCCGCCGGCAAGCAACGATGTGGCAGTATGGGTTAACGGCTAGTAACGAAAATCGGTTGAATCCGGCATAGCAAATAATTTCAACAGTTTTTGGTACTTTCAGAATGCATTTATTAAAAAAAAAATTAAATTGAATAAATAGACAATCCCAAAGAATAATGAATCTATTAATAGTAAAGAAGTTCACTCATTGTTTAATGGAGCTGCATATGCATATGATTGAATAATAATAATAAGATCATACAGGATATAGTGCACCGATTTGTACCAAAAACTTGTTTAGAATATAATAAGGTATTACAATAAACCCCTAACCGCGATTTGGCTCCTTAGCTTAATATACAAAAACAAAAATGGACTAAAAGTGTTATTTATATTGGATATTAAAATATCAAATTTTGGAAAAAGGCAAAATTCGTAAGACTTTAGTATTGTCTTTCTGTTTCATCATCTAAGTTGTTGCAGTAAAAGTTGCGGTTGTTGCAGCTTTAACTCGTTATTACGTGAACAAGTGTCCCGTACAGTGGGCAGCGTTTTCGTAAACTGACCACGAATTGTTTTCGAGATAAGATTGAACAATAAACGAATGCCGCCGCCACTCATTGACCTGCAAAAATCAGTAATTTGGTAATTTGTATGCAAAAACCAACCTTGATTTTGCATTTGTGTTATGCAAGTTTGCGTGTTAGCAATAAATCAGAAGAAGGCTTAAATGAAGACAAGATATTAACTTCGGTTAACCAAACTGTGTTTAAAGTGAGTGATCCGATTATAAGCAAATCCTTTAAAGTTAGTTAGTTAGTTCTTTAAAAATGTATTTAAGCTGTTCAGATGTTTGATTAGATGGTTTCGTTCAGCTACTTGAACTTAATTAGTTTAACGACTTAATTTTGAATACATTTCAACACCAGCAACTTCGACTCATTGAATTTCCTAACGCTCTGGAAGCACTGTACAACGGCCTCATCAAGTGCTGGCGCTGGCGGCAAGCAATGAATTTAAAAAGTCACGCAAATGATAGAGGGAAATCGTCTGGTAATAAAAAGGAAGAAGAAACAAATACTGGAAAACCTGAAGGAAAAAAAGTAGACGCTAAGGCGATTGCAAATAAAAGTGTTGATGCTGCTGTTGTTGCCGTTGATAAAGGAAATATAAGACGCGAGTGCAGCAAAGTTGATTTCGCAACGGCAAGAGTAAATAATTTATATGAAGAAACAATTGAACAGGCGTCGTCGTCAGCAGAGGCAGTGCCTTCATCCCTCTTGATAGCAACAATTAACAAAAGCAAAAACAACGCCACCAACAGCAGAAGCAACTGCATTTGCCGCGCCAGCAACAAACTGAAGAAGCAGCAACAGCAACGACGAAAATCGCTTTATGAAAACCACAGCGGTAGCAACAACTACAGCCACAGAAAAACTGATGTACAAATATTTACCAATACAGAAGAACTCAATCAAGTCAATTTAAATTCGTCGTCAACGTCGACGCCGACGGTGGCGCCGCAGCTAACGGCGACAGCAGCGCCAACGAAGCTGCTGTCGTCAGAGTCTTCTCAACCGGCACCAGCAATAGCAACAGCAAGAGCAGCATCAACAGTAACAACAACTGCGACCTCAACTGAGGCTGATCCAGTCACTGAGATAGCGCGGCAACAACAGCAACAAGAGCGGCAACAAAAACAACAGCTGATTATGTCGCCAGCGACAATCACACCCCCCTCAGTCACAGCCCCAGTCCCGACAATGTCTGCTAAATTGCGAAAATCGCATTCAACGCCGGCTCTCAAATTCGATGGCAGCAACATAGTGGGCGAGCACAGCATTTATGGATACAATAAAAATACTATCAAGTACGCTGTGGACTCTGCGACGGAGGCTAGTGATAGCGTTGTTGTTCAGACCCACTCCCCTCACAATAAGCGACAGCAGGAGCCATATGATCAATACTCGTGTGGCAGCAACAGTTGCAGCTTGGCGGCAACACCAATAACAACAGCGACTGCAGCTGAAACAGGAACAGGAACAACAACAACAGCAACCACACCGGAGTCCTTGCGCTTTGGATGTGCGCACTATAAGCGACGTGCTATGTTTGTGGTAAGTGAAAGGAATATTCGTGTTTAAGAAATGTCTTCTAAAAAAGTTGGCAAGTGGGGATATTAACCTTAACCCTTAGTCGTGCTGTGAAACCTTCATAGGACACATTTGTTAGGCGCCAGGATATGGCGTCACATGAGAGCAAATGAAACACTGCCAACGTTTTAATTTTACATTTCATTTCAAATATTGTATTTTAAAAAGGTTTTGCATTGAAAATTAACAAAAAAAAATCCAAAGCAAATGTGGGGAAAACTTGAAATATCAGATTCTCCAGAAAAATATCTCTAAAAGAGTTCATAGTTAGGGTTCTCTAAATTGTAACAAGAAATTAAAAACCCCTGTCCCGCACTCATCATGTTGTCCACAATTTATGAATTAGACAAGGTTATGTAGTTGTGGAATAGATTTAATTTGCGTAGATCAAAGAGTTAGCAAAATATAGTGCCAGAAATATTTAGCTATACAAAGCTGAAGAGTCTTAATTCGATTTGTAATCGTTTGTGTGTTGTTCAAAGATATATACGAGTACTATCTGTGCAGAATCTGGTGCTTCTGTTTTTCTTCTTTATTGTGGCATTCTTTATGGAAGTGTTCTTTTGTTTGGCCGCAAATGAACATTTAAAGTTATTTACGTGTTTCTAAACAAACAAATGCAAAAGTACCGCGTGCGACTTTTAAAATTTTGGGCTACAGTTTCTTTTCAGATCATTGTGGCTACATAATTTGAGTTCAATTGGGAGAATTAGTGTTTGCCTGTGAATTGTTCGAGTACTACATACATACATACATACAAGTACTATATCTACTCGTATATATGTATATGTTTATTTAGCAGAGCAGCAATTTGAACTTATGTCTGGTCCTAAGTGGTTATTGAAAGAATTTGTCTGGGGCAGTGAATGATCATTTAGCACCTTCATTGATCCGGACAAAATTACGAGTTTGTTTCTTGCTTGCTTGCTTTTGTTTCTCTTTTGTTGAACTAACTATTAAATATCAGGTGTTAAAAATTTAATGTGTGTTTGTCCAAAAAAGAGGCAAGAAGATATTGAAAATATTTAATGGACCTCAATTTCTTGCATTCAGAGAGTTTTATTTCCCATCTACTAGAGTTCACCTTTCAGGCTAAGAGTTGTTATCTGTTCAAAATATATTGTACGAATTATTTCGCTTTTTGTTTCCAATGGAAGAACAAATCGGGCAGATGCAAAATAGTATAAAAGGCATCCCAAGTACCGGGCTTGCGTGATTTTAGCGTCCTACTCTTTATTTATTGCTCGAACACGTAGACGAGGCTACATTAAAGAGCGCTCAAATTTTTACTGTACAAGTACATGTTTAAAAGGCACACATGTAGATGCTATTAGAAGTAATATTGGAACAGTTGTAATTAAAATACTGGCACACGTGTGAAATAATAAATAATGCAAATACGAGCCTATTGTTAAGCATCATTATTTGCTTTAACGCCCAGTAGTCGTGGCTTAGAAAACTTATAGTCTAATGTCTCTTTACAAAGTCTGGCTCCAGCTGAAACAACAATCACAATGGGATATCTTACTATAAGCCCAATTGCATACTCAAATCTGCAATGGTACTTCACTTTGTATAATTAGGATTAACATATTCATATGTTTGTAAATATGTACAAGTATGTCTGTATCTTGTGCGAAGAGCTTGAGGAAACGATTTCTTACTTTCAAAAGTCGGCTAACAAGTGCGAAAGAGTTCAAATAGGCCAACAAATCGAAATATAAATAAGCAATTGCTTGTTTATTTAAGCTCAACTCTAATTAATTTATCAAAAATTGGCATAGAACATTTAAAATCTTTTTCCTACGTCGTATTTTTCATAGCCTTTTCTTCAGCTCATCTCTTTTGTTCTAGACCAAGTTAATTTTCTAATATTATATTTTACTGGAAAAAAATCTGGTGGGAATCAAACAATTTGCTTTCCGCAATACCTCTCATTGCTAACCTTTCGGCGCAGAACAGTCTGTCGAGTCTGTTCGAGTCGATTGTCATTAAACTAAAGTACACACAGTGGTTGATTCTTTGTGTTTCCCGATTCGAGGTTAGTTATATTATTTAAACACAGATGGAAGCTATGCAATGAGTTTGTAACCAACATGTTTTAAAGTAGCAGAGAGAGTCATCTTCAGGCAATTCCATTAAAAATGGCTAGAATGCAGCCGAGTTCTATACACAATATTCTACATCCGGTTCAGAAATGAATTGAAATTTAAAAAATATTGGTTCTTATTTTTTGAAATTCATATATTTGAAAATAGGATAATATATAACTTAATCAAGAGTCCTGAGCAATGCCCTTTGGGTCATATTTTGTAAATGATAAGAAATACAAATCAGAAAAGTGGACATAAATCACATGTGATTTAGTTAATTGGGAGATCGTGAATCAGGAAGCCTAATGCTTTACTAATGTCGTTGCAACCAATATATCTATAAACAAATAAGTTTTCATTGCAGAAATATTCATTAAATATGAAATTCAATAGAAGCCGCTGTGCACAATTTTAATTATATAAGTAGAAGTAGTGGGCATCGACTACTGATCAACAATATATAACTAGTTTGTGGGTACCACTTCACCTTTTAAAAAGCTGGTTAGTGATCTTCAATCAAATAATATAAAAGGATTGATTAACTATTTATATACTTGTACATATTAAGCTCATTAGACAATTGACAAATAATAAATGAAGACTTAACCAAAACTTGACACTCGTGTACGTAGCTCTAGAGCTTATTTAATTTTGATAAGAATTAATAATTAATGATGAGTAGACTTGTTATAGTTTTTTAAAGACAATTTTATATCGATGGGAAAACTCATCGCTACTCGGACTTGATAACATGTTTCGCCTTTTGAAAGACTGTTAACTTGAGGTTTAATTATTTAGTTTCCATTGGTAACAAATTGCTATAAAATCGATTTGTAACAATTTTATGGCCAGACCAGACATGTTTCGGGTTTTTATGGACATCTACGGCTCGACTAGACTATAACTGATTCATATTTGATAGTGCAGCCCATCGGGATATTAGTATTTAGCCATTCAATTAGCAGGCATATAATTGAACGTCGCATTGGCTGCTCCCCAAGTGTAAAATAATTTTACGAGCGATTTGCGAAACGCGAACTGCGATCTACGGCTTCTGTTTCTATTTCGGTTTCAGATTCGGTCTCTCCTTGATTTCATTACGGTTTATGACGCATCTAATTGAATTGTGTTGGCTGGGTTTATGGCAACGTCAAGTCCGCCATTAAACCCAGACGCCGAAATGGATGTGTTTTGGATGTTGGTTTGTTTGTGGCGCCGCTGATCAGTTTTCAGTCGAAAATCTATATTCTTTTGTTTCCATGCAACTTATTTCGTTCATTAGCAGCTTAATTTTCAATTTAACAAAATGTCCCCATTAAAGCCACTGTAATGCCACGCTAGTTTCTGAACAACTTTCCGGGGGGTTATGCGTTGGTAAATTCTGCTATCCGATACAGATTGACGTTGGCTTGGTATAAATTAGCAAGTCCTGTGTCATATCAATTAATATCAATATTTTATTTTATTTTATACTCAAACAAGTAATTCATTTGCATAATTCAAGCGTGTTAGCTTAAATTAAAGATGTAACTTGCTGGAAACAATATTCGTGGATAGAAAGACTGTTAATAAAGGAGTTTTTTTGCTTGCTTTGTTTGTGCATATATTTTAATAAATGAACATATTTTTTAGAATGGAAGATACTTTCTAAAAAGTAGAAAACTCTTTTTCTTAAAACGGTGTTGCTAATAATTCCTTTTATAACATTAATGAAATATATGTTTTCTGAATACAGTTTGGGTCTTTCATTTCCAATAAAGAAAATCAGTGTTGCCAATTTTTTTCCCGTCCCCTGGTTGTTTTTGAAATGAGATTGCGGGAAAATATTCGAAATTGCGGGAAGCGGGAATTCTGGCTTTGAAAAAATACATTTAGCTTTTTTTTCCGCTTTTTGTTATTTTCGTTTTCCTTTCCGTCAAAAACAGATTTTTTCCTTCTATAAAGTTGGAAACACTGAAACCAACAAACATCAAACCGAAACATCGATGCTTATATTTTAAATGTGGATCACATAAAATTCCCAACTAGTTCACGCCACTTTTGCGCCACAGCTTATATCTAAAGTAGAAGCGCGTCGACGTTATAAGTTCCCATTATTACTTTTTTTCGTCTTTTTTTTCAATTAGATATTATGTACATATATTATGTATATTAATCTTATGTTATGTATATTAATCTCATTTTAATTATTAAGCATACTTTTTGTTTGATATTTGTTTATTTATTGCAAGTCTTGCAAAACGGTGTTTCTATGGTTTTTTTCATATTTATATTTTAAATAATTTGTTTGTGCATATATTTTAATAAGATTGGAGTGCTAGAAGAAGTAGTCATTATCTCGATAAGTCCATTAAAATTTAACTCACTGTAAACGTTTCGGAACCTTTCTGTTTCCTTTGATATTGATAATTCCGATTCCATATATTTAAGCGATGATTTCGGCTCTTTTTTAATGAATTCACGCACAATTTCCGTGTTTTTTTCGTTCACAACATCTTTTGGCCGGCCCGAACGTTCGTCGTCTTCCAAGTCCTCCCGTCCCTCTTGAAAACGTTTAAACCACTCGTGAATACGGCTACGGCTACAATCATCGCCATAAACTTGTTTCATCATTTGATGAGTTTCGGTAAAAGTTTTACCAAGTTTAAAACAAAACTTAATGTTGGCTCTTTGTTCGATGTTCATTTTCCGACCAACACTACAAATGTAATGTCACATTTAGCGCGATATACCAGCTGTTATACAAATCAGCTGTTATATTAATTCCATACGACAACACTGAAGAATACACAATTTACGGATAAAAATTTCCAACACATGGCGCCACTAGGAGCCGCGCTATTTAAAAAGTCCTGGAACTTTTGAATTGCACCTTGTATATATGTATGCATGCTATTTATTTTGCAGACTCCCTGCTGCAACAAGTTCTACAAATGTCGCTTCTGCCACGATGAGAACGAGTCCCACCACTTTGATCGTAAAACGCTCACGGAGCTCATCTGCTCCGAGTGCAATACACGTCAGAAGGTTCAGGAGCAGTGTCAAAAGTGCGGCGTACGTTTTGGAAAGGTAAGTCCTATTTAGCACTGCTTTAGTTAAACGCTCCAAAAGCCAATAACATTGTTGTCCCACTTCCAGTACACATGCTTGATATGTAACCTCTTCGATGATTCGGACAAAAAACAGTATCATTGTCATGGCTGTGGCATCTGTCGGATCGGAGGCGCCGACAATTTCTTTCATTGCGAAGTTTGCAACATGTGCTTGCCCATACAATTGAAGATTGATGGGCATAGGGTTAGTATTCGCGAAGGGGGCGACTATATACTTGTACATACAACTACTTCTGAGTTGAGAGCCAAGGAATAACTTAATGCAAATTTGATTTGGAAAACTGCAGGCATTTCTTGACTAGTTTGCTGAACATGATGGAGTTTCCAAAAACCAGTTAATTCGCAAAAACACACTGCACTCATCTTTTTTTATTTTTAATAGCCGTACTTGCCAGTATCAGGCACAAAAACTAAATAAAAACAACAACTGGCGGAGTGAGGCAGCATAAATTTAAAAAACGTTTGCTTGGTAATTCAAAAGCCGGCTAGTGGTCAAGCAACTTACGACTGTTTAATCGGCAGTTATCAAAGAAATGGCAATGGCATGGAAGTTGTTGAAGCGTTGCTCACAAAGCACCATTTCCTATCACTTTCACTGTCACTCGACAGCCTCGATCGTTTCTTGGGTATAAGAAAGAGAAGTACAAGTATGTAATATTTCCCCCTAGTTTTTTTTTTAACTTCGCAGTCACTAGTGGGTTAGTCTTATAGCTCCCTCCAATCTGCCACCACAAACTACAGTTACTTGTTTCCTTTTCAAATAAACTTAGTTGTATTAAACGGTTTTATGACATCTATACTATTTAGTGCTCCGATTTCAATGAAATTTCAGAATGTAGTTAGACACTATTTTGAGCCCATAAGTTCCAAGTTTTGTGTTTTTAAACAAAAACCATATTATATTAGAGGTAATTCTCCAGAGGTCCCAATATGTGTCCCCGTTCAAAAGTTCTCGGTGCTTATACGGACTAATGGATAGAGGAGCATGTTTTGGACTTTTGTACCCTTCAGGTATATGTTGAAAAAAGTTGGCATTAATGATTACAGCATGTATAAGAATATATTCTAATAATTTATTTACGCATTAGCAGCCACGACCTGCAACTAGGGAGGAACAACAGATGTCAAATTTTTGTTAAATTGAAATTAAGAAAATAATTTCGATCGGGGGGTATCAAGTAATTAATTTTTAATATACCATAACCTACTTACTTATTTGTAATATTGTTCAATATTAATTGCAGTGCGTTGAGAATATTTCCCGCTCACATTGTCCCGTCTGCCTGGGCGATATTCACACCTCTCGCATTCCTTGCCACATTCCGGATTGCGGCCATTTGCTGCACAAAATGTGCTTCGATCAGCTGCTCGCCTCTGGTCACTACACGTGCCCCACGTGCCAGACATCGCTGATTGACATGACGGCGCTTTGGGAGTATTTGGACGAACAGGCTCTGCGCATGCCCGTACCACTTAAGTGTGAGAACCAACGTGTCCATATTTTCTGCAATGATTGCCACAAGGTGAGTCTGAAAGCAGGGAAGCTGTGGGATAAAGTAGCTGAGTAACAACTGTTGCCCTTTCGATTGCAGACTGGCAAAACCAAATTCCATTTCATCGGACTTAAGTGCGTCCATTGTGGCGCCTACAACACCACACAGGATGTGAAACGTCGCCTATCTCTGGTCACCGATGAGCCCTCTTCGGCATAACATGCTCAGCGGTGGCGATTCGACACTTAACCAGCAACAGGAACCCCTTGCCGTGCTCCATATTTGAAGAAACTAAATTTATGAAACTGAAATCGAAACGCATTGAATTTAGACCAAATTCGAGCTGGTATCGAATAAAAACACAAATCCATAAGGCATAGAATTGATTTATTGTTTTTTAGTAGGTACATACATATATATATGTATATATATCAATAACATTTATAAAATTATATTTTCTTTTATTGAGGACTACAATTTGTTTATACAGAGTCGAGTCAAATAGCAACACACAAAATTTCACTCGAATTTTATACAATTTTCTTCTGTTTCATCTTATCTCGAATTTTTTCCATTACGTATAACCTTAATTCCAATTTGAAAGTGTATTTTTAATTGTCCAGTTATATAAAGCCTGATTATAGAATACATCGCATTAAAGAAATCTCTAAACAATAATGAAAACTACAAATAAATATAATTCCTTCAATACCAATAGATGCTTAAAACGAAAAGAAAAGAAATTGGGACTCTCCTATTGGCTGCACTTCAAATGAAAGCAAACGCGATCCTTGCGGTGCATTGCGAAAAGTAAACAAAAATCAGCTGTTCGGCCTTAAATAACCAAGCAAAGCAGCTGCCTACTGCCCATTTATGTTCGCCTGGTAGATATTATGCGTCGTTGAAAGGCCGCCAGCAACTCGGCTGGAATAAAATTTACTCGGTTTTTGAGTTAGTTTCCATGCATTTCACCAGGCGAACAGAAGTGAACAGCATGTAAACAAGATAGCTGGGACTTAAGCTGTGAATGTAAACAACACAAAAAGTAAACAAACTGAAGTTGGTTGCACTTCAAATGCAAGTAATACGGTGCATTGCGAAAAGTAAACAAACTGGGGCTCTCCTATTGGTTGCATTTCAAATGTAAGGAAATGCCATTCTAACGGTGCATCCCGAAATGTAAGCAAAAATCAGCTGTTTTACCTTAAATAACCAAACCAGGCAACTTGGACAGTGCAAACCAGCAAACTTGATGACGTATGTTATTCAGAGCGTGCCCATTTCTTAAGCAATATAGTCAAATATAGTTTGTTGCAATGATTTGTATGAACTTTCGCATATATCTTCCCCTCCGCTGTAACTTTAGTTTGGTCGCGCTATTTCCGATTCGAAAGACGCTATTTACTTTGTTTAAATTCGAAAAATATACATATATCCATAGTTCCTTTATTTCTAATGTTTACATATAGGTTAATCAGATATTACACCTTATATTTGATTCTAGTAATCAGGTGTAGCTTAAAAACAGTATTGGTGGACTTCGAAAATCATTTAACTAATCAAGTGTAAATGGAACACGAACAATAGATTTTATAGTACACGTTCGTTATGGTAAATTCATTACAATGTCAGTACAGGGCGAACAGTGTCTGGAAATATAATTAGATCTTTTGACAATTTTGCAGATAAGAGATTTTATCTAAAACTGTTCCTATGCCAGCTTTACGAATTAAGTAACAGATAATTCAGCAATTAATTAAGAATTGCATGGCAACTTGAACAAGTGAAAAAATAACAAGACTCTAATATAATCTGTATATAATCTCTTATAATGTTAGCAATAACGAACGTGCACTACAGTTGGACTTATGCCTGGATCCCATTAATCAATTGTTACAATATTGACGTAAAGCATTTCTACGTTAGATCCAAGTCGTATGTGTTTAATCTAAAATCTGCTCACAGTTCCTTTTCTATGAGCGTCGCTGCATCGCCAGCGGCGCCAGCAGCCTCCGCAGCTCTCTTCTGTTTGCGTTCGAGGGCCTTCTTCTGTTTAGTTAGGAAGATGCCCAATGCCATAAAAACAGCCCAGGATACGTAGCCAATGTGATAGACGGAGCTATAGTAGCGCCAAATGTTGCCGAACGATGAGAGCAAAAAGGCAGTACCCAAGTAACTGAAGGCGAACCACTTGGCAATCCAAAAGATGACGTCAATCACATTACGTTGTATACCGGTGGCATCCTTGCGTACCAATTTATTCCACATGTCCTCCAATGGCACATAGAACGGCGCACCCATGATACAGAAATAGTGACCAGGTCGAAAGCCATGCCAATAGGCTGAACATAGCAGCGTGGCCCCAGTTCTGAAATATTTATAGTGATATTTAAATAAAAATTTGAAAAACTACTACAGTCGTTGCAGATAGAATACCTGTCCAACCTGGGCAAGTGGCAAGAGAAAGAACAACAATAGAAATACGATAAAGCATACAAATAGGGCGCAAGTCTAGCGCAATAGCTATACAAATGTTTGGGGATGCGAATTTCTGAAGAACTCACCTGTACTTCTTGCTGGGAAAGAGCTTATATACATTGACAGCCAGCCAATATTGTACGCAGACATTCCAATGCTTCATGCCCTCGCGGAATGTCCAGCAACGTTCTACTTCCAGGACACGAGTATTCACGATAGTCGTAAAGTTGTAGGTCAGTTTATCCGCGTTGCGCTTTAAGTGTTGGTAGCGTTTGCGTGGTCCCTCTCCATTAGTGGGATCCGCCTCGTCGGGATAAGCCCCGAATCCTGCCATTGTGCACACACATTCGCTTAACGTCAATCCTGTGTAGATCCGTGCCCGGAATATGAAGAAAGTTGGCCAAACGTACAGCAAGCGATATACCCACGAACGCTGATTATAGAATTCGTCACTGAGTGCGTACTGAAAAAAGGTAGTAGAATTAATTATTATATATTTGAAGATAGATAGAAGATAGATCGACCATAGATTGCATTTTAAAGTTTAATTTAAATTGTAATATGTATTTTGAACTTAATGTACTTACATCCAAAGGCCATATATAGTTAGCAATTAGATATAATGTGCAATAGAAGCCAGCGTTTTTCAATTTCTCAAGGGTGGCGCCGACGCTAGGAGCATAGTCCTTGAAAGGCGTTTCAAAGTAGTCACGATAGGTCCGATAGCGATAATAGGGTCCTAGAATAAGTAAAGTAATATTTAGAAAGCTTTAAGGAGTCGTAATTCTAATATACTCTTTGGATAAAGAAATTGTAGCTATAAAGCAGAATATTGAATTGGTTCGCATAAAATATAGTAGCGGGTTAAGATAAGACGCGTAGCAAAATTATACGCGGCGCCAATTGAAGTCTATTGATAAACTATATACACATTCGTATGTATGCTATTATCATTAAGTGACCGACTGAATGCTTCATATGTGTGCGTTACATGCTGGACTTTGTAACCAAGCCGTAAATTGGAGGTGCATTGCTCTAATGGGCGGCAAATGTTGCATGCCAGCTTGGGAACTGGCAGATGGCCGACTAACCTGTTAGTACTCCGATGTAATTGAAGCAATAATGGACAATTTCGTGGGGGGATAGCTGCTGTAACTCTACATCGTAGTCAGATATCTCAATGGTGCTCTCTTTGTTCACATCCCGCTCTTTGTTGCTGTCTTGCTCCTCGCGCTCCTTTAATCGCTTCCAGGCGGCAGTCTTCTCAAATGCAATGCCAGAGACCTGCAATAGTACTTGGAATAATTAGAAGCATGTAATGCAAGGACCCTGTTATGCAACTAACCTTAAGTGTGAGTATCATTTGTATCATATTGGTGTGACCAGGTACACTGGGCAAGCCGAAGAGATCCACCAGCCGGAAGAAGACTAAATAGCCAAACATGACCACGAATGTGACCAGGTGGCATTTGCTGCATGTAAAGGGATTAGAGGGTTTCAGTTTGGGAAAGTAGGTCGAAAAAGCAGAGAACATACCTCGGATGCACTAGGAGCACGCTGGCGCTGCCCAATGCCACAGAAATAGCGCAGTGAAGACTATGGAATCCAGATACGATGACGACCACCAGGATGCCCAGCGAAGTACTGAGCAGCTTGCGTTGACTTTCATTGCGGATTTTCTTCACATAACTGCCGGCGCCAATGCAGGCGAGCAGGCAAATAACGTAGATAACGTCGTCGATGCTCATCCTCCAGATTAAATAGCCACGATGGACGGTGGCAACATTCAGCGAAAAGCAATAGCGACTGAGATTTGGATATTGTCTTCAAACAGCTGACAACCAGGGATGGCCACAGCGCCAGTTAGCTATAGCGTTGCCACTTGATGCCAAAATGATTGCAACCGTCTTTTTAAAATTTGAATTACCACGATGAGTTTTGGTTTATTTTAAAAACGCCTGTGTAATATGAGCTTTTCAACATAAAAATATCTGAAATAATCTCGCAGCGCTCACTTATTTTTGAGCATATTTTTTTATTGATAAACGTTTGACAATAAAGTCAAAACTCATATTACTAGATTCAATATATGTACAAGTATGTATAATATATATAATATTCGACCGGATGTGACCTTTTCAGTCCTCTTGCTTCAACAGCTGGTTCTGCATGCAAACGCCAGGACATAGTTTTATGCACAATTCGTCACGTTGCCGCATTTCTTCGGATAATGCCAATGTCCTAGCGCCTATATGTCCTATAAGCACTTGTTTCTGGCCACGATGTCCATGTCATCTGCGTATGGTGAGATGAACACGTCTTTTGTTTATTCAATGGGAATCGTAGAGCCACTGGGCGTATTGTATGGGAAGAGGGTATAGAGAATGGGCCCCGTTTCAGAAGAGAACTAGATAGTAGCGCGAACTGCAAGGATAACTACTTTGCTTTTGTTATCCTTGTTTATCAGCCACAGATTACGTGCCTTAAAATGATGTTCCAAAATAATATCTGCGTGTGCAAAAAAAGCGATATTACTCATTAATAATTAAATAATTTTTAAGTTAAAGGTAATACCAAATTAATTGTTGTTTTACTTTGTATACAAATAAGAAGTTTATTGATATATGTATATTAATAATTTATAAGTTTATCCTTTATCCTTAAAATTGTCACTTGCCATAACGCAAATATTTTAAAAGGTTTTTTTTTAATTTCAAATAAAACAACTATTAAAATATAACAACCTTTCTTTTATTTATTGATTTGCTGCAGGAAGCAGGATCTGATCCTAATCCTTCGACTTCAGGCAAACATAAATCAGCAGCAAGTCTTAAAAAGTGTCCTTTTTTAATTACATTCATTTGTGTCTAGTTGTACGTCCGCAACTTATTTATCTATTAATTTATTTAATAATTAATTGGTTTGAAAAGCGGTTTGGAACCGGCTGCCGTTAAAAAAGGCGTAGCATATCATACAGGGGCAGAATAAAATTTTTAATTTAATAAGCAGAGATATCGATGTAGCTTCGGAAGCCTTACAGCAGTATGTAAGTAGTTTCGAGAAGTGGGCTCTGAATTGGAACATTGGTATCAACGCCAGCAAGTGTGCGAATGTCACATTTACAACAAGGCCGTCGTCATGCGGAGATATCACAATGTTGGGGTCCACGCTCAGTCATACAAATTCGCACAAATATCTTGGTGTAATTCTGGACAGAAGACTCAACTTCAGCAAGCATACAACAATGGTGAAGCGATCGGTCATGGCGAAAGCCGGAAAGATGGCATGGCTGCTTGCACCATGCAACAAGCTGTCCCTGCACAGTAAGGTGACAGTATACAAGTCCATATTAAGTCCAATATGGAAGTATGCGCTACCAATTTATGGCATTGCCGCTGCTTCAAACCTAAACAAAATAAGAGTTGCGCAAGCTAAAATACTTAGAAAAATATGCAACGCTCCCTGGTATATGCGCACTAGGGACATCGAAAGAGACTTATGTGTCCCCAAGGTTGGCGATGTCATTCAAATGCACGCAAGCAATTACGAGAAGCGACTCGGCAGTCACCCCAACGCACTAGCGAGGCGGCTCCTGTCCAAACCTAAGAAGAGAAGACTGAAGAAGTGCCATCCAAAGGATCTCCCCACAAGAGCCCTTGTATAAAATACATAGTATATATCATAAAATATAATCATTTTTCATGTAAAACATTGTAAATATTGTATATATGTACATAGATATAAGTGCGTCCTATAGATGCTTACTATAGACAACTTTTGTATTCCCTAACTTTCAACTAGCTTAAGCTGCCATATTGGTAGTAGAAAACTAGTTTAATAAATTGTATATATGTAAAAAAAAAAAAAAAAAAAAAAAAAAAAAAAAAAAAAAAAAAAAAAAAATAAAAACTGCCTCTTGCTGCTGGTTTATGTTCGCCTAGTACCTCAGATTTTGGATGTTAGCGTTTGCAGCCGATTTTATAAATGTTAGGAAAGCCGCAGCTGTCACGACTTGGGTTTGCAAGCTGGCACCTTTGCTAAGTACCAGGCGAACATAATGCAGCAGCAAGACGATTCCTTAAAAAATGTAAAAATAAAGGTGAGCCAGGTTTCAAACCATTTCGCAGCCAGACTTTAAACCAATTACCAAACTGGTTTGAGCCCCAGCTGCTAAAAGGTGTGGAGCTCGGCTTATATTAAGAAAAGTGTAGCATCTTTTAGGCGAAAAATTTAATATTAAATTTAAAAAAAAAAATTCGTCTTGCTGCTGCCTTATGTTCGCCTGGTACTTCAGATTTTGGATTTTAGCATTTGCAGGCGATTTTATAAATTTTGGGAAAGCCGCAACTGTCCTGTGCTTAGTTTGCAAATTGACACTTTTGCTAAGTACCAGGCGAACATAATGCAGCAGCAAGATGATTTTTTTTTTAAATTTAAAAATTAATGTAAGCTAGGTTTTAAACCATTTTGCAGTCCAGCTTCAAACCAATTCGGCAAATGGTTTGAAACCTGGTTCACATTTGCAATTGCTTTCAAACCGGGCTGCAAAATGGTTTGAAACCAGGCTTATTTTATTTTTAATTTTTAATAAAAATAGTCTTGCTGCTGCTTTATGTTCGCCTGGTACTTCAGATTTTGGATTTTAGCATTTGCAGGCGATTTTATAAATTTTGGGAAAGCCGCAACTGTCCTGTGCTTAGTTTGCAAACTGGCACCTTTGTTAAGTACCAGGCGAACATAACGCAGCAGCAAGATGATTTTTTTAAAAATTTAAAAATTAATGTAAGCCAAGTTTTAAACCATTTTGCAGTCAAGCCAATTCGGTTAATGGTTTGAAACCTGGTTCACATTTGCAGTTGCTTTCAAACCGGGCTGCAAAATGGTTTGAAACCGGGCTTAATTTATTTTTAATTTTTAATAAAAATCATCTTGCTGCTGATTTCTGTTCGCCTGGTACTTCAGATTTTGGTTTTAAGCAAACGTAGCCACTTTGGCCATCGGACAAACTAAACATACCATCCTCTTCACCCCCCTCACCCATCTCACGAATAAAAAGTCCATCTAAAATTTGATTTATTTCATTTTTACTTTCTTTTATTTACAAATTTAATAAATTAATAATTATAGTTCTTATTAATGTAAATTAGATACAGACATAGAACAAATTAAAGATAGGAAAATAAAATATACACGAAAACGGACGCAAAAAGGACATCATGTTTATTATTATAATTATTATTATTATTTTTATAATACTTATAATCAATTTCTTACTTTTGCTGCTCGTGGCTTTAACTTTTCTTTGCCATTCTCACTTTGCTCATTTGGAGAGCTGTCGGAACTTCAAAAATGCATCCATTATTATTATTATAAATATTATTACTATAAATATTATTATTATAAATATTAATATTATAAATATTATTATTATAAATATAATTTTTATAACTAATTTGATTATTATTATTGTCAGGTTCTTAATTGTATATAACATTTCTTCAGTTTATTTACATGCAAGTTATAAACATTAATCAAACAATATATATGAGAAATTTAAATAAGCATAACTTTAGCAATGCTGTGCTCTTCTCCACACACACGTCTGCTCTCCTCGACGACTCAAACGATCCTCCCCCTCTACTCATACTTGGCATTATACAAGTAATATAATTAATTCCTTCTTGTTTGCCTTGTTTTCCTTTCTAATTAAGCCGACTTCTGCTTAGAAGATTGCTTCTTCTGTTGGTTTATCGCAGGATTGTTCTTCGCATTGTGTTTTCCCAAGAAAAATGATTGTCGGGGGACGAAATTTCGTGTCTCCGGAACCTCTGACCATACACTGCTGTGATTCGGGGCATGGCATACAGGATAGGCTGTAAAATAAAATTTGAAATAAATAAGTAAATATACATACAAGAGAAAACTGTACAGTTGAGCAACCCCGATAGATAAAATAGATATTTAAATCGATATTTATATAAAATTTACGTGCGCCAAGTTTGGGTTACGTAGCTTTTGAAATGTGTACAGTATTGACGAAATTCTGTAGCGGGGAGAGAGGAGGGACAATCAAAAACATAAACTCGATAAGACTAGGGACAAGAGCGTCTGCATACCAATTTTGGTTTGGGTATAAACATAATAGGGTCTGTCAACATACAATAAAATCTAGACAGTTTTTAAAGAGTAGAGGAAGAATTCTCCTGAGAGTAATTTAAAAAGATCGTTAAAATTAGAAAACTTAACCCGGAAAACGATTGTGCAAAGAAAAACTACACCAAGAACAGTTCTACGAATTGTAAATGCTGAAAAGCCTCCCAGAACAGAGCGTTGGGATCCCAATTTATTCCAGGTGGATTAAACAGGACATAGTACTTCATCGACTCTATACGTTCCCTATGCTTTCTATACTGCGGGCATCAAATTAGAGATGTGCAAGGAAATTTAGCAGAAACTAAATTTCTTGGACAATTATTTTTTAAATAGCCATAAAGTATGGTTCAGCAACAGCTTGTTTCAAGACAAAATTAATAGTCTAATTTAAAACTTATAGATTTCTCTGCTTATAATTTGAATTGCAGTTAAACTGTATAGTAATCAACTTTTTATAATGCTTTCTGTTACGCTCATATTGTATTGTTGGATTATTAAATGGCTTTTTAAAAATTTAACAAATCTTTCGTAATTTTACAAAATGACGTTTAGACGCTGGGAAATATAGTTTGGTATAAATTAGCTGAGTAAGCTTCCAATTACTAACAATAGGTTATTGATGATTCAAGATTACATTTGCGCTGGCGCGGGCTACTAAAGAGACTAAGCAAAATGTCAAGCTGATATTTTAAAATAAATACAAGTATATACACATGTATGTATATGTAACAATGTGTCGTAAACCTTATCAACTTAGACGTATTTAACACCGATTTGATGCCGATAATGACTGGCTATATGATTCGATTAAACGCCCAGCTGATAATTGCATCAGAAGCATATGGTTGGGGGTCTGTGGGCAGAACTGGGCGGAACGTGCGTCGAAAATTCCCAAAAGCACTCGGCGAAACGCCACAAAGCTTGGGGCGTGCTCGGAACCGGTATCGATCGTGTAACTAACCAAGTTAGTGGCTGGAGCGTACGCCGGCGCAGCGTAGTGGGAAACGCCTGTAGTATTGAAGAGTTTATTAATATGAGATTGGAGAATGCAGGGGCGCAACCAATAGTTGGTTCTGATTGGGGTATATAAGTCATCTTTAAGCATATGCTGTGCAAATCAAAAATCGTTTGCTACATTTTTGAACTAATGCGAATTTTAGATATTTTTTATCAAAGCATATTTTCTATCGTTTAAGTAAAACATTTAATTTTCAAATTGTGTGAGCAAACTAACAGGCACGGCTTAACATTCCGAATGTTAACATTTAGAATTAAACGCGATTAACAGCAAGTGTTATTTAACATAACATGACATGTTGAATATAACATAAAGCTTTAGCAAGAATTGCAGACATATGTGGGATTAAACATTTACTTGCAGTTTGTTTTACCGTTCTTGAGCTGCTTGATTTCCATATACACCAAATACTGTTTTTACACGGTATTTTTTTACACGATTTTCATATAACACGACTTGAAAATTAAAAATTGCATATATATTTCTTTAGAGATAAGGAACCAATCACCTTTTTTTGCATTGATCAATGTCTTTTTTTACACGGTTGTTTCTGGAACCAATCTACCGTGTAAAAACTGAATTAGGTGTGTTTTAAATGTGAAGCGTATTTATTTACATGGAATTTGATTTCCTGAGGTATGATAATCGTCTTATTAGTTTTGCAAATATTTCAACGTTCTTCCTGTCATGGTCATTAGATTAGATTGGCAGAAATGTATTTTTATAACCCCTATTTATGTTAATCCATAAAGTAAAGTGAATAAAATTGTTCTTCATCAGATTGTAAAAGGGCTTAAAATACTTTTCGATTGGGAAGTCGCCAATTTTCCATTAAGAAAGGCTTTTAGCAACTTATTTCCTTCCACCTTTTTTTTATGCCGACGCCACTGATCGATCCGATCCAAGTGTGAGCTGTGCGGGAATTGTAAGTCTCTGAACTTGATTGTTTATTCGAATGCGTTGGGCATTAAGTCAAAGCTGTAGCGACTACGCGTATAAAGCAAGCTCGAGCACTCGAGTAGCTCAGCAGAATCTAATTGTTGCTTGAGTGAAGCACAACGGCAATTACAGCTGTTAAGATAGTTAATTACTTATAACTGGCAGACAGACAGATAGACCTTTCATAACTAGAAACCGCAATGTTGTACCAACGGGTATGGAGTTTGGTTGCGCTGCTACTGATCGGGTCTTGTGGTAAGTGAAACAAGAATAAGTTGACTTACTAACCTAACCACCACTTCCCATCGTTCAGCTCAGGGCAAGATCGACAATAGCTTGGAAAAAAGCTACGAAAGCGAGATGAGCGACTTCATGGATATGGTGCCCGATCCCGATGGGGTTGAGCCCGAAGATATTGGCATTCGCGGCGGCTTCGAGGAGCAGCCCGAAAATATATTGGACGCATTGAAAGATGAGAACGAGGATGCCGAGCCTTGTGTGTGGAACAAGTGCGACAAGGACTTCAATGAAGCGCGTGGCATTCACAAATATGTGGACTTCACCTTCCTGAAGAAGATTGTGAAAAATTGGAATCCATTTTCGAGTGCCGGTTCGCGCATGCAGTTCTATTTGTTTAAACGCGAGTTCCCGGACTGTGGTCAAGAATTGGACTTCACCCAAGTTCGAAAATGGCGGCATTCGGATTTTAATGCCTCGCTACCCACGCGCCTTATTGTGCACGGCTGGATGAGTCAGTCTCTGGGATCGTTTAATCGGGATGTGAAGAATGCGTATCTGAAGCGAGGCGACTATAATGTGATTGTGGCCGACTGGAGTGCCAGTTCCGCCAATGTCAACTACTTTTCAGTGGTTAAACTAATTGAAGAGTTTGGCGCCCAACTCGCACAATTTACGCGTGAGTTACACAGGAGATTTGATGCGAAATATGACGATATGTACGTGATTGGACATTCGCTGGGTGCTCAGATAGCGGGCGCTGCAGGAAAACGTCTCAAGCCGGAGCAATATAATACCATCTTCGCGCTAGATCCAGCGGGTCCCAAGTTCCGGCAAAAGGGTGCAGAGTTCCGCATCGATCCCACCGATGCCAAATATGTGGAATCGATGCACACGAGTGGAAACTTTGGATTTCTAAGGCCAACAGGCCATGCCACCTTCTACCCGAACTATGGACTGTATCAGCGTAACTGCTACTATCTGGGCTGCTCCCACATACGCTCCTATCAAATGTTTGTCGAATCCATTAACTCACCCGCCGGCTTCTGGGGAACGCCGTGCACGCGACACGATCGCAAATGGCAGTGCGACGAGACGCAGCGACAATCCTATCAAATGGGTGGAGAGCCGGCGGTCCATAAGTCCGGTATTTACTACGTGAAGACAGCCTCCAATGATCCTTTTGCCCTCGGCAGACGTTAAGGCTGTGCTTGTGAGCGGATATAAAGGCCATAACTGGCTTAGATGTCAGATCTGATATTTGAGTGTAATGTATTCCAAAGAACGATTGTACAATCATGTAAATACTATTTATAAAGATTTTCTTTAAGTAAAATCTACTTTACAAGAGTTTTCCTATTTTATTTAGAAATTTCTGAAATCTAGTAAGCCATGTATTCGAATTCAAATAAAATAATGCCACATGCTTGTTTTATATTCAAACAAGATCATTTCTCTTCTGGCTTTCGGACTATTCACATCTCTCCAAAAAAACTAAATAAATTAATTTAATTTTTCCTGAAACTTTTGGTCCTTTTTGGAAAATATTAAAATCATGAATTACGGAAATAATGCCCAATACCAGCAAGTAGACCAATACGGCATGTCGGCGTCGCAGGCCCCTGAGGTAAGTAGTTGGAAATGCAGATTAAAAGGCTGGCTTTGCTTAAGTTCTTGCTATTGACAGGCTTATCCAGGCTATGGACAAATAGGCCAAGGTTACGGCGAGTCGCGCGGCTATGGCGAATCTCGCGGCTATGAAGAACACCGTGGCTATGAAGAGCCTCGTGGCTATGAAGAGGCTCGTGGCTATGGTGAATCTCGTGGCTACGGCAATGAACAGCAGTGGTATCCGGATGAGTCTCGATCATGTCAGCCCGGTTCAGCCTCCTATGGCGGAGCTGGCTATCGCAGCCCATTAAGATATAGCAAGGTGCTAAAGGAAATTAACTCTCGCAATGGCTTGTAGTAAGTCAAAAGGCTTAAATTTACGATTTATAGAGTACTTATAGAACGCGTTAATCCCTACAGTTCACCAACTGAACGATCGACTGGAATGCGTGGTGGCCATGGCGACTTCTGCAACTCATTGCCCGGTATGTTGGTTAATAGATTTTCTTTTAGCAAAATTTATTGTGAAAACCGCCCCTCGCACGCAGGTCTTGGTGGCTACGATAGTCAAGCCCAGCAAGGATCAGCTGCTTCCAGAAATCCCTGGTATTAATTGAGCATTCGTATGTCATTCGAATATCTGCTTCATGGTCGAAATTGAAAATTCAAAGGCCCAATGGATGAAATTCGTGTGATGTAGTCTCATATAATTAAAATTTGAAGTACAAATTTGAAAATAAATGAACGTAATCTAGTTTTGAAGGTTTCTTTTTTTAGAGAAAGGAAACTTAATATTAATTACAAGTTTTTTTTTCTTTTTTTTTACTACATAAAAGGAAAAGCAGTATTAGGCTTATTAAGATCATTATTTCCATTTATAGTAAATTATTTATAAGAACATTAATTCAAGTGGCATTTTATTTTATTTTCTGATACGGTCAAGGGCCAACTGCTTTTGAAAATGATCCCAAGTTAATGACAGGTATCTTTGGAAATTTCATACATATGTACTTGTATTTCGTTCGAATAACCGCTTCGGGGTCGAAATTAAAAATTCAAAGGCCCAATGGATGAAATTTGTATGATGTCGTCTCATATAATTAAAATATGAAGTACAAATTTGAAAATAAATGAAAGTAATTTAGTTTTCAAGGTTCTTATTAGATTTGATGCACAGCAGGAAGGCGGTTCCATGCGAAGCTGTTACCAGTAGCTACTTGTCTGAATAGATTTAATTGTTTTTGAATAATTAAGTAATATTGTTGCTATGTATTTAAAACTGTTTGTCCTGACTGATTTACTGATTTACAACGCACATCTCAAATGATTAGAACCAGTGCAGGGGAGCGATAAGAATCGCTTTAGTCCCGCCAGTACGCAGTTTTTATATTTAAAATATTTTAATTGCTTTTACCTTTTCTATTGCGCTCACTCACATATATGTGTATGTATGTGTGTTTGTTGTGCATAATCGTCGCAGATGGGCAGACAGCATGTCGCCTAAAAAAAAGAAAGAGAAGAGAAGAAATATAGAGAAAGCTCAACTTGCCATACAAATGTTTTGTTGTTGTTCTCTTGCAAGCAAAAGAGCGCAGTAAAATAAAGAGAGCGTGTGTGTTGGGCAAATTTCTCTTTTAATTTTGTTAGAAAAAGAAAAAAGCATGAAAGCGCGATCGAGTTAAACAAAATGGAGCGTGGCTGAAGGAAAGGCAAATTAATGCAGATATATATTTACATATAAACAAACACATATATATACATACAAGTACATAGTATTTCATGCATACTAAGTACTTACATACCGCATTTTTTTTAATTAGCGTCATATTTTAAAAGATATTCACATTTAAAGTTAAAATTGTATATTTTTTTTTGTGTACGCAGAGTTATGCTGGCAAGTGTATATGTCGCTTTCGTTGCCAAGAAAATTCGTTTTCCACAGGATAGTTCCTATAGAAACTTTACTGGAAATTAACACAATGTGGGAATAGAAATATATATAATACATACATGTACATATATGTATATACATAAAATTGTAAGCAAAAATACTTAGCAAATTTGCGAAAAGCTTTCTCGAATTTCGCAAGTATGTCACGGGTATAAGGTTTCTTTAATTAAAACTAATAAGAATTCTGTGCTGAAATATAGTTTTTGCTGCAACAAACAACAATGCAACAATGGGAATAGCTTTCCAAGCCCATTTTGCAAAATAGTACAAATTCGTGACGAAATTATTTGCATATGAAAACTAATTGGTTTGGAGACACTTTGATTTGAATTTACTTTCACTACAGCTTAGTGGTGAGTGGGAAATTAATGATCTTTAGTGCAAAAAAGCCAATTCGACGATATGGTAAAGGCTAGAACTAGGCAAGCGATTTGCGTTTCCCAGTACATACATACATATACATACATATATACAAACATTGGTAAACGTGAGCGTCTGCGATTTACGGTATTTCAACTGTCAATGTCATATCTTAAAACTAAACTAGTGTGCTTTGCACTTGCATCCGTTTTTCGTAGCCCAAGTTTCTATTTCGTTGGCGAAAGGGCACGGCTTAGGATTCATTTGCTAATGATGCCCAGCCCCAGCCTTAGCCACAGCCACAGCCACAGGTTCAGGCCAAAGCCGAGGGCTCAACATGAAAGCAGAGTGCAGCCCAGAAGAGAATGGCAACACTTTTCATCTCCATTCAATGCTGAGCCTGATGAGTTTTGACATTTTGTGTGTGAGAGAGCAAAGTCACTTGCTTAAAAGTTATTGGGGATTAAAAGAGTTGTGCCCGAGGATGGAAGTGGGCTGCAGCCTGCAGAGTGTGCTTCATTAGAGCTACAGGCTGTCCAGTTGCTTTTAATGGAATGCATGTGTGTGTGTGTGTGTTTGCGGGTGGAGGGGGAGGTTGCTGCATTAAGTAAACACCTTGGGTGAAAGTTTTTGGAAAATTCTAAAAGGAAATCACTTTGGACGCCCTCCAAAGAAGCGCAGCGCAGCTCAAGGAACTTTGTGTGAGCAACCACCAACCACCCACCACCCACACGCCAGCGCCACCCACATGCCACCACAAAGGCGAAAGTTTTCCAGCAGGAAGTGTGAACGATTATGAGCTGGCAGAATTCCCTCCAACCTGCAGGATCCTGAGCTGCTGCTTGATGCTGATGGCACTGGCATTTTAATGGTGCACGCCACAACTTTTGAGACATCTTAATTCCTTTCGAGATAAATCAAAATGTGGCCAGCCAATGAGGGTTGCTTGCTGGCTGGCTTCTAAAAAATTGTATATACAAGTACATATGTACATAAGTACTGTATTTTTATTTCGACAATTTTTAACTTATGCATTTTTATGAGTTGGTGCGCCCATTGCGCTTGTGTGGTTTATCCTTTCATAAATGGGTCCAGCAGCAGGCAAACTGATTTATGCCACCGCAAGCTGGCGCTGCTGTTGTCTTCCCTGCTGCTTTGTTCTTGCAACACACCGGTACTTCCGAATGTTCAAGTCCTCTCACTGACGAAGGCTATGGGACAACAAAATAACAAAATGGCAAACAAAAATTCCAGAAACACCATAAAACCGATTGATTTATTTTGACAATGCTCCATGCAGTGCTGGGTACGGGCTGCCCGGCTCTGCCATTGTTTGCTTGCAGTTGAGCACCACCCCGCGCCCCTTCCAGACACCCGTCCCGCTTCGCCCCATCGACATGTTCCGTTCGCATTTCGGACCTTTAGAGCCACTGCCTGCAACACATCCCAGCACAAAACACAGCCTGCAAAGTTGTCCTCGTTGTCCGTTTGTAAAATATTTTATTTGCACATCTTTCTTATTTTAATCCTTCATTGCATTTGCTGAGGGTCCTGTTGAGCGGGCGTGCGGGCTGGGCGGTGAGTTGGGCCGTCGCTATGTGGTCTGTAGTTGTTTCTATGCTGTTGCAAATGGCCATAAAACACACGTTAATTACCCTCAAGAAGCCCCCATTTCCTGTCTATCCTTCGTCCCCTTTCATGCATGCATTTGTTACTGTACAGGGTACACGTATATCTAGTAAATGGTCGATCAGTTTTTTGTGCATAACGAATGCTTACCATCATAGTAGTGTCAATAAACAAGAGAGAACGCTACAGTCGAGCAAGCCCGACAGTGTAATACCCTGTACCCAGGTAAACTTCCGTCACTGAGTTATATGCGCCCATAGCAGCAGCAAAAAGAGGAAGAAGAAGAGCGAACTTGCTGCTGCAGTTTGGTGAGGTTGTACTGGCGAGAATTTGTTTCGCTAATAACTTTTCTTAGAATTGACCGAATTGAATAAAATTTTGAAGAACAGTAGAAAATTATATATAAATTATGTGTGCAAAGTTTGGTTTAGGTAGCATTTGAAATGTGGACGCTATTGACGAAATTCTGTAGCGGGGGAAGGGGGGGAATCGGGGGATTGATGCTTGAAAATTCCAAAAAATAAAATAAACTCGTCCTTTCTCGGACCTAGGAGAATCTGGATGCCAACTTTGGTTATTCTAGCTTTTATAGTTTCTGAGATCCTCGCGTTCATCCAGACGGACGGACAGACGGACGGACGGACGGACGGACGGACATGTCTAGATCGATTTCTCTCGTCATGCTGATTCAGAATATATATACTTTATGGGGTCGGAGATGCTTCCTTCTGCATGTTACATACTTTGCACAAACCTAATATACCCTTTTTACCCTACGGGTACAGGGTATAAAAATGTGTTTAGAGCTCTTACCAATCGATTGCTGTGATAGCTTTAATTGAAAGCATCGATATTGTGGAATGAAAAGCTTTTTCAGCCATCTTTATTTTTATGCAACAAATATCAATTTTGTATTTTAAAACTTAGTTGCTGTGTAAAGAACTGAATTGTTACAGCTCGAAGCATTATTCACATTCTGGAATCTTGAAAAGTTTTGCATTGAAACAAATATTTATTTCTATTTAATTTTTAACAATTGAATTAAAATATTTCGTTACTAATGGGTTTTTGCATCGATCCAACCAAATTTTTACATTACTTACGCAGTCTCTGCCTATTTATGATGTCAACTATGAAGTATAGTATATATTTACTATATATATGTTTCTATTAAATGAGCATTTGCTTTTCCTTACCTTTTTAACATCTTCACCAATAATATATAGTTCTTTCGATGATGACCGCAAATCTAAAACGGCTTCTTTTTAAAAACTTACGTAATGACAGAGATCATAGATTTTTGAAGTACTTGAAGACAAAGCATTTGTAAATGTTCGATGTATATTTTATTATAATCTCGTTAGTTGTGCTAGAAGAAAATTTAATTTCAAGAATTAATTTGTTGCGTCATTTCAAAGTTGTTTAGTTTTTGTAAATACTTCGTTATGCCCATACGCCATGGAAATGCTGCTAAGAGACTGAAGAGGCAATATAAATACTGGCAATGCGAATTACTCGGCTCATAAAATACTATCCAAACGAATCAATCGCTTCCGAATCCATAACAAGTTGCTAGCATACACAAGCCCTACCAAAACATATTACTCGGCTGCGAATTCATGCTGGATCCATTAACACTAGGTCCTGCAAAGAGAGAGGTAGCTATATAGTTGAACTACAGAACTAGAAACAATCTAGGTGTTCCTGAGAATATATGTTTAATTACCCGCACAACAAGGATAACCATCACCGCCACTCATGCTCCCAGGCCCATCTGTGGGGGAGCTACGAAAAATGCAGACTGTAAGATATATGTTTCTCAATTCCTCTCTCGAGATACTCACTATAATCCATTGCGTGCCCTCATCTCTCGCGCCCTCTTCTGTTGGCGCACCATACAGCGATAGGAGCTGGCACTGGGAGCGACTTGTTGCCTAGAATTGTAGGGGGTGTGTCCCTCTGGCATGTTTAGTTGAGCCTGGTTCGGTGTCATAGCATACGCCTCTTCCGGCATTTGAGAATCCATAGGGTTCGTCATAGCGCTCGACAAAGGGTTCTGGTTGTAACTATGGGCCGTGCCGCCGACCTTTAAATCCATATTCGTTTAGAAAACGTCTTTGATGATGATATATGTAGTAGTTGCGATTACTTACTTCAGGATAAAAAGCCTCTGGATTCTGCATGCCGAAAATAGAAAATTGTCCGTAGTTTCCGTAGTCCATTGTGGAATTTTGAGTAGAAAGAGAAAAAAAAGTTAATCCAAATAAAATTTCAATAAAATAAGGAAAAAATAGAGTACTAATTGAGGAAAGATGTGCAATGATTCAGGAAAAAATTGAAATACTTACAAAGCTGAGGCTACGCTGTTGTACGAATAAAATTGGGTTTTTTGTATTGCTATTTTATTTTAATTAATATTTTAATTCCTATTTTAAAATATTCCTAACACAGCATTGCTTTATTTTGCTTCAAGCAAGACTTGCATTAAGCTTCTTGCTTGTGTTTAAGAATATTTTAATTTTCTTGAACCCTTGAACTTGCCCTTGCCTTATTCTCAGTCCATAAAATAAAATATTATATAAATAGATAAATGTCATCATACAATAAATTTTCTACGATATAGATATTAAAAATCTTCTATTATAATCAGTAATTCAGTTCCAAAATGTGGAATTTAAAATTCCATCATATTGCTGAATAAGTTAATTCAAGTTTAAATCCAAAAATGTAGAGCCTTGTGATTAATCTGTTTGCAGAAAAAATACGGTCTCACTGTTCTCTCAGGATTATATCTATTGGTGGTCATACTGCCCTCAATTCGAACTGAAATTAGGTCGATTTTGGAATGCCATCACTAGTCAGAAACCCAGCAGCATTTGCCAACACTGCCTAAAATTTAATTATTCCAATTTGGTAGCCTTGGGCTTGCTTTTCAAGGGAAAAGCTGGATCGGAGATTGTGCGGGGACTGACCGAAGGCACCGTCGAGGCTTCCCGCCAAACGAAACTAGACAAGCTTTATTAATTAAACTTGGACTTTTTAAAATGGGCAATAAGAGTAAGTAAATGTTTACAATGCCCAATTGCTGCGAGTGCAGTATTCTTCAATATTTGCAGAACGTTCAGGGATGAAGTTGAAGCGATTGGAACGAAGCTCGGAGCGTGGTCAGTACACCGATTTACGATACCTTATCATCGAGAAGCAACGGGCCAAACGAAGCACCGCTGCTGGCATTACAGATGCCCGGGACATTATTAACAAAAAAATAGCTGCGAAGCATCACCAAACAAGGACTTCATGGAGACGCGTTAAAGCAAACAAAGAAGAAGATTTTGCTATGGACGGTGATATAGAGATGCGCGAAGTAGGATGCAAGTCGCCTCAAGATACTGCCAAGCGACTTGCCTACGAGGTCAGCGTCAACAATCTGCACTTCGATGTGACCACCAAGGACATTTTTCAACTGTTCAGTGAGTTCGGGTCGCTGCTGGAGGCGCGCGTTATGTGCCCGGGCAGCGCTGTGGTTGTCTTCGAGGAGTACAGTAGTGCCTCTGCTGCTTGCGAGGAGCTCCAAAACCGCGACTTTGATAATCAGCCGATGAAACTGAAAATGGAGCTGGTGGACTTGTCCCACCGACTGTACCTTTGGAACTAATGATAATGTGTTTGTTTGATGATTAAGCAAATAGATAAGTTCTTTTTGTATCTGGACACCATTTCTTGTCCTTACAAGTAGATTGCGCCTTGTTTGACAGGCCACATGTCGTTGCCCAAAGCAAATAGGAACGGGCCTATCCACCATAGCGCTGGGCCCAATTACTGGCATATTAAGTCACCTTAGCTGCACCCCTCCTGGGTCCTCAGCAGCTCCCACAACCTTCTGGCTTATCGTGCCAGAGACACTGCAGCAGCCAAACTTTTCCATGCAGTCGGGGAGAAGAAAAACGATAATAAAAATCAAAGCGATACCAAGACGAAAAATGCCGCTGCAGACCAACACCAAATGAATATGCAAGAAGCAAATCGAAGCTAGAGAACGCCGACGCTTGCATACACTTGCATTTTTCTATTAAAGTGATTGTCTTCACAGAAGTTTTTAAGTGGAAGACATCAGCCATTGAACAGCTACTTGCATCAAATCGTGGGTATCTTTTAAAGCAAATCTCGTTCTTAGTTTGACTTTTTGCAAAAGTTGCAGTCCTAATCAAAAGCCTCCTTCCCAAGCTATGCCTACGTTTTCTTTGAAAGATTATCATTCGGATGGCAGCAACAAAGTATGATTTCCAATGGCTTGCATACTTCTTCAGAGAAAAAGATACTACTAATGCGAAAATATTCGGGAGTAAAGAAAAAATGTCATGGGCGGGTCTATTTTGGTTTTGTTCGAATTATGAGTAGAGAGGGGAGCTGCACTTCCAAGAGAGAGCTATTCAGTTTTTTTGTTATATCGCCCTAGTTAGAAATTTGGCAACGCCTTCTTCTGAGCCCTCATATAAGTTATGCCCCAGTGGCTATACCCGTTGTAAGGGTAGGGAAACGTTCAACGAATAATTAAAATCGAGCAGCTCCTTGCAGCAGAGGATTAGGCGAGTGCAGCTTCTAAGAGATACCGGCGGGCAGCAGCAGCAGCAGCAGCAGTTTATGGTCGACAATTAAGTGCCGCTCCTAATCTGTCTGTTGTAATTATGGCGTCGTAGTCGTATTTATCTGCTGCAATTAACGCCGTGCACGACTCGCATATTTCACAGATCCAAAGATTGAATTCCGCGCACACAAATTTGCATGCACTTGCTGCGAATTGGCGGAGTGGTTGGGTGAAGGCCTCGGCAAGAAAGGAGGCAGGCAGAGTCGAAATTAGTTTTCTATTTGCAAGTCGTTTATTTAATGTCTTTAATTAAATATGCTAATTGGCTGGCAAACGGGCAATTACAAAATAAGTAGCAGCATAGTTTTTCTCTTATCAACAAATATAGAAAATACATATAGGCAAGCATTGATCAATCTGAGGGATTCTGCAGCACTATAATGAAATATTTCTCCTCTGGCACTATGAAAATCTCGTGCTTATTCGTGCGCATGCGTATAGCCTTTAATTCATTTTGGACATCAAACTTGCGTAGTATTTGCATGGCCTTGAATGTAACCTTGCCCATTTGAGCCGCATACTGAACGCTCGTGGCATTATCTATTGTTGACTTAATGGGTATACCTTCCTCGTTGACCACAATAATGCCGAATATGTTAGGGATGGCCTGGAAGCGCTTCAGCATGTCCTCAATCTCGGCCGACATCTTGCAAGTTCGAGAAGTGTATTCTGAGTTGTGTGAGCGCTCAGTACAGTTCAATAATATTAGTTTTTGTTTCTAAAGTTCTGGCACGATGTGTAGTTCAAAGTGAACTTTAATTTGCCATGCTTTTTAGAATGAATTGTAGATTAAGGAAGACTGCTAGGACCTCTGTGCATAAAAGTAAAGCGAAAAAACTACGATACAGATAGTAGAGGGCTAACATAGTACCCAGCGGAGGTTTGGTAGAAGAAGCTATTATTTCGAGTAAAGAAGTGGAAGTCCTCCTCTCTGGTGATTCGACTCAATCAATGGTGCATAGTACTAGATATTTCTCTGGAACTGCAAGAAGTAAGTGAGACAAAGTGATGAAGTTTTTTTTTAATTTAAAGAGGACTTCATGGATTGTAGGGCAATACAGTACTCAGTTTTCCCACATTATTTTAATCAACAACCCTTGAAACCAATGAGTTTAGTTTCGCGACTTCAGAAATTATAAAGCAAGTTATAGAAGAAAAAAAAGAGAGAGAGAGAGAGAGAGAGAGAGAGAGGAATGAGAGATGAAGGAGATGGTTCCCCGTAATTAAAAATGAAATACATGATGACAGCCCATTAATGTCCCATTCAGAAAAGAAGCAGCTCTAACCCCCTCCCTTACCCCTACAAATATTTCAATATTTATGTTATAAACGCTTTTCTGTTCCTCATTTTTGATGAAGAATGAAAAGTGTATACGAGTATAAGAAGATATCTTCTGATAAAAGGCTAACATTTACAAAGAGAGCTCAAATTGTAAAGATGAGACGAGGAGAGATATGGTGGGTGTAGCCTTGAGCACAACTCAAAACTAACGACAATGGCTAGATATCCTGTTTAAGGACGTCCGCCCATACACCCCCATTCGCTCATATTTAGTTTGTCGCTTTATGGTATAGAAAGTGGCGGTGTCATAAATTAAAACTTAAACTTTTGGAAATGTCAAGTATAAAACGGTAAATCTCCGCACACACTGAGCCACACACACACACACACACACATTTACACTCGGGAGCTGGGAATGAGTTGCAGCAGAAGCAGAAGCAGCAGAAGCCGAGTCGCCCATTGAATGCGCATGTTTTAGTTGCGGGTTGCGTTTATGGGGCTATTCAGGAGGCGTCAGGAGGGTGGGGGAGGGGGGCTGGAACCAGCTGAAAAACTACAGGCACCAAGAAAAAGCACAACAGCAGCAGCAGCAGCAGCAACAACAACAATAATATATGAAAAACTCCACCCGTTTCACATAAATTTGGGAAAAGCAAACTTACAGATTATCCGCATTTAGTTGTAAAGGTTTCCCCCAAATGTGAGCTGTATTTCATTTTCAGCTTGTGCCCCTGCCAGCCTGCAACTCTGAAGAGTCTGAAAGTTTGTCCAGTGGAGAGCTGAGCTTGTGTTGTCAATGATTTCAAATTGATTTACTTTCACTTGCCCCTTGACTTTCTTGTTCATTACAATTTCTCCATTTTACATGCCTGCTTGCTCATTTGCAATAAATTTTCATAGACTTTACGGTTGTAGTATAGTGTGTGGCTCAAGAACATTTTCTAATTTCTAATCATCATAAAATCTTATTATCATTTCCATAACTCGACTTGCGCGAAACAAAAAAAAAAGTAAGAAACTTGACACATTAAGCGGCCAAACGGCAGAATTTACTATTCCAATTGCAGAGGAGACACAGTATAGAACAACATTTAAGTAAAATTTATGAAAATTAAAAACCAAAACAACTTTTCGCTCATTTGAAAATTTAATTGATCGCATAAATTCTTTGGTGCGGGGGCGGGGGCGACAAAACTTCCTCACTTTCAATGCACGCCGAATTGAGAATAGACAACAGCAACAGCAACAACAACAAAAACAACAACAATTTATGTCAATTTGTCGTGGCCAAGGCAGTGGGATGGGAGGGGCAGCCAACGAATGAAGTGTAACCGCGAATGTAATCAAATTTCGTGGCCCAACTCAAGCAACAAGCATAAGTTTGTCCCTCAGACCTCTCTCCACAGTCCCCACCCCACCCCATCCATTCCTAGACACCCACAACCTAACGGGGGCTGGTCAATTTGGGGGTGGTTTATAAGGCTGGTGCTGCTCTGGTCTGCCCTTCTTCCCTCCGTCTGAAGTGGACGCCCAAAATTGCCATCATAATTTGAAAACAATTTTGTAACTTACATATTTTTGGCGTTGTGGCCGCGTATTCACGGTTTTAATCTACACATAAAAATTAATTTCTCTTGGGCAAACAAATCTGAAAAGTTCCTGGCATATTTTAAAGAATATTCAAAAGGTATCTCACAGACAGATATATAGCATAATAGCATAAGTTTTAGACGAAAGAAGTGCAACTGGAAGTTATACTAAGATGAGCAGTAAATTAAATGTTAATTTATTTATAAATAAACAATATAAAGCGAACTATATGTTAAGCTAAGAAACCAGCAGCTTAATAAACTATTTACTATGAAAAGACATGGAAACATACAAAACATTCATTAAGATTTAAAAAAAAAGGAAGGGAAAAATGCAAATTACAACATTGCAATTATTCTTTAAAAAAGTAAAGATTTTAAGGTCCAACTATTCAAATATTTTAAATATATATTAAAATATTTAAATTACATTAAAATGTAAAGACAGTAAAGTCGACTATTGAAATGTTTTAAAATTATATTAACAGATTTAAAATATATGAAATATTTTATACTGACCCTAATTAAATAAAATTGACAGAGTTCTCAGGTCCAAAGAGATGACTTAATTGATTATAATTCTTACAAAGAGCATAATGAATTGTGCAAAGCGATTTCAACTTAATGGTATAAAAGATCTTCTAAGTAGGTCTTTGAGGAATAGCAAAGAGTTCATTTGACTAACAAGCACAAGAGACTCCATTTCGTTAGTAATTAATTTATGTATTAAAAAACACAAGTACACAAACCAAGATTAAAGACGATTGGATCGATATTCAAAGTGTGGACAATCTTTTATGAGTTTTAATAAAATATATATATAATAAAATATACTTGTAGCTAAAACATAAAACTTACTAAAATTCAACAACCAGTAATTAAAAATTAATTAATAATAACTATTTAGTGACTTAGAAATCTGGGCTAGTCTGAAGTGAAATCCATCTTAAGCAGCAGCTCATTAACCCTTTTTTTCAACACATTTAAGCTAAATAAATAGCTGTACAACTGTTATAAAAATTCAACAACCAGTTGTAAAAATTTATAAATAATAAGTATTTGGTGACTTAGAAATCTGGGCTAGTTTGAAGTGAAATCCATCAAAAGCAGCAGCTCATTAACCCTTTTTTTCAACACATATAAGCTAAATAAATAGCTGTATAGACAGAATTAATGCTAGGCTTGTGAAATGCTTCCTTGGCACCCAAGGTAATCCAAATAGTCGCTGTACCGCCTACTTTCATGTCGGCCAATACTGCTGCTGCCATCGTAGTAATATAAACTTTTAAATTTCCATATTAACCGCACATTTTTATGAACACTTTGGACGCCCAATATTAAGTTCCGCCGCAGACAATTTACGTCAAAATGAATTTACTTTGCGGGCAGCCGACAAATTTGTGTGTCGTGTATTCCAGCAGCAGCTAAGCTAAGTAACAGCTCAGTTCTGTATTTTTTATGAAACAATAAATTTGTGTATTTAAGGATTGTTGCGGCTGCCTGCCTGGGCCGGGAGACCCGAACAGGAAATAGATTAAACTGTGCAACACTTGCGCGTATTTTGTTTCCGCTTCCGCTTCTTAAATATTCAGTGTCGCACTCTGCTGGCCCATTCGAAATTCGACCAAATCAGAAACGGCCCAACCAAGCCCACCGCCATCGCCAGCGCCAGCGCCAGCTCCCCCCAAAGACTGCTCCAAGTAGAGCCTGACAGGCAACAGCATAAACTTTTCGCATCTTGTTTGTGGGGAAAAAATCTTGGCAAAAAATGCCCGTCTCTTGTTATTGTTGTTGCCTTGGCATGGCATGGCATCGTATTACAATTTCCGGCACCTTCGGCCCGCACGGCGACCTTTCAGCATTAAATAACTTTCAATTTGAGGAGCAAATTCGCGGCTGCCTATTAAGCGGACACTTTGGGGTGTGAATAAACATCCTTGGCTGATTTGCTGGAGGGCTTCGTGTGGTTCTCGGCCTCACTGGACAATTTGTTTACTCCATGATGCCATATTTGTGTGCCCTTATTACTTGCTTGGACCGAAGAAATGCAAATTTCTCTTGCTTTGTCATTGTTCCAACCGAGTATGTTTCTAAAACGTGTCCCCGGGCTGCCAACGCTGCAAAGTACCTGGACAGTGAGGCAATTTCACAAAAGCTGCATCAAGGATAAGTTGCAGATTAAAAGATGTTATACTTACTTATCTACTAATACAGATTTAGCCGCATGCAGTATTTTAAAAGGAAAGACTTTGCGGCACGGGCTCTAGGGGACCCTATATATTGGATGAAGCTCTGCTATCTACCAGAGTCTTACATTAAACAATTGCTGCAGCTTGGTTGGAAATAACTCTGATCGAGAAGTCAACTGCATGCAAACGAGAGTACAACAATGCGTTGGGCATTTACACCAAATTCTGTTTTTACACGGTAAATTGGTTCGTAAAAAAGTCGTGTAAAAAAACCGTGTAAAAAAAGACATTGATTTGTTATTTTGAATCTTGTTAAATGGAATAAAGTCGTGTAGCCATACATATATAAAATGTTACATTTTCAAACCGTGTTAAATCGTGTAAAAAAATACCGTATGAAACAGAATTAGGGGTACTAATATGTGGCCTTAAGTGTGAACCCTGGCTTCATAAAAGCTTCCTTTGAAGTCAATACAGTTTGGTTTACGTTCGTTTCCTGTCATCAGACAGCAAGGCAGGAAAACCCAAGATAGTATCCTTACTGGAGAAGCCCAAAGCTTAGGGATTTCTGAAGAAATGGCAGATGGCAGAAATGGCTATCAACAAGTGGATTGGCCATAGCTTCACTATAATTGTTGAAGTCTGGTTTTAGTTTAAAATTGCTTCCTTTAAAAAACAGCTTCCTTGCCATGAATGCAAAATTCTTACTGCTGCACAGTAACTCGCGATCATCTTACTGCCCATAGCTGATCCGATAGCTAGTCGGCGTGGCTTAAAGCAAGGCAGCTCATAACAATTTTCAACATAGACTGGACCGAGTCTCACTTCATTTTTATAAGAGAGTCTCGATCGTAAAAGAATACTGACAAGTTCTAAATGGTGGATATATAAGTATACACATAAATCAGCAGTTCTAGACGAAACAATGAAGCCATATCGAAGCTGGGCGATGAACGAGTTTATTGCTAATAAGGAAGACTAAGAAGTGTTGCGTAGTTTAAATACTGTGTGTAAAATAAATCTAAATGTACATGTTTTATATTAAAATTATAGTAAAAGATGTGCAGAAATTTCAAAAGTAAGCGAAAGTCAAATAGTTTATAGTAAAAAAAGAACCAATAAGTTGCTTGAAAAATCTTCCCGCTTAATATATGTATTGTTTGATTGACAGGTGGCTGGCTATCTGTATTAGAATACAATTGGAGGCTACTTACTATTGACGTATGGGTCTTCGCATAAACAGGTTCGGGCTTTACAAATATTTGGCTATGGGCGGGATCCGGATGCAGAATTTGCTTCCAACAGTTTGTTGTACAGCAGTTAATTGATTTAAATAAAGCAAATATCAATGATCTATTTTTAAAAATTGTTGCTTAACAAATAAGTTGCCATACAAAAAGTTCGACATTCTTAAAATTTGAACAAACTCTTTGAAATTCAGAAATGCATGAAAAATTCTAGTTTTGGCCACCATCAAAGGCGAGAGGCTCGGCCATTTATTGTGCCATCCAATCACATTACGTATACGCCCGCATGTACGGCAACTTCTGAGCTAAAGTATTTGTTTTGTGAATTTTACGAATGAATGCGCATTTCTGGCAAAGTCTTTGCACTTTGCCGTTATAAAGCACCAGCCAGTAGAAGAAGTGGCATACAGGATGCAGGCGGCAGGCGGCAGGAGCAGCAGCACGAACTGAAGATGAAGTTTATTTTATGGCTGGCACAATTGGAACGGCAGGGAGGATCAAGTAAGTCCTTTGCTTTGCTTGCAACCACATCAGCGGCAGTTCCACACGTGTGTGTAATCAAATAATTTCAACAAAAATCGAGAAATTATTACGGACGAATTTTTACGAATTCATTTTCAGTTTGCAAACCCAAAAAGTCTGAACAACAAGGGCAGCAACAACAACCACAACAACAATGCCAAATTGTTGGCGTTGCATGCAAAGTAGCTCCTACAGCTCCATTGCCCCTTTCTCTGCTCCTGCTACTGACTCTGACTCTGCTCCTTGGTTGCATTGCAGGATGTGTGGATTTTCCGGCATTTTGGCGGCGTTGGCGGCGTTACTCTTTTGTTTATTTCTTTGAGATGCGGCAACAAACAAAATGCTCTGCCACACTTTGTTGCAGCACTTGTGTTTGCTTGATTGTGCAAAACTATTGGCCCACTCGATCCGAGTCGCTGTCGATGTCGTCGTCGTCGTCGTCGACTCCATTCGACTTTCTGTGTAGCTCGCATGCATGCGTCGTGGCTGAGTTGCATTCCAAACTAAATATGTATGTTTGCTTGTGTGACCACGTATGGGCATCCGGCAGTAGGTATAGCAAGCATTATAGTAGATAGGTAGGTACACGCAGTCGTATCAATTGTGTGTGATGGTCAAAAGTCATTTCAACAGCACTAAATTATTATTATCTTCAAGAAGTTTCACATGCTCGACAATCATACAAATGTTTGCTTCAAATATTCTCACTGTTTCCCACCTTTCTCCTCTGCTCCTCCCGCTGCTCTCATAAAGCACGCGTAATGGCATGGAATGTTTTGATGTCTGTAAGAAGGTTTTTGTCTGTTGGCCCAGTAAACAATTTCAGAAAAGTCCCTAGCACCAGTGAATTGTTAATTGGGATATTTAATATAATAATAATTGAATAATTTAATTAAATTTAATGTTGGGATTTTATACTTAAAACATATTTAAGAGTGCATTTTTCTACAATCACCCCAAGTGTATAAAGGGTATAGAAAAGGGAATACAAAATATATGTAACAGACGGACAGAAACATATCCGACCATAAAGTATACTCTCATAGTTTATTTTTGATCAGCATGACTAGCCAAATCGGTAAAAGTCTGGATTTCGAAAACGACGAAGTTTCATTCAAACCGATTAATTCTGAGAAAAGCGAAACAATAGGTGCGATTTCGTGCTTCTTCTATTTTTGAAGGAATAGGAAATTGAAAATTGGAGTATGCGTTTCCTCTAAAAAATGTGACCTTGAAGCTTAGAGCAACCGAGGTCTTCAGATAGCGTTGCAGTAGCCGAGAATCGCCATCCATAATGAGCGGAGAGAGACTGTGGTGAATTTTTAAATAAATGCATCTGCAATTTGTGATTAGCCTCGGTTGATGGTGCGTAAAATATTGTATGTTTTGGTTAGTTAGAAAACACCTTTAAAACGGTGCAAAATAGATTTCAACGATAAAAATGTGTTCCAACACATACGAGTTTTGCCAAAGTTTCAATGAGTCTGTATAGCAAAGGTCTGACAATCATTCATGATGCCAGAGTTTGGGCTCAGACCAATTTCTTGTGGTTTCATTATAAAGTTATATTTTTTGAAAAGTTGTTATTTAATTATTTTTTTGCTGGTTCAAAATTTGATCAGTGATGCATTTTCTTTCCTATCGATTGGACAGTAGAAGCTGCCAAAAAATAAGCGTAGTAGGCACTTCGTTTTAAGTAAATGCACTCGCACTTAAAAATATGAAATTAGTTTTCACCAGCCTGTGGAGACTATCTGAGCAGCTTAATTAGCAGGACCTGAATATTATTTTGTACGAAAAGGCATACTTCGTAGTCTGCTTCGAAGCTATAACTATCTGGTGAGTGCGGAAAATAATTATTTTGATAGTAAGTAAAATAATTTTCCAGCTTTGTGTAGGTAATGGATCCCAGTTTGTCCCTAGAGGAGTTGATTCGAATTTTCAAAATTCAGAATCCAAATAGAAAGAGGAGTGTAAACTACTATTACAACAACAATTACCAAAGCAATTACAATTACAAATACGGCTACAACAACACTTACAGACCGTATATAATACGTGAGAGGCGCTTCTATAGTCGCACGTCATATCAGCAATTTCAGTGGATAGACTTGCGCTATAAGATACTGGCCAAGGTACGATTACGATCCCGGCCGAGAGATGCCCGGCACATTCTCAATTACAAGTACCGTCAGCAGGGCTATACAGATGACGATTTTCTGAGACCCATGCGTAGCGATCGTCCGTTGGGAGGGCGATTGGTCTTCCCATCGAGCTACAGTGAATCTCATCGCTATAGAGATCTCGACGACATGCAGGATTCATCTCAGAATAGAAGCAGCTTTTGGCGAAATTTTCGACCGACGAAACGTCGAATATCGAACGAATTTGCCATTCCTATGATAGGCTTTAGCTCGACTCCAAAACAAACTTCCAGTGGCTCTGAAGCAGCCAAGCCGCCAGGCTATAAGATTATGATTAATAATCTGCAGCACAGTGTGACCAGCGAGGATATTGATGAGCTGTTCAGTTGCTTTGGTACTTTGTTGGAGGCTTGTGTTTTGCGTCCCGGTACGGCTATGGTGGTCTTCAAGCACCGGTCCGATGCCGAGAGGGCCTATGAGGATTACGATAGGCGTGAGTTTGATGGCAAGCCCATGCAGTTGACCGCTTCATACAATTCAATGGAAATTGATGAGAATGTGGTGCGAAGGGTATTATTTCGGAGCGACTAAAGATGTTCTTAGTTTCCTATAAAAACACCTTAATAATATGCTACTAATAAAGCATTTTTTCTCGCTTTTAGCCACTGAAGCTGTTTTCCAACACTTTCGTTTTTGTTAGTATTAGAAACGGTTTCCATTATTAATCGATTGTCCTTGATACAAGCTTGATGGCATGTAATCGGAATAGAAGAATAGCCAATTAGGTATGGTTCCCAGATTCTAACTAGGGATGTAAGTCAAAGAGAAAGAGGTTCATATTGGGGAGAAAATCAACAGAGTTGTTTAAAATTAAATATGTGTACTAATCAAGAACTCATAAAGTAATCGTAATACTGACATTACATGAACTTGTTCAAAATAAATTAATCCGACGCTTTGCAGTTACCCATTTTAATAATATTAATACGCATACTTTGAAAATGCTGCAATTTCCAGAAAAAATTACTTTGACATCATAAACAAATGAAAATGAAGATCAAATTTTGAACAATCTAATATATAAAATACAAATTTCAATAAAAACATCGAATAAATTAAAATACAATAATGCCTTCTCCGGTAGACCAGACAAAGAAATGTGCACCCCAAACAAAACCTGGAAAATGTTCGATGTTTGGACAAACATCGATGGATCGACAATGTATCGCAAGCAAAAAAACATCGCAAAACATCGCTGCATCGCGTTGAAAACATCGTCGATGCTCGGAACATCGATGTTTTTTTACATCCCTAATTCTAACCCAAGAAATGTCTTCTCTTGAAGCAGGGCATCCATATATCCATCACGTGGAGTGTTTTCTATTTGTAGCTGTTTTTCCAATAAGCCAACCACATCCGTAGCTTTTTCTTTTCATAAAAGCAATGCGGGTATTCGACACTAAATTCATAAATTTATTACACAGTTCTACTTATGATGTTTAGTTCTTTAAAAATGTGTAACAATCCAATTAGTTTTGTTATTGTGAGCCAGCCTGCTTCAATTTAGGAAATAATCTGAGAATTGTCCAGCGGTTTCAAGCAGTTAAAACTATTTTAATTCTGTAATTCTGATTGCCTTGCCGCTAAATATTAATTGCAGCTCCAATACTACTTACTCCCGAAATGGGTAACAGGGCGACTTCTGTCAGATACGAGTACCGCACACTTCATGCAAATTACATTTGGCAATTTGGTGTGCACTTTCAATTTGGGAAAATATCAAAACCATTGTATTAAGTACTTGGGGCAATTACAAAGAAATCACTTCACAAATGTCCGGGAGGATGTGGTGCAGGATCTCTTACGTGCGTCATATTGCAATTTCTTGTGTAAAAATGGCAAATGCAACACAACAATTTGCAAATTAAATTGTTTTTTGTTTTCAAAATCAAAAAAAACCTAAGCAAGCGCCGCTGATTTGACGCCGTTGTCTGCGGTTTTTGCCATTCAATTTCTTCGCCTCGTCCTTATCGTCGTCCTCGTTGCTGTGTCGTCCTGGGGACTAATTCGCTCTACCAAAATCGTTTAGTTGTTATTAGATTTTTGCAGCTTTCTTGGGTTGTGCTTGTTTTTTCTTTGGGAGGCAATGGCAGCTGCCACTAAGTGCCGCTAATTGAAATTTCGTTTGTATCGTGTTATAATTGTGGGGTTAGGTTATCCCTTCGCCGTCGTTTCCTCACGATTTTTGGTGTACAAACAATTAAAAGCAACTGTGTTCACATTTCGAGACAATTACCATGCTGGATAGATTAGAGTCACATAGAAATTAGATGGCTTGTAGACTGGAGTACAGCTAATTTTCCAAATAATAAAGCTGAATCAGTCACAGATACTCACCCGTTTCGGGGAAATATTTTCAACAGCTGTCTAAATGTTAGAACTTGGTTTTTATTGTGAATTGCATAATACATTTACGATTGTTCAAGATCCAATAGCAACGCGAAATTGTCACGATGCTTGTAAAATTTTTGAAAACCAAAAAAGGAAAAAACAAAAATTTATATTGGTAACGTCAAATAAAACTAAATCATATTTGTAATTAAATTAAACTGAATTAAATTAGAAATTAATATGTAATGAAACGCTAGCATACGTTTATAAATAAATCATATGTCAATCCATTACCCCAACACAACACTCTTGAGCTTTTGTGCCAAATGGATTTTGTGTGGCACATATCTGGGATATCAAGAATATTCTGCTAGGAAAAGATTTTATACCTATGGGGCGGGCCATTCACATATTTTTGAAAGGTAGGTATTTTTTTTATGGTGAAGAAATTGATTTTCAAACAGAAGTTTAGTCGGTGTTGGATCTTCTGACAAAACAATAGCAACTATAATTATCTGGCCACGTGATTGTCCTTTGTATTAGAAATGGTATTAGAACAGGACAACCCTCCACAATATTTCGATTTAATAGTAAATGTTACTAATTAAATGAAATTAAGAAAATCTCTCACAAGAAACGGCTTTAATTGTTTTTAAACATCTAGAAATTATTCCAAAAATATAAGCGAACAAATTTAAAAACTATTTCCAAACGCGCGTATTTTAGATTATTTTCAATATTATTAACTTTCCTTTAATTTTTATTTTCCTATAATATTTATTTTTCTTCAATATTTATTTTTCTTTAATATTTATTTATAAGTATTCGTACTTGAGAAAAATGAATAGAATATTTTCTAAATTTTATAAAACGCTATTGCTTTTAGGCTCGTCAGAAAATATTCACCTTTCAAATGTATTCTTATTTCCTTTCTCAAACCACTTGAAATTGATGAATCATACTATAATTCATCAAAATCGTCATAGCCGCCAAAAAGCTGCTTGTGTGACGAAAGCAATACATGTTTAGGTATGTATATATTTGATCCTTATGCGATTGATGGTTGCTTAGTGGCAGAGCTGTTGGATTAATTAGAGACTGAAAGCAATGAAGCGGACAAAGAAATTGCTGTGAACAACCCTCCCAGTAATTCCACTAATGAACAAATGGGCGCCCAGCAATAGGCGCATAAACTAGCTTAACTTTCGGGCTGTCTTGTACCTCGGCTGGCAAGGTAAACAGTGTGACGCAGCGCGTTGAATCCTGTGCACATATCCTTTGTCAATATTCATTATACAAGTGCATACTTTCAGGCGCTTGACAAGCGCCAAAGCAGCCACAGTCATAAAGTTACGAAAACGTCTCATAAAACGTGACGATAATCATAATTGATGCTCGAGCCCACACAAAATTGGACTAAGCATCAAACCGTATGGGTGCAGGATGAGGAGAGGGTGGCCTTGGAGTGCCAGGCAGGCAGGGTGGCATAAAGGTGCACAAATTGTAATTTAGTTTGCCTTGGCAAGCCAAAAGAATGAGCGTTCCATCGCTGGCACACCTTTCGTCTTGTTGTTCTTCCCAAATTAAGGGTAAAATTGTTAATTGAAATTTGTGTATGCTGACGACCAGCCAACCAACCGAACACCCACCCATCCACATATACTTATGCGAGTATAAATATATTTATGTATATATAAGTATTTAGTGTTTGGACCGCTTGAAATTTATTTGGCTGGCGTCTTTGTGGAAGGAGCAGCAGCTGCAAGCCTTTCCATTTTTGCCTCGTCCACATCTCTAATGATAAATCAATGCAACATATGGCAAGACTGGCCCAACCTTTGGCTCATTGTTGTAAATTTTAAATCAATGTTTCAAGCAGTCTGACCGTTTGCCTGGCATTACTCGTCCTTTTTTTTTGTGCTATGTTCGAGTCGCACGCACTTCTGCATCCATAAATTCTCGAGCAGCTCCAATGCAACCTTCTTGCTGTCCTTGTCTTTGGCGCTGGCACCAAAGTCTCCACGCAATCCATTATTGTATTAATTAACAGGAACAGGATCACCAATCAGGCGCTTGATTAATGATGTCACTTGGCATCGTAAATCTCGATTTGAACATGTGCAAATTTTCAATGCAAATAAATGGAGATGCGCAATTCTGCCCGTCCACCAATGCCGGCCATATCCTTGCTTGCCATATGCTTTGTTTGTGTTCCGAGCATAATCATGCATTAGGGTACCACACACAGACACACACACATGCACACACACAAGGATGCTCGGACATTGGTGTGAGAGTGTGGAAAGTGTTGCAGCAGGCTGCAGGCTGCAGTCTGCAGTCTGAGCTGCAACAGCAACATCCGTCCCAAGCGTCCTTCCGCATGCTGTGGCCATTGCTTTGGGGGCAGAGCAGGGCGGATGCATTAAGACGCAATTGTGCTGCATGTTGCAGATGCCTGTTGATTCATTTTATGAGTGCGTTTACCAAATATTTAGATACGGCCTAACGTGTAACGAATAAATTACAAATAGTCGGTCATTTTAAGTTCATTCGAATGAACTAGCTGCAACGAGTTAGTTATGTTCTACAAGAAACTCGAATTAATTTGCGCCACTAACCACAGTCTAAAAAGGAACATTTTAAATGCAAGTTACTTTGATTTTATTTTACTATATATATATACATACATATATATAATATAATATATAATTTCTGATTTCGATAGTGGTTTTGCCTTTGCGGTTTATCTAAATGCAGTTTTTCAATTATAGATATTAGTTACAGCCACAATAGCTCCCACATTTCATTGCCTGCCGCTTTGTCTAGCCGCGATAATCATTTAGAAAGTAAATGGCATACGAAAAATTAAATAAACAGGTAGCTATGCATGCATGTATATGTGTATTTGTATGTAGATGTAGATAATAATACTTACAATTGTGTGCATGGATTTACATTTAACATTTTATGGCTCTGCGGCAGTGCCGACGTCTGACCAAAGCGACATGCGGCATTCAAATAGTTAACTAAATGAATGTTTTGCTGCACCCATCCATTTATTCACGCACCATAAACTAAGGACGAATTTATTTCGAAGGACATGCGTTCGAACATGCTCGTACAATAAAAATAATAAAATTAATGGTCAAACAAGTGAAGCGATTTGACGCCAAATCCTTGCGATTCAACAAACAACAGGT